TGTTCGGCTGGGTTGTTTGGGCGTCTGATGATGGAATTTCCGTGGTGTGCTAGGTTTGGAAGTCTTTTTAATGGTATCTCATCTTGCCTAACCTACCTTATTTATTACCACACGATGATTTCGATTGGAACTTTTGAGTTGATTTTGTTGGTGTGATGATGGTATGTGTAGGTGTCGGCTGACTTCTGTTGGTGTTGGAGTTCAGATTGGTATTGGACACTTGTGTTCTTCGCTTTCCAGGATGTAAGCTCATGTGTACAGTACATACCTGCGGTGAAGGGTAGGTATGTCTGTCCAGTGAAGCATGATGCTCTTTGCCGCGGAGTTGATCTTGCTGATTAGGTCTATAGACATTGTACCATCCATCACCTTCTCATCTGCTTCTGAACTCCAGCATCAGCCCAAACAATCCCTCCTATACTCTACACACCTCGAACCACCTCGGCTCTCAAGGTAGTCAAGGCAACAGTCAACTAAAAAGCCCTATTCCTCGTGATAGATATATACAGACATCCATTCCACACCCACAAAAACAAATCCACCACACCCACCGCGTCCCGCAGAACTTTCAGCACCGCTCAAACACCCGATACAACCCCTTCAAATCCGCCACCTCGATCACCCCGCCCAACAGCCGCGTCGTAGCCACCAACCGGCCCCGCATCGCCGGGAACACAACGTGCTCCAGCATCCGGGCTATCAGCGTGCGGCGCTGCTGAACAAACTGATCTGCTTCCTCTTCTGCGGCGGGTTCCTGCGGTGTGGTTTCCTTCTCGCCCGAGTTCTCGTGATTAGTTTGATTGGTGGTGGCAGTGGTAGCCGGGATGGTATGTTCCCCCGCTGCTGCTGCTGCTGCTGCTGCTGCTGCAGGTGCCTGTGTCTGCGGAGCTGGCAACGGCACCGGCACCGGCAACGCCTCTGGGACATAAAACGCAGCCAACTCGCGCAGAAAGCTCCGGAAGCAGGCCTCCTCGCTCGACCAGTCGACGTAGGGCCCCAGCCGCAGCAGGAATTTGGGCAGTTTGGCCAGAGACGGCAGGTAGCCCTTCAGCAGAAGGGGTAGGGAGACGAGGCGCCCGTCCTGCGTGATGTGCAGGGAGAAGTACTCATTCATCATCTCGCGACGCGCGATGAGGGTTTGTGCGATGATTTCGGGGGCTTTGGTGTAGATTTCCTGCGCTGCTGTGGTTGCTGTCGGGGTTGAGGATGTTGAGGGTGAGGGTTGGTGTTCGGCGGCCTCGGCCTCGGCCTCGGCGGCGATGCGGAGCAGGTCGATGAGCTGCGGCGCCGGGTCTAGGGTTATGACTCCGAAGTTGCCGAAGTCGGTGAGGCCGATCTGGTAGAAGAACTCGTGGGTGAAGAGGCCGTAGTCGACCAGGTAGAGCTTCACGCCGCTTTGGATGGCGGCGATGCGGCGTCGTTCGTCGACCAGCCCCACATACGTGAGGGCCGCGATGGTCTCGGTGAGCGTCGTGTGCATGCTGCTGCGCACGGCGGCGCGGAGGTTCTTGATGGAGGTTAGGGCGATGCGGAGGGGTTCGCGCGTTGTGGTTTCGTAGTGGAGGCCTTCTTCGTCGAGGACGGTTGCAGCGGTGGTGGTTGGGTTATCGGCTGAAGTGGTGGTGGTGGTGGTCGCGGGTGTGAGCATGGAGGTGATTTTGCGGACTTTTGAGTCGGTGCGCACCAGGTTGTGTTCGTAGGGTTTCTTGGTGGTTGCTGGCGTTTTCGGGGCCCCCGTCCCTCCGGGGCTGTTGTCGTCGTCGTCTGGTTCTTCTGCTTCGGCCGCCATTGTTCGCACGCCTGGGAGGAGGGTTTGCGTGAGGAATGTCCGGCTGGAGTCGACTTGCGCCAGCCGGGAGCGGATGTCGGCGCAGATGCTTTCGATGATCTCGTCTTCATTCAGAAAATTAACCTCGCGCTTCGTGGGGTGGACGTTGACGTCGACCCGTTGAGGTTCGATCTCCAAGTCCAGATAGACGAAGGGGTGGCCGCCCTTGGGGAGGAAATTTGAATATGTCTGCTCGATGGCTCGCTTCAGGGCGGTCGACTCGACCGAGCGGTGGTTGATGAATAGCAGGATGACCGTGCGTTTGACGTGATAGTTGGCGTTGGTAGCCAGGCCCGACGAGCGGAACCCGAGCTTCTCGTCCTCGACCTGGAACTCAACAAGCTCGTTGGCCACGGCGCTGCCGTGGATCTGTCGGATGCGATCGATCGTGCTTGCGTTGGCCGGGGTGGATATGCTGACGCCTGAGTCGCCGTGTTTACGGCACGAGAAGGCCACCCCCGCGCAGTGGACGGAATACCGTCCAACAACGTCCAGAATCTTAGCGTATTCTTCGCTCGCGGAGCGAAACGCTCGTCGTCTCGTTGGGACGTTGTAGAAGAGATCTTCAACCTACGCAGGTCAGCAAATTGTCCGCCAGGGCTGCATCATCATCATACGCACGGTTATCTGCGTGCCTCCGCGGCCAGCAGTGGCTTTGGGTGCAGCGCTTTGGCCTGGCTTCGCAGGAACAAGCTTGCCATCACTGTAAACCGCTTTCCAGGCACAGCTGGATCCGGCCGTCTTCGTGGTGACGGTCAGATGGGCGATGTGGCTGATACTGGCCAGGGCTTCGCCTCGGAAGCCGTAGGTGCCTATCGAGGAGAGGTCCTCGAAGGCCTTCAGTTTCGAAGTAGTGAACCGCTCGCAGAGGATGGGTAGATCGTCTCGCTTCGTTTGGTTAGCGGATCGAAGTCACCAAGTTTCAGCACCAACTCACGTCGATGCCGTGGCCATTATCCGTGATCTGGAGTAGTTTCAGACCGCCGTCCTTGACAAGAATTTCAATAGAAGTCGAGCCAGCGTCAACAGCGTTTTCGATCAACTCCTTCAAGGCATGCATGGGAGCTACAATGATCTCTCCAGCTGCAATCTTGTTGACCACATCAGGGTCAAGGGCCTATGGTTGTGAGTATGGCAACGCCGGGGATGGTGCGGGTGAGCAACCGACCCTGATCCTCTTAGGCTTCTTCGGCTCATCATTCTGCTCGACCTCCTCTGCTGGTCTTTTGGTACCCCGTGGCTCTAACGTGTCAACCTCCATATCGGGATCCATCGTGGCTGTTCTAGTGACCAGGCGATGGTGGCGGCGAGACAGAGGGCTAAATGGTTTCGATTGATAACGCAACCGAAGCAATCAACCCTCGCCAGACAGGTTCCAGTGCTTTCCGTAAGTCTCGTCCGACGCAGTGCAGAGACCAAGTGATCAATACTTTGATTCAAAAGTTCCCTTTCCTCGAAGACTCTTGCGATTATGAGAAAGCGGTGGAGAGACAGATGGAATAAGTCGGGCAAATCGTGTGTCCGCTCGCGTCGCCGCCTTTCTGTCGCGTTGCGATCGCTTCATGTAAGTAGGTAGAGATCGATTTTTGGCATAGTGCTAGAAGATCTTCGATTTCCAGAATAGGACACAAAGATCTGGCCTTGGTCTCCATACACATGCAGCAAGCTTTCCAGATCTTGCGAAGTCAATTCAATCCTATAGCTATAAACACGCATGGTCACATGACATGCATATCATTTTTATCTCCATGCGGGAAACAACCGGACTAAAAGCAGCGAACCTCGTTGATACCTAATGTAACAACAAGGATATGAATTGAGGGAGTATCTGAGTTTCTCTGCTGCGTAAGTAAGCAGCATTTCTATGGGAAAGTCCACTTTGCTAAAACTTCACACAGATCATCAACGCGCAATACATAACCGCGCGGGTATCAACCAGAATCATAGATTGCCCCATGCATTGGAATCCACAAAAAAGCCCCAGCTTGAAGACAAAAAAAATGCAATCAAACACCCTTTTCCCAGAGCAGGAGCTTGTTACAAGTACCCAGGCTCAATCGCCCGCCCCAGCCCCAGCTCCAAACACATCATCTCCTCGCCCCCCCAGAAAGCCAAGGAAACGAACCCTCAACCCCCTCCACCATGGCATCCAAGCCTTTATCACACAGCATCTCCCTGCAGATACCTTGGCCAAGCACAACCTGACCCTCACCTCCTTTCCCAAACGCTTCACCATCTACGAACCTCTTCTGCTCCTCCCGGTGAACGCCTTCACCACTCCACCCGCCTGGCACTCTTTGTACGAAGATCTCACCGCGACGCAGCGGCAAACCCTCTTTACCACCCTTCTCCAGTCCTTTGCCCGCTACGGCCTCACCCACGTGGCCATGAATGCGCCCATTGCACTCACGGACCCCAACTCCGGGGCGGAGAACCGGATCCGCAGCCCGGGAGGGTTGATCCCGTTATACGGGGACTTCGGACCTCTACCGGATGCGTCTGCGTCGCAGGGGCAGGGGGAAGGTGAAGCGGCGATAGCATGTCCGAGCGCCACAGACCTTGAGCAGGCGTTCTGGGTACGTACTGTCCAAAACCATGGGATCGTACAGATCTGGGCGCCCTTGTATACCATGTTCTCGCGAGGCAATATTACTGAGAAAGCGCGGATTCTGGGCAGTGAGTTTGAGGGGCTGGTTGAGGAGCAACTCGGGGAGAAGGTCTCGGAGATCAGCGTGGTGGACATGTATGCTGGGATTGGGTATTTCGTGTACTCGTATCTGAAGCGTGGGGTGAAGAGGGTGTGGGGTTTTGAAATCAATGGGTGGTCGGTGGAGGGGTTGCGGAGAGGGTGTAAAGAGAATGGGTGGGGGTGTAAGGTGTTCCGCGTTGGAGAAAATGGATCGTTACTGGGGGGCCAGTCACTAAAGGAAGTGGTGGAGGGTCTGACGGAGGAGGATCGTGTGGTGGTGTTCCATGGGGATAATCGATTTGCGGCGGAGATTCTGGAGGGGATCAGGGAGTGTATGAGAGCAGGGGAATGGAGTAGGGTCAGGCATGTGAACTTGGGACTGCTGCCTTCATCTTGCTTCGCGTATGCGAATGCCTGCAAGATTGTGGATGCTGAGAAGGGTGGGTGGGTGCATGTTCATGAGAATGTCGATGTGCAGGGCATCAAGGAGAAGAAGGACGAGGTCACCGCGGAATTGGGGAGGCTGCGAATGGAAGTCTTAGAAGTAGAGGCCAAAAAGGTGGCTGCTGCTGCTAGGTGTCGGCATGTTGAGCAGGTCAAGACTTATGCGCCGGGGGTGATGCATTGCGTCTTCGATGTGCGGTTATCTTCAAGAGAAGAGATAGAAGCTTCCGACACTCGTGGCAATTGAACCACGCACACCAATACTCCATGAACCCCAACCTGCGGGTGATGCAATCGACGCTCAAGATCATCTCATGAAACATATGTACAGTACAGTGGCAACAGCGCAAGAACTCTACAGTACAGATCTTCAGCTCCGCTTGAGGAACTTTTGGGGGATGTTCGCCTCCACGATCTGCATACTCTCAAGCTGTTCGAGGCGCTCCATGGCAAGATCCTCCTCATCATGTCTCCGGAAGTGTTCGATATCCTCGGGGTGAGTGAGATCCTCCTCCTTTGCATCTTCACCGTGGAACTTTTCGAAGTGATGGATCTCATATTCATATTCAATGTCACCATGGTGGCCCGGTCCGAGTCCAAGGTCAGGGAGCCGGGCTCCGTCCGCAATGAGCCGCATCCAGTTGTCGCGACTGATGACGCCCGTGTTGGTGGGATCAAAGATGCTGAAGACTTCGCGGAGACCTTGCAACTTGCTATCCTCTGTCACTTCCGCATTGGACTCATCGTCCATGCCGTATGTCTTGCGTACTTCCTCGGGGGTCCAGACTCCCGAGGCATCGTAATCGTGGAGGGAGAAGAAGGAGGCGGGATCGAAGGCATCGATGTGATGTTCCTCTATGAACGCACCCAATTGAATCAGTGACACTGCATTGGCTTTCGGATAATATCCCCCGAGGTTTCCACAAAGTCCTTACCCTGCATATGCCGTGTTGCCCAGTCGGACGAGGGTGGTTGGTCATTCGAGTGCGAACCGTGGGCGCTGACCAGAGTGCCGCTTAGGGCCAGGAGAGCAGTAGCTACTGTGACGAGCATGGTCACGTCAAGCAATAATCGCACCGGCTTGTCGAATAATAGCGATTGAACAGAAGCAATGGCCAGACCAGTTTCCCAAAAGTGACCAGCAAATCTGACAGATCAATATTTGTTCACTAGTCAAAGCAATTCTTCGCCGGGGTAGGTAGAAGTTGAAAGTGGACTGCCGTAACCGTATGTATTGATGACAATCGGGGAATAGGAAGGGGGGGGCGCCGGCCGGGGGCCGAACTGACTAGTGGGTGGTTTGCACCGTTTGCAAGCGGTGTGGTGGTGCGACTTTTGCCGATGCAGTCCTGTTGGAAGCAAAAGTTCCAAACTTCGACATCGGCCAATTGCTCCTCCAGCCCACAAGCTTTACTGAACGCCTATCCCTCCCTTGCCCATTGGTTTCGCTCGTCAGAGAGCCCGGTCAATTGGATCCTGGCATATCTTGGACTTACCTTGTTAGTCTCAATTCGGGGCGCAGAAATGACCGGAGAATGAAAGGTCTCTGGTCCCGCGTCACCCCGGCGCAGTCAACGTGCCGATGCGTCTCCTGCCTCAGCACCGTCTCCCAAGGCGTAGCATCGCGTGGGGCTACAGCAGCCAGCAAGAAACGTCTCCGCCTAGGCAATTCGGTCACAGCCCTGTACACGAGTATCTTCGCCGCAGCGGCCCTAGCAGACGCCCAGGCCAAAGGTCAGCGCCGCCATGAGTGGGAGGAGAAGATCGCAGCGGCCAAGGGTGAGGTCAATGCGCTGCTTGATGAGGAAGAACGCCTGGTAGAGGCCATTTTCGCCCGTCGCGACGAGGGAATGGAAATAACTCCGAGCCGGCAAACCACCACACAAGCAAGACCACGATCCTACCGGTACCGATGGCCGTCAACAAATATCTCGCGTCGCTCATTCCATACGAGTCGAAACCTCGCTCTCAGCAAGAGCAATCAACGGCGAGACGAAAACAGCCTAGAAGAGCTCAACAAAATTAGCGAAGACCCATTGTTGGAAGTCACGGAGGAGGATAACTTGTGGAATCTCGAAGACTTTGACACCCCTCAATGGCTCAAGGAAAACAGTACTCGCCAAAAAGCTATTCGCAAAATGGCACTGAAGCAATTGGCCATTCGGATGCTACTCCGACGAGGAATTGCTCATAGTTACCAGGGCCTGCAGATGAAATACGCAGTCGACTATTCTATGCCTGCGCCCAACGTTCCGGAGCTTCTTACCCACTTAGACAAGCTCCGTAACCGAATGAAGAGCGTGAAAGCTTCCCCGCGTTCCAGCATAGAAGACTTGGAAGCGGAGATGAACTCGCTTCCACCTCAAGATCAAATGACGGAGCGCCAGAGGCTCGACGGGGAAATATACCGAGATACCAATCTTTACCTGGCGAACAGGATGTCTCTTCAAGAGCTGCTCCTCAGATTAGCCAACAACCTCACGAAATCCACCAATCCTGACCGAAGTCTAGGTCTGAAGCATATGCTGCTGGCATTTACCAAGACCCGAGAAAACGACATCTGTGAAATGATTCTACACACCATCATACCCCATAGATTCCCGCTCACATCGTCTCTTATCATCTCAATCCTGAACTTCTTCCGCAAATCCAAGAATCTCAAGGCCTTCGACTTGTTTCTTCGCCAATTAGCCGGGGATGGCTATCCGCTGGACATGGGTAACCTAGGCCACTACAAGAATGTGGTGGTCAACGGCATCGAGATTCAGGTCCCACCAGTCGACAGTGCGAACGCCGTCATCTACGGCACTCTTATTCGGTCATGCCTACGCTTTAATCAGCCCGATCGTGCGGACGCCTACCTCCAAGTCTCTCGAGCATCTGGATATATGGACGACTACGCGACTTTGAGCTCCTACCTCGGATTCTACGCCATCCGGTCCGACTGGGCGAAGGGTATCCAGGCCCTGCAACGGACCGTCGCCTTTATTGGGTCGACAACGGAACACAAGACGACGCGCGTTGAGCGCCTGATCGTCAAGATGGTTTACCTTTGTGATGAATGCGAGCAAACCGAAATCTCCCAGAAGATCATTCAAGCGTTTGTGAAGAGCGGATTTGACTGGAAGTGGGCGGAAAAACAACTAGATTTGACCTTCGAGCGCGATCCGCGTTACAACCGCTGGAAGGCCGCTCAGACCGCAGCAGGCACAGACGCCGCCCGGGCCTCACAACAAACGATGTGGGAGAAGTGTTATTCCTTTGTCCAAGCTGTCGGTGAGCAGCTCGACGGTCTGACCACCGAGCGAGCCTCCACCACTCAATGGCAAGATATGATGAAAACATACGCCCAGGATGTCCTTTCTGCCATTATCTCCGGACCGGTGGCTATGCACAAAGCCGCCAAAGAGGGCGGTACTGGAGACCTCGTTCAAGACGATCGCACCACCCTCTTGAAGGAAATCAGTCAGCAAGCCCATGATATTCAGCAGCACAACAGCGCAGTCGTCAACGCCCAGAAGACCGAGATCGCCTCCCTACAAGCTGAGATTGCTCAGCTCAAGCGCATGGTTTTCGATCTGCACCGGACAGTCACCATTTCCAACCCCCTTCCCCAAACATCTTCTCCACCGTCTTCTTCACCTAAACATTCAACAACTACTGCTACGTCCGCCCCCTTAACTCGTCCCACGCCTGTCGATATCACATCCTCTCCTCCTCCGCCTCATGTTACAGCGTCTCATTCCCACCTCCCAGCCGGGTTGGCACCTAATCTAGTCTCGTCATCACCTAACACCACCCAGGGAGATCAAGTTTCACCGGCTAAGAAGAAATGGACCATGTCATTCGGAATGATGCCTTCGTCCAAGGTATGACCAAGACGTTTCAGGGCGACCACGTTCTTGTACGGAAAATTGACCTTTGGTACTGCCTTGTACTTCTCGTCGAGCCTACTATTTTGCATCCAGGGGTTATTGCTGATGCTGGGGAGGCTTATGGAAAAGGAAGACCCAGAGAGGACCGTGGCGTCAGTATAACCAACTTGCGCGCGGCGCATACTGTATATACTATATGCTCACTACGCGAGGTTCTCAAGGATCATGGGATGGCCGGGTTGTGAAGCTTAGGTTTCCTATGTCATGCACCCGATATGACGTGATCTTGATCAAGTGCTCTGAGTGGGAGGCACAGTTGCGCTTCAATCTTTGTATATTATACCTGTACTTTCACGCTGGATAGCTGAGCGAGTATATCAAAATACCAGATCTATCACTTTCTACTGTTTCTTCTTCTTCTTCTTCTTCTTCTTCTTCTTCTTCTCCTTCTCTGATAACCCGACCCATAAGAAGTTGCAGAAGCAGCCGAGTCGAAGGCCCTCTCTTCCATCCGCATGAACACACCCCACCTACCTACCCTCAGCAGTCCGACAGCGGCCTACCGCGCCTTCCCTTTTCACTACCAGGCACCCAAAACCAAATGACATCTCCTTGACGCCCTTCCGCCCTTCCCCAGGCCAACTAGCCCCCCAAAAATAAAGAGAACAGCAATCTTACTGCGACTGGGATTCGACCAGACACTGCCGTCGCACCGCGGTTTGGAACTATGGTGACTCTGATGAGAACCGCTACACCCCCGCGGCTGCCGTTGTATACCCAGACTCGGAACTTGGTGATAGACCCACTGTTCTCCACTTCCATTAGTGCCTGAGGCCACAACACCACAGAATTTAGCCCTATGGGTGCCTTAGTCTGCCAACATTCTTTGTCTTTTGATCGTAGGATAGCGGGATATGGTGAAGATGGGTTGCGTTGATTTTAGATATGGTTGGGCGATCGTGGTGCCTCTCGAATTAGGTATGCAGAGCTAGGGAGGGAGAGGGACGGGGCTCATTCTCTCGTTCTCTCGCGGTAGATTTGATGCAACCAACTGCTTCGCTATGATTTAATTTTCTGTGGCGGTGCCTACGTACTAAGTTATGGGATGCATAACGTTAGGAAAGTGGATAGATTCAATATTCTATGCTCAATCTATTTTTGCCCATGGGGCTTGGAGATGTATGATATCATGTTTCAAAGGAGAAAAAAAAGGATCTATTATATTTCATGAGAATGGGTAAAAAAAAACAACGCGACAAAATATGCTATCCCATCTATCGTCTCTTTTCCGCACGGATCTTCTCACGACGCGAGAGTCGCTCGGCGGCGCGGAGAAGCGAGGAGCGGATGTCGCCCTTCGGGAAAGTGGAAATGTCGTAGTAGGTCGGGGCGATGTCCTAGATTGACACGGGACAGTTAGTAAATCTGTCCATTGATGCTTGCTTTTTCTTCACGAGCTCGTGACTTGGAAGGATGGGGGAGGGTTGAACTTACAATAAGCCACTCGGGCTTGACGGCGGTCACGGTACGGATGTAGTTCTTGGTGGTGAGCACGAACTCATTATACAGGACCCACTCAGCCTCGTGGCCGAGCACCGTCGATGGGTGGAGCAGGACGTTCTGGTGGTCCTTGATGGTCATGTACATGCTCTTGCCCTGGCTCTCCTTCTTGGCAACCTGCATGAAGAAACCAGCGCACAGCGCGCGGCGGATATTCTCGTAGTACTTCTTGTCCTCGAAGGGGGTGGAGATCATCTCGAGCTCCTCGCGTTCCATGATGCGCAGGAGCTGCATGCGGACGTTGTCGGCCGACTGCAGCGACCGGAGGGAGAGGAAGTGGTCGTGGCACCATTGCTTGAGGTTGTCCTGGGCTTCAGGGCTTTTGAAGGCGTGGTAGACGTTGAGGAGGGTCAGGTGGTCACCGTCGGGGTGGGAGAACAGGTCTTTCATTTCGTCTGCGCGCTTCCTTTGAGAAGCCGGGCGGACGAACACGTTGGGCACGGAAAGAAGGGCCGTAATCGAGAGGATCTCGTTCGAGCAGTAGAATTCGGGGGAGCTGATAAGCATGACGGCAAGGGCGGGGTCGAGGGGGAACTCGGATGCGAGGCGGCCCAGCTGGGTCAGATTTCCATCGTCGTCAAGACAGGCAAGGTAGTTGAGTTCCTCCAAGGCTCTCATCAGAGTTTCGGGGGCCGGGGGATCCATCAGGTCGAAGTGAACGAGGTCGTCAATGCCGAGTTTCTTAAGCTCCAGCACCGTCGAAGAGAGGTTGGATCGTAGAATCTCGGGGTAGGTCTGATCGATCAGTTCCTTCTTGAAGGCGCCTTCGGTATAGAGACGGAAGCACTTTCCGGGACGGGTACGACCAGCACGACCAGCTCTCTGTTGCGCGGAAGCCTTGGAGATCGGAGAGACCAGAAGAGATTCGACACGAATACGAGGGTTGTAGATCTTCTGCTTCGAGAAACCGGGGTCGACCACGTAGACAATACCGTCGATGGTAAGCGACGTTTCGGCGATGTTCGTGGACACAATGACCTTTCTACCGGGACGGCCACCCGGACGACGAGCAGGCGGTGCCGGCTCGAAGATGCGCTGTTGCATATGAGGAGGGAGACTACCATAGAGAGGGTAGACCTTAATCGGTCCAGCGTCGGCCTCGCGCATCATCTCGTCCGCCTCCAATGAAATCTTTCGAGAAGCGTCTTCGATTTCTTCCTCACCGGTCAAAAAGAGCAGGATATCACCCTCGTCTTCGGTAGCGTGAATCTGAAGAACAGTCCGAATGGCGGCTTCAACATAGTCCTGCTCAGGCTCGGGGGTATAGAAAATCTCGACGGGGTGGGTACGACCAGGAACAGCAAGGAGGGGGGCATCGTTGAAATAACGCTGGAACTTCTGCGCATCCAAAGTGGCAGACATGATAATGATCTTGAGGTCGGGTCGGCGCACCACAACCTCCTTCAGAAGACCCATAAGAACATCGGTAGCCATGGTTCTTTCGTGAGCCTCGTCCAGAATGATGGTGCTGTAGCGGTTGAGGTCGTGGTCGTGCATGGCTTCTCTCAGAAGCATACCATCCGTCATGTACTTGAGCACCGTCTTGGAACTAGTCATATCTTCGAAACGAATGCTGTAACCGACTTCCTCTCCGAGCTTGACATCCAACTCTGCAGCGACACGCTGGGCAACGGACATGGCAGCGACACGACGGGGTTGTGTACAAGCAACCATCTTGCGCTGGGTCTGCGGCTGATCATCGAAGAGCACGAACTGAGGGATTTGCGTCGTCTTTCCGGAACCCGTCTCACCGACGAAGACGAGGATCTGTGACTTCTGATAAAGCTCTAGAAATTCATCTCTGCGACAAATTAGACAAATTGGAACCGACAATGCACCAGCGCAGCGCGGGCAGGGCACAAAGGGAAGATGCGAAAACCAACCTTTGGGCATGGACGGGGAGGTCGCGACGAGTCTGTAAGATGGAGACGTATTTGCTGGAGAATGGCTGGTTGTTGAAAGGGTTGATCTCGCCATCTTCAACCTCCTTAGCCAGAGCAGCAGTCGTCTGATGCCGCTTCATCTTGCCAAAGGCCGGATGAAGGTCGGCACCGCCATTGTCGGGATACATGTGAGCCAGGTACGGGTTGTTCTTGGGATCTGTCTCAGCCTTGTCCATTTTTTGACGCTTAGCACGCGAACCGTTCTCAGAATCCGAGCGACGATCGACCATGGCGTCAGAAGGATTTGGGGGATAGAAAAAAGGCGGGGTGGACAACAAGTCGCGAGAGAGTTCGTCCGTCGCAGAACTGTTGTTGGAGGCGAGTTTGAAGAAAAAAAGGCAGCCCTGATAGGCAAGTCGGCCGGGCCTCGCCACAGATACTTTTTGTCCCGCTCACCGCTCAAGTATTCTGCCGTCATTTACCCCACGGCGGTTCGGACAGGCAAGGGGAAAAAGAGCAACAGAACCACGTTTGACAGCCAGCTCCATCCACGAAGGCACACATCGTTGGTGAGCCCAGGCTGGCAGTTTTCCCCTTCAAAATTATCGTGTGACTGGCTCGTGTTAGTACTCACCTCTTTATACACCCTTCAACTCCCTGCTTTTTACAATGGCCTGAAATCACTTGTTGAATTGAAACTCAATTGATCGACCACAGGTGGGACCATAATCTTCATCGGATCAACAAGGCGTATTCGACGATACATAAGCCCATCACCATCTATACGACATTGGGGATAACTCCAGTCGCTCTCCACGCAGTCCACCCAATTCCATCGCCCTGAAACTCGCAAACAAAACCACCACCCATCTCCCTGATATCTCTTTGTCCGCCAAAATGGAGTCCTTTACCAACTCCGACACTGTCAACATGACCTTCTGCATCGGGCAGCATGAGGAGGACCGAAAGGTTCCCATTACCAATGAATTGGTACAAGCGGCACACGAGAGTAATGTACGAAACTCCCACTCTAAGATGCAAGCATCTACTAATTCTTCTTCCTGGATAGTATGACATGTTGACTGCGCCGGTAACCACCTCCCACTTCCAATCCCGAGTGCTCGCTCTTCTCTCGACCTATCAAGGGAGCTTACAACCTTCGGCACCAGGCTCCAATGGAACGATGATGACCAGCGATAACACACAGCCGCTCGTGATCCCTGAGCTGGGACCCGCTGATACGCATATGACCCCGGACGAGGCAATGACCCAGCTCGTTGGCGTAACCAGCTCCTGGATTGACTTGTGCTCGCCGGACCCTCTCATTGCGGACATCTCTCGCCAGGTCTTTATGCTGGAAGTGAACTATGCGGCCTTCTGTGGGATTGGATACCTTCTGATTCCGGGGCCAAAACTCCACCACAATGACGCCCATTCGGAGCAGATCATCTACTATGCACGAGCCGTGCAAGATGCCATAAATGTCGCGCCGTATATCCAATTCCACATCTGGACGCAGATGGCCGACACCCCAGATCTCCAAGGAGATAAGGTTACTGACCTGGCCAGCCTCGCGCGCAAGGAGTTTGTCAATGGCTCGGTCGATTCGGTGTCACAGATTGACCCGTTCGGCACCTGGGATGCCTGGGATATCATCAGAAGAGTCTGTAAATATCACACAAGACTCGTCGTAGGTATGGTACTCCGCTGCATCTTAGTAGGCTCGATTCTACTCTTGTATAGCCTTGCTGATCATTGTACTAGCACTCGCACTGCCCAAGCAACTTCCTCCGATGTCCGTGCAGTCCCGCTGGTACTCGGAGCCGACTCACATGCTCACGATTCATGGTAATACCTTCCTCAAGAACCAAAAAGGCTACCCCGTGCTGTCAAAGGCACACCAAGCCCTGATTGCTCGATTCATGCGCCTCCGGACCGCCCCCTGGATCCTCCTTTGTGAAGTTGGCCCTATCCCAGGAGTGGAGGTGGACGAGTCGTTTGAGAACCCGGATGCACCAGGCTCGGAGTATCCTAGCCTCGCGCAGGCTGCAGTCTCGAACAAGAGGCACCACGATCCCACTCCTCATCTATCTTATCTCAGAAATCTCCAGTCCCGCCAGCCTCCCCGCAGCGCTATGGAACGGTTCGGGACAGGCTATCAGGATTATCTCCAAGCCCCGTTGCAGCCATTGACCGTCAATCTGGAGAGTATCACCTACGAGGTCTTCGAGAAAGATCCCATCAAGTACGACTGGTACGAAAGAGCCATAGCGAAAGCCCTGATGGACTGGTCGAAGAAGCCGAAATCCGGGCCAGATGGCAAAGTATCGGTCGCTGTTGTCGGAGCCGGTCGAGGACCGCTCGTCGGCCGTGCCCTTCGAGCCAGCGCCGAAACAGGCGTGGAAATTGACCTTTGGGCGGTGGAGAAGAATCCCAATGCATTTGTTCTTCTCCAGCGTCACAACAAGAATCACTGGGGTGGGAAAGTCACGTTGGTCCACTCTGATATGCGAAGCTGGAAGGGTCCTCTGATCGCGAAGGGAGCCGCTCCAGCATCGCACTCAGCTTTGGTAAGAACAGCCAGACTTTTCCCCTCCATATGCATATGACAAGAGCTCCCTCCATAACGCTAATACTTAAATTCAGAACTCCACGCAATCACCCACCTCCGGCACCGCGGGACCCGACCTCGTCCCTACCACGATTGACATCCTCGTCTCCGAGCTGCTAGGCTCCTTCGGCGACAACGAGCTTTCTCCCGAATGCCTCGACGGCGTCACCCACCTCCTCACCCCCGTCCACGGCATCTCCATCCCGGCCTCATACACCGCCCATCTCACCCCGATCGCGGCGCCCAAGCTGCACGCCGACGTGATGAACCAGTCCATCTCCAACCCCGCCGCCCCCGAGACGCCGTACGTGGTAATGCTGCACGCCATCGACTTCCTGTCCACGAACCAGCCCTCGGCCACCGCGCTGATGAACTCCGGCGCCGGGAGCCACCACCACCACAGCGTGCGCAACTCGATTTCCACGCTGCCCGGCGGCGGGGGATCCAGCGAGACGCCCATCCCCTTCGTCCAGACGACCTGGTCCTTCGAACACCCGAACCTCAACATCCCGCCGCAGTCCCCGTCCTCCTCGACGATCTCCAACGCCCACAACGTGCGGCGCACCCGCCTGACGTTCCCCGTCCGGAACCGCGGCGTCTGCCACGGCCTGGCGGGCTACTTCGAGACTGTGCTCTACCGCGACATCGAACTGTCGACGAATCCCGTGACCATGGATGCCAAGAGTCAGGATATGATTAGCTGGTTCCCCATCTACTTCCCTCTCAAGGTCAGTTTTTGCCTCAAAATTATCCTGCGTATAACCTCACATCTACGAGACATCCTTGGGAATTGTTGTGTTTAAAATTAACATCCGCAAAACAAAATGACAGACCCCCCTCAACGTCCCGGATAACGGCGAAGTGGTCGTCACCATGTACCGACAAACGGATAACCGCAAGGTCTGGTACGAGTGGATGGTCGAGGTGTTCGCGCTGGAAGGCGCAGCAGCAACAGGAGGAGGAGGCAACCCGGAGCCTTCCACGGCCGTCGAGCTGATGGCAGCTCCGGTCATGAGCGGTGCTCGGACGGCGGGCGCCTCCGCTGCCGTGAACAGCCCCGATCGGGAGCGCTCCAAGGCGGCGGCGGCGGCCAGATCACGTGGCGTCCGGCGCGTGCGTGTTGGCACCAGCGATCTACACTCCAGTATCAAGGAAGGGTGTCTCATGTGATTTTGACATGACCATCTACCTCTTTTCTTGTTGTAGTGGTTGATCCCCGGGGGAGATCATGGGCTATCATGACGTAGTGATAGTGGAATGGGAGGGGTTGGAGGATAACTACAGTGGATGAACTATCACGGGTTGGTGTTGGTTATTGTGTGAGGCGTGCTGCGTGTGATGTGTGATGTGTGATGAAATGAATATACGTAGTCAGATTTCGGGAGTGGGGAGAGCCAGAGAAAGAAGCGGGAGGCCATAGTATAGTAGAGGTTACCTAGTACACATGCCGCCTACTAGAACTTAGAACATTGAGATGAATCGAGTTGAGGGGAGGGGGGTTGGTTGCATCTCACTCTTCTCCGCTGGTTAAACCCCATCCCATATACATTCACACGGTTGGTTTGAGATGTTGAGATTATCCATCCTCGGACTTGAGCTCCGCTTACGAGTATTGAGACCAGCCAAGAAAGTACAGTGACCACGCCCCCAGAAAATAATGACCGCGGGTTAATGTCCGCTCTATAAACGATGACGACCGACTGGACGGGATCCAGACGGACGGACAATGGTCAATTGGAATTTCCCTCCCGACGGACAGCTCGCTGGATTGGGGATATAGGCAATGATTTCCAATGGGAAGTTAAATGTTATTGGCACGGACCACACAGAAGCGATCGCCTCGCCGCCTGCGAGAGTGATTGGCAATGGATAACCGATGGGGGAAGGGTGGACGTGGCTGCTTCCTGTGATTTGGATCGAGGCGGCCCGAATTTGGGAGGGGGGTTAAAGGTATGGCTCAGGGCTCTTGGCCCGACAGATTATCCTTGGGTTGATTCACGGTGGTTTGTTTGGCTGGATTGGGTGGTCTCACGGCGTCCAAGCGTCCGCGCCCGCGGCCGGAAGGGAGGGTCCTCGGCGATGGTGGCCTCGCCGTGTTTAGCGATGTCCCCCTTTCCCCATCCCCATCCCGGGGGTTAAGGGGGCTATGTTATACTGTGATAATCATCTACTGAGTAGTTTGATACCAAACAACGTACGGGGTACTGAGATTGTACCCACCCGTAGGCGTAAGGTCATCATAAGCAACGCAGCCTAGCAAAGCAAACACCGAATTCGGTTGGCGGGTCGTCACACTGGGCGCACCTCCGTGGAACAAACTGTAAAGCTGCAGATCGGAGGAACTGTAGTCTGTAGCCAAGACCGGAACTAGTGTCGCGGTATGAAGGACTATTAGCGAAGATGGGAGGTAGAGACGGGGATCAAAAGCCGGGAACAGCCTGAAAGCACGTCCTCGATTATGACGAGTTAGCTTCAGGAGTTATTGGATTCACGTTTACCACGGCGAGAGTCAGAGTGAGAAACGTGTTGCCGTGGACTGCCGTGGTTGGTTTCATGTCTTGACGGAGCGCGAGGTTCCGATTAGATAGAATAGATATCGGATTGATGGTGCAGCTAATTGTTGGATATGCATCACATACTCAAGGTTGGCACTCCTTGGTGCCCCCTCTTTGGCAATAGTTGCTGCTGCTGCATTGCCTTATCGTCGTCATCTTTGCTGCACTGCAGTTACTGCAGGCCCTGGAGGGGAACCGAGATGCATAGTCCAGTTGGCTACGGTGGTTTTCTACCTGGTTTCATGCTGGGATGAAGGGGGTCTGGACCACGGCTGTGAGTTTGACTAGAGTTGGCAATCGGTTCCAGGCCGAAGAGTTGGTTTGCTTATTCCTAGACGCTGTCGCGATCTGTCCCATGTTCCCCATCCCGGCTCATCTTATCGTCCACGACAGCAGAGGGGGTACGGAACAGATTTCCCGCGGCAGCCAAATTGCTCCGGGAGAGTAGCCAGTCAGTGAGGATTTCTTACTGCACGTTGAAGTCGATGTCCAGTTTCTGTAACAGTCTGACGGGCGGGGGAGAGACGCTTTAGGGGCCGGAATCTCGCAATTGGCAGTCGGCATTGTTGTATTCTAATAACGATGATTGATGATAACGATAGCGTATCGATAGGCAAGTGTGGTCGGAGTTAAGCCGCCTTCCGGAGAGCGGCTGCCGAAACGAGGGGGGGGGGGCTCCGACTGTGGGACGGATAGGCGGATTGGCGTCAGTACTGGAGGAATACCTGGTTATGCTATGGCAAGTAAGGGTATTTCATGATAATGCAGCTATGAATAATGCATAGACGTCTGGAAAATGATCACCGAAGAAAGAGGACTGGAATGAGAATGCAGTTGGGGGGGTGGGGCTGGCGGTGGAAATGAAGATGTGTGTCTCATGGTTGCAGGAAACGAGCGTCGGAGGTCCGAAGCAGGCAGGGAAAAAGAGAGAAAGAGAGAGGCTGAGAAGAGTAAGTGTGAGTGAGCACTGAGCACTGAGCACTGAGCACTGAGCTTGGATGGAGGGAGAAATTGGATGGAACTTGGAAAGAGTGAGTGAGTGCCAGAAAAGGCAAGCCAGTCACACGGACCACCTTTTCTTATCCTCTCCAGTCTCCATTCAATGGAATCCACTCTTTCCATCCTTTTCCTCCACGCCTTGGAGGCAAAAAAAAAGTCAAACAAAAAAAAGTAAAAAGATAAGCCCAGCTCGGTTTTCTTTTACAACTACCACGACGACCACCTCTACCACCACACCATCTTCTTCATATTCTCTTGTTCTCTTGTTCTTATTGACATCATTTCAATAGAACAGAACCCAGTCAGTTCCCTTATCTAGGTTTCTCCTCCGCCGATGATTGTCCGGCTGTCGCGTCGCTCTACCATCATCACTACTACTGCGGGTTGACACAACTGCTCTTTGGTTAACCCTCACTACTTTCTTGCTACTACTGCAAAACAATCTCCACTCCTCCTCCACTTTTCACCACAACTCCTGTACTTCCCCTGGCTTGACTCGCACTCCCTCCTCCTCCTCCTCCTCCTCCTCCTCCTCTTCCCTTCTTCTTATTCTCCTCCCTCCTCCTACTTTTCCTCCCACCCGACCGTGGCTTTGTCCCGTTTTATTCTTTCATCCTTCTGCCGACCGGGTTCTCCTCACTTGCGAATTAATCCTTCCGCTCCCGCCTTATCTACTTTCCAGGCCTGACATGGTTCACTCAACGAGCGAAGAACGTGCCGTACATTTGACTCGAGAGGCTGTTGAATTGATAGATGCTGGTCACCGTGAGGTATGTCTGACTTCCACGTTTCTCTTTCGTACTTCGTCTATCTGAGAGTCTACCGTGTCGTCGCGTCAGTTTGCGACCGCTTCAGGTGGCTAATGTCATATATCGCAGGCCGCTTCGCGGAACCTTCGAGAAGCCCTCACCTTAGCGCCCGAACATCCAGCTGTCAAGGAAGCTTTCCTGAAGATCCAAGAGGAGGAGGAAAATGGCCATCACCTCCTAGATCTCTGCCGCCGGTATACTTCAGGGAAGGACGAACCCGCGGGTAAAGATGCCGCCCTCTATCTGCGCACCGACGGCCTCAAACCGCCCGAGGAGGTCGCACTGGATTGTGTCAAATTTATCTTGGCGCAACGCCCACATGCCTTGTCCTCGCTACAGGACGACATTATCTCCGGTCTGGTTCGCCAGAGTACAAGCGTGCGTCAGCACTTCTCCAACCAGCTTCAAATCTCCGTCACCACCTTCTTTGACGAGATTTACGAAAGGGGCGACGCAGCTGCTGTTTGCCTCGACACCGTTGTTCTAGACCCCTCCGTTTGGCTATCGCAGGATGCTCGTCTGCATTGTGAACGTGAGCTCTTCCAGCTATTCATCGCCAAGCTGATGGAGTCTGGTCATGATGAGGACGGTCGCTCACTCAAAGGTATTGCGCGGCTGCTCGCCGTTGACGCGGCCAGGTTGCAGGATTTGGTGGATGATGAGAGTCTGGATGTGATTTTGTCGTCCCTGGATTCTCGCCTACCTCTTGAATGGAGAAGTCAGGCTACTTTGGCAACAGTCAAGTACCTCGAGGTCTCGAAAGAAGTTGGCCAGAATCGATTCTCCAACCTGGTCTCTTCCAAGGTGATCAAGGGCCGCAGTGATGGGCTGATTGAGGCCTTCTCTGCAACTGCTGCCGTCTTTCCTGTGATCCCGGAGGCTGCCGCAGCTCTTTTTCTTTCAGAGAGTTTTCTCGCTGCATTGGCTCCTCTGACCTCCAGAGATGCGAAGAGCCGGAAAGTTGAAACATCGTTCTTGGAACTTCTAAATGCAGCCTGCGTCAACAAAGACTGTCGTGAGGCGATCTTCACACATCTGTCTACCTGGCTCTCTCATCTTCTCACCAATGGCAGTGACCAAAGCTCTGAGTTGGCAGCGGTTATCCTGGCCAAGGTTCGGACTGCCGCGCAGGTCGCGCCCTCCGAAACCACTGGTAAACTCCAGGATGAGGACACCCGGGTTATCGAGCTGGTCGATCGGTTCAAAGACTCGATGTCGAAGCGCAAGGGTGAGAGCATGGCTAATGTGATTGAGGGTTTGGCCTATGCCTCTGTCAAACCCGCCGTGAAGGAGCAACTTGCAAAGGATCCAGTCTTTGTGCAGAACCTCATTAGAGTGTTACACGAAAACTCTACTGTCCCGTCAGTCCTCTATGGTGGCTTCATGATCATCATGAACCTCACCCAGTTTCTTCCCAACCTGACGGAGGAACAAAAGAAAGTCTCACAGCTCAAGTCATACGCTGAAGCATCGCCCAAGGCCCGCAACGGCCCTGATCCCTTGGACGAAGAGCAACACGTCATTGCTCGTTGCACCGCACTTGTCGAAGCAGGAATTGTCCCCCTTCTAGTCGACTGTGTCAAGACCAGCCTGCCTTCTGTACAAATTCTCATGAGCAAGATTCTCCTCTCTCTCTCGCGTGATCGCAAGTCTCGCGGTGCTCTAGCACAACAGGGAGCCGTCAAGCTATTGATTGGTATGTCGACCGTGAAGCAGGGCTCATCGCCAACTGAGATAGTCAGCAATGCTTCGCATGCGCTGGCGCGAATCTTGATCTCTGTCAATCCTGCGCTTGTTTTCCCAAGCTCTGGCTTCCCTCAGATCACGTCTGCGATTCGGCCTTTGACTGCACTCCTTTCCGTTCCAGAGACAACCAGTCTTTCGACAGAGCAGCCGCGGGACTTGCTTCCCGTCTTTGAGAGCTTGTTGGCTCTGACGAATTTGGCCTCACACCCTGATGAGTCCGCTCCTGAAGCCATTGTTCGCCAAGCCTGGCCTGTTATCGAGGAACTCCTTCTCTCCAATAGTCCCTTGGTACAGCGTGCTGCTTGTGAGCTTGTCTGTAACTTGATGACTTGCGAATCAGGCGTAGTGAAGTTTGCCGATGGCTCGAAACGTGCTGCCCAGCGTCTGCATATCCTCTTGGCCCTTACCGATACTGACGACCTCGCCACACAAAGTGCTGCGGGTGGAGCTCTCGCCATGCTGACTGAGTTTGATGCAGCGATGGCAGGAGTCCTCGAACGGCCTCGTGGTGTTCAGTTGCTGCTTGGTCTGTGCCAGGAAGAAGACGACGGGCTTGTACATCGCGGTGTTGCCTGTATCAGGAATATGACCTGTCTTGCCACCGGTGATGTTGCTCGTCGGGCCAAAGATGCCATTAAGCAGAATGGAGGCATCGACATCCTGACAAATTTGCTGAAGAAGACCAAGAATCCCGCTATCCTCCAAGTCGGTGTCGAGGCCCTCAAGCCTTTGGTGTCATAGGCATTTTGTCTTCATAACGAGCTTTCACGTTTTCCTAGTTATTCTCGGTGTTTCATACCTATTTTGCTCGATAAAGCGTTTGGGTTTGCGGTATTAAAGCTCGCGTCAAGGGTTCGGTGTTCGGTCCGGTTGTTTGTGGTTTTTAACGGCGTTCATCAGCCTGTCTGACATTTGGTGTTATCATGTGTTGCTTGAGTTTAACGAATATTGCTGGTCTTATGAGCGTGGGGAACGGTGGCTGGATTTTCTCAATGCGTCAGGAATTCCGGAGTGCATTTGTCCCTTTTTGAGTCCGCCATAGACCAGAACGATGTGCTCTTTTGTGTCGAATCAAGACGACCTTGATAGCTATTTATTGAATGATTCTCTCAGTGAGATATGTTTCCATCCAATTAGTGTAATCATGGCCAAGGGAGTCGAACACTTGATGCGGAGTAACGCAAGTAAAATGCGGGGGTGACCAGATTTGAGTGGGGGTAAAAGTGGAGAGAGAGAGAGAGAAGGGAGAGGAGAATGGGGAAAACCACCCGCGAAGCGGGAATGTGTATAGTAAAACCTGGTGATTGTAGTATTCGAGACTTTTTCCAATGAAGATCAGGGCGGTCAATTGTTAAGGGTGTTGTGCACCTCTCTCTGTGAGAATTGAGCGAGGTCTTGCTTGGATTCAAGTGGAGCTTTCTCCTCGACTGCCCCTGATGCCCCTGCTAATTGATATGTCGGTTAAGGTAGGGGTGATTTATCCAGAAATTCGTCTGTAAGTCACTCGTCAGTGAACTGTGGAGAGAATCTCTTTGTATCTTCTCCAAAGATATATAGTCTATATTGAGAACAGAAAAGATGAAGAAGAAAAACAAGAGGAACAGAATTAAGAAGGGGAAGAGGCGGAGGGCGAGGGCGAGGTTTTGAGGGAAATAAAAGCGTTCTCCTGGTGGTTGTGGTGGTGGCCGAAAAATCGCGCATGCAAACATAGGTAAACACACTTACCGGTCAATTCAACACACCCTGCCGGCCGGCCGGCCAGCCAGCCGGCCGGGCTGCCTTGGGGATACTTATGACGCAGCTTGTGTAATTCTGCATGTTTTGCGCATCTTTCTGATTTATTCCCCTTGATTTGGAGGCTTTTTGGTCGGTACTTGTAGGTTTTTTCTGGGTTGGTTACTTCCAGGAGAGATGGCTTGAGGAGTCGGAAGGGGTTTGTGGTGAAGTTTAAGTGTGCAGATGGTGATGTATGAGCTGCCTACTATAGGGTGCAGTTATGGTGATATGGCTATGGTTATTGGAGCTCTAGTTGGATCGCCCTTTGATTTATCTTTGTTGAAGTCAATTGGGGCATTTTATCTTGTGGATTTCTGGCTATGCTGGCTACAATAGACTAGACTAGACTAGGACGAGGTTTTTGACTCTTGCTGGCTGATAGGGCGTTATCACATTGTCCTACTATGTCTGTGGTCTTCGTTCTAACATATGTGGTAGCGTATGGCGTTTCTGAATATATGGACTGTCTTTGAGCGAAAGTAATGCATTGGTCGTCGAGGATACGCCCCGAAACTATGGTGGTGTAAGTAAGGATTGTGGAGATCGTCTACCGGTATACTTACTTCTTGTTGTCATCCGCTGGGCCTAGTCAAGGGGTATTCAGAGGGCAGAGTCGACGGTGTTCTCGCTGCGCTTCCAGTCGCTGGTGTTGCCGTCAGTGTTATCCCGCTTCCAATCGCTGGTGTTGCCATCGACAGAATCGTCAGAACGCTTCCAGTCACTGGTGTTGCCGTCGACAGCATTCTCCCCGCGCTTCCAATCGCTGGTATTGCCATTAATCGTGGAGACTGAACCAGCATCGGGTACTGGGATGGCAAGGACACCAGACACCAGGCAAGCGGCCAAGCTCAGGGTCATGAATTGCTTCATCTTGTTTTGTGTGATGTGAACAGAAAAGAGGAAGTATAGCAGCAAAGTGTGAAAAGCGAAGTTGAGAAAGAGATGGATGTCCAATGCCTGATGAGCTCTGTAGATTGATGCCTCTTATGATAGAAAACACGCCTCTTTATATAGTAAGAGAGGGCGAGTCTGCCTAGCAGGTGAGAGCTATAGACCACACCAGTCGCGCGGTGGGTTCCGCCATCCTGACCTGAGCAGACCCCGGGTGAATGTGGTAGTGCTGACTCTCATCCATAATAAGCTCATTAAAAGAACTTCGCCATGAGTCTCGTATTCCGGACAGCGGTATTTCCCAATGAGCCGTCATTGTGGACGAGACTAACTGCAGAGGGTTGCAGTAAACATGCAGTCAACCTATTCCAATGTTATCAATGTGTAAAAGTTGACATACGGCAGAATTTACCATCTTCCTCATTTGGAGAAATCTCCATACGCTACTGCACCGGACGTCGAAGTGGCTGATGTTGGTGTACTGAGTAAATTACTGGGAAGCAGCACGCGATGCCCGCAGAGTTACTGGGTTGAGTAAATGATGCTTGATGAGTCTATGAAGGCGGTCAACTTGGAAGAAGGCTCTCTACCCCGCATGCTACGAGTAGTGGGGCCCTGAGAGAGGAAACAAAGGACTTGTCGCTGTTCTACCTAGAATTATCCCAGAAGGCTGATTAACCTTTGGAACCTACACGACCCTGATCCCCCTGATAAAAAAGGCATGGAGAGACAGGTGCAATGATTGTGCCAAACTGACAATGCTTAAGAATCAACAACTTTTTATCGCCTAAGCTCATTCCTTCCCTGCATTGAAATTAACTTGGCAAATGTAAGCATGGAAAGTGAGTTACATCAGCAACCGGCGATGCTCACAAATACTGACTCGTGTCAAAGTCACTCCTCTTGAGGGCTCACTCCAAGATGTCACCACAAGCACTACCTCATTAATTGATTAAGAAGAATCAGGCTGAATCTTTACTTCAGCTCGATTTGCCACAGCCACAAAGCGACTCTGGCGCGCCCTGGAGCCTCATAGACGCGGCAAGAACGACAGCGAAATGCTGCGATGTGTACCACGATCCACAGCTCCACAACCAGAAACTATTTATCAGGCATCATAATCACGAACCCACTTCGATTGAAGCTATACAAATACAGTGCGGAATCAGTACCGCTACCCACACTCTCTTGAGCCCATTTTCTCGTGTATGCACATAAGACGGCAAAGGGGCGCTTTGCAGACGACATGATAGAATGCTTGCTCCACCCTCCGGAGCGGATTTTTACCACGGAACATGCCCGAGGGTTCAATTGCTCGCAACAGAAGATGAATTTGCATATTCGCATGGCTCGACTCGTATCTGCTCTTGGGTTGCACCCTCAACGCCCGCAAAGCTTCGTCATCCGCACATCGCGAACCTTCATGCTTCTACTTCGTCTCGGGCCAGGGTGTCAGGTACACAGTTCGAGGACGATAAGACTACTGCTATGCAAGCTCAGACATACTGTATCATCTCGCTGCTTTGAGTCACATTCTCGGGGCCCACTAAACTTGAAGTCCGGCCAGACATCATGAATGTGTCTAAAATCCGGTCGCTCGATACTCCAGCCTCGCGACCCGGGTTACAATGGCTGCAAGTATTGGTAGGGTGACATCGTGTGATCTCCCCTGGACCTCCAAGCGTCTCCACCTGTGATATAAGTACATCTCCGCGGGATTTCCGGCTGAGGTATCATGTAAGGTGACCATGTCCACGATACAGTTGCGCCATTCCCTAGCAAGAAGTCGTGTACTTCTTGCGTAGAGAAACTGACTATTTCCTCTGGTGAGATCCTTAGTGAATACGAGATACTAGAGGTGCATACGACCTCGACTTGTGTTTAGGCTAGTCATTGGAAGTTTACATCTGTCTCTGCTAGGCATGCATAGATGGGGGCAGCCCTCTCCTTTTCCAACCGCATAACCACGCTGTTCACAAGCTTCAACCCATAGATGTCGGGTAAATACCACAGTGGACTTCTTCGACTCATAAGGGCCCAAACCGTTGCCCAGTTTACCCCTCGAACTTTCGAAGCAATTATCCTCAAGTAATATTCAGCTGAATGGCCAAAGCCACTGATTGGAGGGACTTTCTGCTGTAGTGACAGTGATCATGCACCTGAACCGCATAATCCAAGCCACCTGCGCAGAGCGAATGTCGTTATCAAGACTTCGTCAAACGGAAGAAGGCCGATGGTTGGGGCTACTTGGTTGATTCGTGGACTTGTTCCCACGACACAGTGGAGATACCTCGTATTGCTAATGATCATCTCTGACCGCGGTAGCCAGAGCCAGTCCTTGGTTGCCACCACGGCGCCATTGGGTGGAAGATATATAGGCTGACTATTAGCCGTGGGGTGTGAGGAGTGGAGGTAGCGATCATCGTCTGGGTGGTACGGGGGATGATAGCCTACACGCTACTAGGTAGGCGGTATTCAACTACTGTTGGAGTAATCAACGTTGATGATACATACCTATACAGTGCCTGATCAAGTTGAGGCACCTCCTATCCTTCGAAAGTTCGTCCTGTCCGCTAACTAGGACTCACCACACCTGAAGTCTACCAGTGGACACGCTGTTGAGTGTCCTTGGCTATACAGATTCGTATCGGAGAGCTTTCGGCAAGGCAATGCATGGCTCTGACGCTCTTTTTTCAAACTTGGGGTTTGCATTATGTAGACCTCCCGCTGAGCAAGGCCCACAAAAAGCGGGCGTCTACGTCCAAGGCGCCCAGCAGTACTGGTTATTGCACTCAACCAGAATGCAGACTCGCTATCACTTAAATAAAAGAAAAAAGTGCAGCAGACCACGGGCATTCGAGTTCGATATCGAAGTATGGAATGCAATTCACTATAGTCTTCTTGAGTCAAAGTTGGCTCTAGTATACAGCCACACGACGATGTTATGGCGGAATGAGGTGTTACAAAGTAGCCAGAGCGACCAGCCTCCGCTTTCTCCGGAGACCTCGAAGAGAGCAGCGACTTAATGTTCTTATCATAGTCGTTCGCAAAAGCGATGAGGAATCGAGACAATCATATAAAGCCTCCATGTTCTTTCTTCGATAGTCCAGATTGTAGAAGGAAGCCGCGTGATCGTATAGAGCACTATATATTATTGACCTTGAGGTCAGGCGACCAGGATGTATCAGTTCCTTTCTAAGATAGTGCAGTGCACTTGAGAGGTAGCAAGGCCATAGTCAAACTTCCAAGGAGTAATAAAGGTGTAGCGAATACCAAGAAGTGTAGTCAAGATTGAAGTGAGGAATGTCTACTTTGCAGCATAGTGAATCACTAGTGTGTGCAGGAGCAGGTCACGTTAGAGTAGAGTACAGTAATCCTGCAGCTTGGGGGGAGGTCATCTGACTTGACGGGAGTTTTCCATCTTCTCCCGGACAGCAACAATAACTACCGAAATGCAACTCCTTCTTACTTGGTATGTTGAAGTTACTCGGGTCATAACCTCAGGAAGATTGCAACCCTTCTTTATTGGAACCATGCAATCACAGGCTCAACGCTAAAATTGTTAATCGAACCCTTTGAAGTTCGAATGGACAATGTTCGGCCACGACTCGCCCCTCCCCCCTCCCTCCGACGCATCTAGCCACAAATCAGAATTGAGGTGACAGTGAGGGGAACGGTGATCATCGCTGCGAGGGAATATCCCGCCAGAAAAGAACTTCTGCTTCTCGAATCCGCCAGCCTTTGAGGCCTAGAAAGCAGCGGGTCACCGGACTCATCGCCTATCAACGGGCTAAGCACTACGGACGGTTCAGTGACAGTCAAACAGTTTAGAAGGCTTAATTTGCGAATTAGTGGGGGAGCAAGTCAGCGCTATTGGCAGACTAGCAGCTGGTGTGAGACTTAGATTAAGAACCGGAGAATGGCCCCCTTTATCGAATATTCGAATACTCACTCACAAGTCACAATTGAGTCAGTGAATCGTCCTGATCAACATAAGGTTACCGCCATTTGACCTGTTTTCACACAGATCCAAGAGCGGAACCATCTGCTAAGAATCAGATTCCTCACAGACTCTTAGACATTGGGCCGAACCAGTTTTCTGCGGAGGAGATTGCGGGCAAATCAGGGAGCGTCCGGCGTGCAGCAGATCCAGCCGCCCGCGTTCAATGGTCATTCCGCCCCGGAATTCCTCTTCTTCTTACGTCGGGGTGGATTCCTTTCATCCCCACTCGGGTTAGCAACTGATATTTTTGTCGGTTCCCTTCGATCATATGTCTTGGCCGACTCTCGCACGTGCTGATAGCTCGGTCCCTTTCCTTTGTCGCCTTGTCCCAAGGATTCCGAACTGTATATGACCCGTGCCTCTCGCCTTCTTTTCTTCGATCTTCAAACGCATCCATCTCTCTCTCTCACTATCCTACCATCCAGGTTCTTCACACTACCCCAGCTGGCTTGACCATGACTCCGCGATAAATTAACACATGGCTCTGTGCTCGAAGTCGACTTGTCATTTTTCTTTTGTCTGCCCCAGATCCACTTGTTCTCCATTTGATCATCATTTCGTCAGCTGTGCACTTCCTTGGCCGAACAAACCCCTAGACGAGTTCTAAAAGAGCTTATATCTCACCTTCTGTCCTCATTTCGAACAGTTTCGATCAGCCTCAACTCAAATTCTTTCGAAAATGAAATTTGGACGCAACTTGCCCCGCAATGTTGTTCCGGAATGGAGCGCGAACTATATTCATTACAAGGACTTGAAACGGCTCATTAAAGCCTCGGCGGAGAACGTAAAGGCTGGCCATGAGGCCGATCTTACAGGTAAGCTTCGACCCTGTTTGTACTCACCCAGGCCGTTGAGCGCTTGTTTTGACTCGAACTCTAGGGTTTTTCTATGCGCTCGATCGAAACCTCGAGGATGTCAACTACTTCTATAACAAGAAATACACCGACTTTGCGCGCCGCATGAAGATTTTGGAAGAGCGATATGGTCCGTCACTGGATGGCCGCCAGCGCTTGGATTCCGAGGAAGTTGAGGATCTTTTGGCAGCACTGCTCGAGCTACGTGGTCAATGGCGCAAACTCCAGTGGTACGGAGAAGTCAACCGTCGGGGCTTCATCAAGATCACCAAGAAGTTGGACAAGAAAGTTGGCGTTCAGACACAGCAGAAGTACCTGGAGACGAAAGTCGACCCACTGCCCTTCGCGTCGAATCCGGATATAACCAACGCTCTGAAAACCATCAACGACCGCTTGTCGATTCTTGGGGAACAGAAGATCAACGATGATGCCAGCTCTACACACTCGTCCCTATCATTCAAGGCAGGCCGATCCCGCCCCCATCTGAATCTGCCATCCAGTATGCTTCAAGCTGTTGACGAAGCGTTGCGCAAAAATGATACCCACGTTCTACTAGAGTTACTCGAGACCTTGAAGGTGGCTGCGGATGACTCGGCAGAACACATCTGGCCTAAAGTCCTCCAAAGTCTTCTCCAGCGATCCATCTACTATCGCGCGAACGCTTGCATCACAGTGTTGCTGAACCGCATGGACACGCTGGACGAAGAGGACGATATCAATAAACGTAACTGTATCCATCGATTGGTGATCTCGATCGGTCGAGCGCAACCCACCAACGATTCGGAGCAGTCTGCTTCTATGGTCCTTGACTTCCCCTTGGAAACATCGAACTACATCACTCCTGCTGCTATGCCTACTCTCCAAGCGCCTCGTTCGGTCGTGAAAGAGGACGAGTTCCCTCAGCATCTGGAGAGATCTGATCCATCGGTGTCGCTGCTGCAGCATATACTAGATCAGCTTCACCCTACCCAGCGCAAAGCCCTGCTTGCGAAGGATATTTCCGGGCGTACCCCGCTGCATTATGCAGCACAATATGGATTCAAGGTTGTGTGCGAAGTCATTATTGAGCACCTGCAGGCGTGGGATATGTTCGACGTCACCGAGGGAATCGACGGCCCACGTTGGCAGGACAATGATGGCTGGGCTCCGTTGCATCTGAGTGTCGTGGGCGGCCATCCCTTGACTACGAAGCATCTCCTTGAGTCCGAAAACTGGCATGGGGCCAATAAAGATAAAGCCAAAATCCGCAAACAAGTCTCGCGCTCGAGTGCTGTGCTGGCTTTGGCGACCAAAGCAAACTTTGTCGACATCGTACGCCTTCTGGTTGAGGCCGGAGTGGACATCAACTATCAGGATGACCACGGCGAAACCGCACTGCATGTTGCTGCCCGCTTTGGTCACCATGAATGCGCAGATATTCTGCTGCAGGGTAATGCAGAACAGAAGGCCGACACTGAACTCGCTGAGAAGACGTATGGATGGACTCCACTGTTCATCGCTTGCGTTGATGGAGCTTTGAGAGTTGTGGAATTGCTGATCGAAGCAGGGGCCGAACTTGAAAGGCTTGACTCTTCCGGTTGGACTTCCAAGGAGCATGCGGCCTTGAGAGGCCATCTCGATATCGCTCGATGCCTTGCCAAAGTCACACCACCTCCCGAGATCAGCGAATCGGAGCCCGTCATTCCCGTTCCAACCGTCTCGTCCGCTCCACCATCTCCACCACCGTCTTCTTTGTCTGACAGGCGGTCTCACGCACCTTCCAGCAATACCTCGTTGCGCAATGCAGAGCCTATCAAGACTTTTGGCCATCGGTATCTCACTGATGAGTCCATGGTTCTGGTCAGCCTGGGCACTATGGACATGCGAAGCTCCATCGAGGCTGTCAATCTTGACCGAATCCCCATGGAGAGCGCCCATTCCACCCAGCTCGACACTGCTTTGTCGATTGTCGTTTCGGCTAGCGGGGCTCGAGGGGAGCCTGAGATTATCGACCTTCCGGTTCAGGATAACATCTCGACTGAGCCCATCGTTTTTCACGCCAAAGATGCTTCCAAAGTCAGGCTCCTGTTTGATCTAGTCCCTACCTACGCTGGCTCTAAGGACAAGATTGTTGGACGCGGTGTTGCCTTGCTTTCGAGTATCAAGCCCACACTTGGATCTCACCGCATCAACCTCAAAGGCGATTCTACAGTCCCTATTGTTGCAGCAAACACATTAGAGGTGATCGGTTCGGTCACATTCAATTTCCTGATCATTACGCCATTCAAGCATCCCAACATGACAATCACTGGGGACCGTACGTACTGGAAGAGTATGAGTTCCACTATGGTGATTGGGCATCGTGGTCTTGGTAAGAACTTTGCCAGCCGCAACTCATTACAGCTTGGCGAGAACACTGTGCAGTCATTCATCGCTGCTGCTAATCTGGGCGCTTCCTACGTCGAATTCGACGTCCAGCTGACAAAGGACCATGTACCTGTCATTTACCATGATTTTCTTGTCAGCGAGACGGGAATCGACGCTCCGGTCCACACTCTCACGCTGGAACAATTCCTTCAGGTGGGAGACAATAAACCAGCCCGTCGCCCTGGCTCGCCACCCCAGACGCCAGACGTTTTCGGCACTGAAAAGGGTTACTTCAATCTCCGCCAGCGGTCGATGTCTGTTGGTGGCTCGGAATATGACCCATCCGAGCTGAACGAGAAGATCAAGCACACCCGTGACTTCAAAAAGAAGGGCTTCAAAGGTAACAGTCGTGGCAACCACATTCAAGCGCCTTTTGCCACATTGGAAGAATTGTTCAAGAAGCTCCCTCAATCCGTTGGATTTAACATCGAGCTGAGTGAGTATCCTTCCGATCAAAGAACATACACACGAGACACTGACCACGGCGACTAGAATACCCCATGCTCCACGAAAGCGAGGAGGAGGAGATGGACACGTATGCAGTGGAGTTGAATTCTTTTGTGGATACTGTCCTTACTAAGGCCTATGATATGGGCCAGGGACGCAACATGATCTTCTCCAGCTTCAACCCAGACGTCTGCTTGCTACTTGCTTTCAAACAACCCTCTATTCCCGTGCTCTTCTTGTCGGACTCTGGAGCGTCTCCTGTTGGCGACATTCGTGCTAGCAGTCTGCAGGAAGCAATCCGCTTTGCATCCCGATGGAACCTGCTCGGTGTTGTCTCACAGGCTGAGGCTCTTGTTCTGTGCCCTCGACTCGTCCGAGTGGTAAAGGAGTCTGGATTGGTGTGTGTGTCGTATGGAGCGATCAACAATGACCCGGCCAATGTCAAGGTAAGTCAATAAAGCGCACCCATCTGCCGTCCTCTCTAACACTTTTCTACAGCTCCAAGTTGCTGAGGGTATCGATGCGGTCATTGTGGACTCGGTCCTCGCCATTCGTAAAGGACTCACTGAACATGAAAGCAAACGCGGGACACCGAGAGTCTCACCGCAGCCCAGTCCTTTGGCGCAGCCCACACCTAGTGCTCTCAAGGACTCGATCAGAATTCCCGTGCTGGACCAGACGGAGGAGAAGGACAACGGTCTTCACGTGAAGCCGGAGGCAATTCTCTGAGCCAGCTTTCGATGCTGATTCAACAAGCGGTCAGCTGGACATTTGGCCCGATTAATTACACATAGATTGCATCTGGGAGATTCTTCCCATCTAGAACTCGATGATCGTTTACGTTTGTCCTTTATGGACGGATAGTGGGTAGTAGTAAGCTTCGCATAGCTTGTTAGATACTCCTACCGCGGTCCCGATGGCACGAAATAGCGATAGACCGATTTGGATGCGACGACCCTGCCCTTTCGCGACCACATCAGCACCTGTAGATCCCCCGCTCGTCTTCCCCATTCGATCTCAGGTCACTACCGGATAGTGAAGCCCCCATCGACCCTGATGTCCGCGCCATTGATCATCCCGCTCGAGTCCTACATGCCATTAGTTGATACTGACCACCCTGCAGAGCGTTTCTTCAGAACTACTTACCTGACAGAGAAACAGCACCGCATCCGCCACCTCCTCCGGCAGAGCGAACTTTCCCGTTGGGATAGATTTCAAGAAGGCATTCTTAACCGAAGCCTCCCCCCAAGCTTTCTTGCCCAGCTCCGTCCACGCCACGGTGGGCGATACCGAATTGGCCGTGATGCCCCGTCCCGCCCACTCGGACGCCATACTCCGCGTCAAGCCCAGTAACGCCGCTTTGGAGGCACAATAAGCCCCGTGGCGCGGCAACGCCACATGAGCCGCCTGCGAAGCGATGTTCACAATCCTCCCCGGCGGCGGCGGTATCGATCTCGATCCCGCAGCCTCTTGCCCATCAGCAGCGAACGTCTGCGCAAAGTAAAGCCGCGCGAACGCCTGCGCGCACAACATCGGTCCCAGCACATTGGTCGTAAGATGCTTCAGCGTCTCCTCGGGCGTCGTCGCCTCCATGTCACTCAGGGAGACATACCCGGCCGTATTGATCAGGATACTCGGAAAGGGTCTTGGATTCGATGATGATGACAACGGTGACCGTGTAGACAATGGGGTCACCAACTCGTCCTCCAACTTGGCGAACGCCGACTCCACGGACTCGGGCGACGTGATGTCGCATTCGTAGGTGTGGATGTTTCTGTGGTGGTGGTGAGCAGCTGCTCCGTACCCGGCTTCGAGGAGCTGGTCGCGCCGGGCGGCTTCGAAGGGCGCGTAGAGGATGGCTAGCTGCGCGCCTTGTTGACGGAGCTTCTGGCCGATGCTGGTGCCGAGGCCGCCTGTTTGGGTTGGTTCTGTTGAGTAGAGTACATTGGTTTTATGGTAGGGAAGAACGGGGGTGGTGGGGGGATGAGTGTAGATTGGGGTGGTGGGGGAGGTAGTGGAGGAAGGATGTTGGGTGGGAGGGTGTAGTTACCTAGACCTCCGGGGAGGATTGCTAGTCTGTTGGCGAGGGCCATGGCTTTTGTTTGAGGGTATCTGACTATTGATTTGTTAAGGTGTAGGTATATGAATGTACTACGGTGGGTATATCTCGATCCAGGTTATCATGCTTGAACGAGACGAAGGAGGGGGATGCGACCTGAGCCAGGAATGTAACAGCCCTCGGGAAAGGAACAGCCCGAGGAGATGATATCATTGGAAGTTGGCGTAGTTCATCCGGCTTGCTAGTACTCGTAAATACTAATCTGCAGATACTTACAACCTAGATGTCCCAGTAATTTGCAGGGATGACACGAAGTACTCGATTGTTTAGGTGTACCTCATGCCTTCGCTATAAGCAATTCCTTCCCACAGCTAGAAGAACCATAACCCAGTCCCATACATCCATAGCTCCTCACATGCGCAAAAAAGCCGCAAGGACAGATTTAAGTGTGAACGCCTCAGACTGTTTCCAAACAAACACCATTTCATTAATAAATGAACAACGCAGTAGAATCCTGGCACCCAAATTAGAGAGAACATTGAAGAAAAGTGACAGCTAACCATCCCGCGAAAGACCTGGAGGTAACAGGCGGGAGCTCATGGCTAGCTGTGGTGAACTTACTCGATGAACAGTTTCACCGCAGCCTCTTTGTTATTGCGTAACTGATGGGCGTGGAAGATCGCATGTCGCTCGTGGTATTCTGGTACGACGTGCTCGGAGGCGAGTTCGTCGAGGTGGAAGGTGTCTTCGCCGATTTGGAGGTCGTGGGTTTCGAGTCGGAGCTGGGTAGCATCCTCGAGTTGGCAGTCCATGTTCAGGTATGGGGACTCGGAGGCTAGCTGCTGTGAGTTGCTGTGAAGCTGATGGGGTGTGAGTGTTGTATAGAGACATCATCAAAGCTGTTTATCTACATAAAGGTCACAGTGCCAAAGCTATATATCCCGGATGAGATAACTGCTTATGGTGCACATGGGAAGGAGTGAGCATTTATCCTAGTCTCTGCTTTTGTGACCAGAGCAGGTTCTTTCATATCAAGCCAATGACTATTTTCCAATGTCCATTGGGTTCAATATCAGTGACAGTTGGATAGCTATACAAACCAGTCACTCAAGTAAGTAAACGGTCTAGATGCACTATTCTCAATTCGGCAAGCAACTAGAGCTGCCGTAGTGCTAGCAGGGAGCGGTGGCGCAGGCGGTGTACTCCCGATTTCTCCGCCTTATCTTTATCAATTTGATGCTTTATACTCCTCCGCCACTACCTTCCAAGTTAATACCTCTTTCTACAAACTTATTTTCTTTCTGCAAAGCACAATGAACCTCCTCACCCTTTAACTGAACCTCATACTACCTTCACATCCTCCCAGGAAGTTTCCGTATCAACCCACTCAACCCTGAACCGCGCCTCCAGCCACCACTCCCAAAAATGAACACCATCGACGCAACAGAGCACTACTCAACCAGTGCCCACGGTACATTCCATCCCATTCCTGCCCATCCCATCCCATCCTCCCCTTCAGCGCCCCTCAACCCCTTAAACTAACTTCCTCGACACAGACCGACCCCCCTCCCTCCTAACCGTCATCCTCGACACCAACCCGCACGCCTGGGCCCAACTAAGCAGCCAATCCTCCCTCCCGCTCTCAACAGCAGTAGCCAACATCCTCGTCTTCCTCAACGCCCACCTGGCCTGCAACTACGCCAACGAAGTCGCCGTCGTCGCCTCGCACACGCAAAAGGCCACATGGCTGTATCCGGTCGCCGCCGCCTCACCGGACCCCAAACAACCACCCCGCGACAACGACGGCGACACGCCCATGCTTCCCCCAAACCAGCCCCATAACCGACCCCCGCCGCCCCACGAGATGAACAAATACCGCCCCTTCCGCATCGTCGAAGAACAAGTCACCCAGAACCTGCACAGATTGCTCGGCGGCACCACGGCCGACGATCTCTCCGCGACGACCTCCACCCTGATGGCGGGGGCCTTAACGCTGGCGCTGAGCCACATCAACCGCCGGACGATCGCCTGGGCCGAGGCGCACGGCGGGGAGACGGATCCCAACGCCGCCGCCACCAACCCCACTAACACCAACACAGCGGGAGGCGGCGGCGGCGGCGGCGGCGGCGGCGCAGCATCTGGTGGTGACAAGGCCAGCACCGAATCCGGCCTGCAGTCGCGCATCCTCATCCTCAGCGTCAGCAGCGCCGCCGGCGCCGCGCACCAGTACATCCCCATCATGAACGCCATCTTCGCCTGCCAGCGCCTGCAGATCCCCATCGACGTGTGCAAGCTGGCCGGCGACGCCGTGTTCCTGCAGCAGGCCGCCGACGCCACCAAGGGCGTGTACATGGCCCTCACCGAGCCCCGGGGCCTGCTGCAGTACCTGATGATGGCGTTTCTGCCGGACCAGCGCTCCCGGAGGCATCTGATCCTCCCCACGCGCGTGGATGTTGATTTCCGCGCCGCGTGCTTCTGTCACCGCCGCGTCGTGGATATCGGGTTCGTGTGCTCGATCTGTTTGAGTATCTTCTGCGAGCCGTTGGAGAAGGGCGAGTGTTTGACCTGTGGGTCCGTGTTGGAGATGGGCGACTACGGGGCCAAGCCGGCGGTGGTCGCCCGGAAGAAGAAAAAGAAGAAGGTTCGTGGGCCGGGCAATGCGGCCTCGGCGACGCCTACACCGACGCCGACACCTGGTCCGTGAAGGTGACCAGGACATCCTATGGCTGTCCTCTTTGGCAGTCACGATATCGCTACCGTTCTGGGTATACAAGGCACGAAATATCTAGAGCAACCCACGCCACGGGATTCACTGTATTATCTGTGGCCTCTTAGGCTTGGAAAAGTAACTAGGAAACTAGGAAACGGATATCCTCTGTTCCTCCCTCTTGTTGCCCGCCTCAGCTCAACACATTCTGTCCCCCACTCGACGAAGCAACGAGCGCTCGGTGCCAGGCCAAACCATGTTTCCCGGATCTGGTTCACTGGTGGAAGAGCTATGAGCGAAAATGGATTTGGATCGTCGCCCCAACAATGAGATTGACACGAAGCATCGATCGAGAAACTGGGCTTCGAGGGGAGGAAGCGTCAGCGTGCGATATTGAGCGTTGTACACCAGGTACATAACATCACGAAGTTATAATAGCAGGCGAAATCACAAAAAAAAAGTCACTTACTTTGTGACCTGGTCAACACTCTGAGCGCAACAGTAGATGTACGCTAGGTAATTGGTGAAGGCAGATGTCGATCTTAACCGGGTGCCACTACTTGGCTTGCGACATGGGTTTGCTTCGAGTGGCGCGGCCGCCCTGAGCAATGCTACCATTGCCATTGTTGCGGGACATCACACACACCGGCTGTTTATCCTCGCTGCTCATCGAAGCAATGACCTGCTGCACTTAGTAGAAAGCCTAAAACAATCGAGGTCAGACCAGGCCTTACGAATGAGTCTGTGTTGTGTCCGAAATAGAGGTAAACGCCATGCGTAGTCTTCTTGACAGCAACAATGCCGATCGCAGCTTGACATTTGCTTCCACGAACACCGGGATGGCCTGAATCAGCCATGTCAGCAAGATCAGGTAGAAAAGGTGGGAGTTGATTACCCATGAAGTCGGATGCGATCATAGAGCTCATTGCTTCCTCCTCGGTAACGTCCTCGAATGTGCCGTCGTTGTGTTTCTTCTGGCTGTAGTAGATCCGCATAGCGCACGTATGGGCGGCCATCGTAGTCGCAATATGTTCGCCAGTTCCCGAAGTCACGGCTGCGACGCTAGTCTTCTCTGGATCGTTGGGGTCGGCGGGGATTATACTTGTGCCAACTCCCACGAGCGCCGCAGGTCCGATACGACCGGAGTGCTTCATCCCGATGCCGCCAGAAGACGAGCCGGCCGCAATATTGCCCCAGCTATCCACAGCGATGGCCCCCACAGTATCGCTGACATAGTCCATCACCTCCGCAGGCTGGTTAACAGTGGCCTCAGAGGTTTCGGACGACGGACCACTGAGATCTACAGCGGAAGCGCAAGGCCCTCCATCCATGTATCTGCCATCCCTAAGTGCAGAAGCATCGGAAAGTGTGCGGGTTGGTTCCACTGGGGACAGACTTGCAGTGGTACAGGTCAAACGCGGGTCTGCGGGCTCTGAATAACCGGGAACTACAGCGCTGGGCGCAGGCAAAGCGGGAAGACGAGGACTGGAAGCGTTGGCCAATTGGGCAGGGTTGACAGGAATGGGACGGCGATAACAAGTCTGGTACGGGATATAGTTCCCCAGCTTGGTCCTTTCCTTGTGCTCGGCGGCTTGTAGCTCCTGCTGCCAGCGACGCCATCTTTCTTTTGCAGACGGAGCCACGAGAGCATCAGGGGGCAGGACCACCAGTCCCTGATCATAGGCGAAGTCCCTTGCACCTCGTCCGATCAGGAAATTAGGCGGCACACGAGCCAGGGTTAATGGCTTTCCTGACGTGTTCAAGATGCTTCGTGCCACCATGATGGGGTTTTTCACTTCTGCAGAAGGGCATTAGCCTGGCGCTTAAACCAGTCAGAAAGATTACTTACGGGACACAGCTCCTACTGCGCCGCTTCGCCCGAGATGATTGACAATTGTAGCATCGCACTCGACTTCTCCATCGATTGTCAGGTTACTGCCATAGCCAGCATTGGTGATTTCAGTGTCCTCCAGATACATGATGGCCATTTCGACCGCCTCTACGGCCGATCCACCATTGCGCAGAATGGCCATTCCTGATCGCGCGGCCCTGCTCCAAGTTAGAATGGCTACAAGGCAGGTAAAGCGCGGGAAGGAAGACTGGTTGCCAACTCACTTTTCACATGCCTGCAGATGTAGATGTTCGTTCTGCACACTGTGGAAGCCAGCGCCGGCATGGACATAAATGGTGGCGATGCCTCCTCCACCAGCCCCACCAGCCCCAACACTCTTGTTGGAGGACATGTTTAAGCCAAGGTGCCTCGCAATGAATGCTGGAATGAGACGCGGCCGCGTGATGGGCTTGACTGAGTGGAGACCTGGCAGACAGGAAGGTGTTTTGCGTGTCACACTGACCGTAAGGACAGGCGGATGGGATGATCAGAGTGTCTGAGCACAAGTCACAGCGGTCAGTTGACTGAGTTTTGGAGTCCTCAGCTTAAGAGAAGCGCAGAATTGGAGGATGCAAGAAATTAAAGGAACACGGCGCCCCTCAGCTTGAGCGTGTTTTGAACTTCACTGCGCCGAGCTATGCAAGTGTCGTGCGATTGGCCACAATTCATGAAAGCGAGCAAAAGTGAATCGGAATGCAGCCGCAGAAGAACGCACAGCTGCAGTCGTGAGGGGGAGCGCAGCCGCAATGATCAGAGGGAAGAGTTGTGGTTGTAGTTCGACCTGTCTCTATGAATACAGTATATGAATGATGGAAGGAAGAAAGAAAGAAAGCATATGTCACCGGGACAAAGAATAAACAGTCAGTACTGATAGACAGAGGACTTTAGGGAGTCATATAGGACAGAGTTGAAGAAGATGGATGTGGTTGGAGACATGATCGTTGGATGGTTGGAGAAGTAGATGGAAGAGGAGGTTCCTTCCTTATAGAAAAGGACGATTTATGGGGGCAGCAGTTGCCCTTCAAGACTGTACTGTCTGTACTGTACTGTACTGTACTTCTTCTTTGCAATTGCTTTTATTAACAGCTGTTCCATTGTCTTGTCAGAAATATCCATAGTGAAATTGATTGATTTTTTTTTTGTTTTTGTTCAAGAGGACATACACAAATTCCAATGGCGGAGAGGAAAAGAACGCCCTGGGAGATGGATTGATGAAGATAAAGATCGATTGATGCATGGATAAACTACTCACTACTCCCAACACGTGCCGTTCTGCCAGCCATGGTGTTGCCCGCCCTCCCGGTCCGTTCCCTCCTCCTCCTGCTCCTCCCCTCCATTCATTCCCCCCCCCCCAATTCAATCCCCCATCTTAATCCCTCCATTCTCCGATTGTTTCTCTCTCTTTCTCCTCCCCCTCTGCTCCCCTTCTGCTGATCTCTTTGGAAGGTCAGATTCTCTTTATCTACCTTTCTACGGACACACTCCGTCAATTCCCTTCTACCCAACACCTTTCGTCCGCGACCTGATAGTAAGGGGGAGTGCGTGTACTCCACATCATCCGTCATGGCTTCCCAAACTCCGGCCGTTGTCATGGACAAGTGAGTCGCCCAACAACCCCCCCCCTTTTGTTCTTCAATCACATCATTGTAGCTGACCATGGGCGTTCACTGCTCAGCGGAACTGGTTACTCCAAGCTTGGTAAGCCTCCACCCCCGCTATCATTTCCAGCTACGCCTACTGCCTACCCCACGGAGCTCTAGGCTGACAAGTCACCAGGTTTCGCCGGTAACGACTCGCCATCCTTCGTCTTTCCCACCGCAATTGCTACCAAGGCGGGCGCCGGAAGTGCTGCAGGCTCCGCCCCCGGCCGACCTCCCGTCGCGAACAAGCCATCTTTCCTGGCCGGTGGTGGTGGTGGGGCAAGCTCGCACTTGTCCACAAAGCGTGGTACGGAGGACCTGGACTACTTCATTGGCGACGAGGCTCTGGCAGCGGCCAACGGCCCCGGTTACGCGATCAACTATCCCATCCGTCATGGTCAGATTGAGAACTGGGACCACATGGAGCGGTTCTGGTCCAATTCCATCTTCAAGTACCTGCGCGTGGAGCCGGAGGACCACTACTTCCTCCTCACCGAACCCGTACGCTACCAACTACCCTGTGCCAATGCGACACCAGGAGATTAGTCCACTAACATCCAATCTTGCACCAGCCCTTGAACCCCCCCGAAAACCGTGAGAACACCGCCGAGATCATGTTCGAGTCGTTCAACTGCGCCGGTCTCTACATCGCCGTCCAAGCCGTGCTGGCTCTCGCTGCCTCCTGGACCTCGTCGAAGGTCACCGATCGATCGCTGACCGGAACCGTCATCGACTCGGGTGATGGTGTCACGCATGTTATCCCCGTCGCAGAGGGCTACGTCATCGGTTCCTCGATCAAGAGCATCCCCATCGCCGGTCGCGATATCACCTACTTCGTCCAGAGTCTGCTCCGTGACCGCGGTGAGCCGGACAGCAGCTTGAAGACCGCCGAGAAGGTCAAGGAGGAATACTGCTACGTGTGCCCCGACATTGTGAAGGAGTTCGCGCGCTACGACCGGGAGCCCGACCGCTTCCTCAAACACACCGTGACCGCCCCCAACGGCCGGAGCGTGAGCATCGACGTCGGCTACGAGCGCTTCCTGGCCCCCGAGATCTTCTTCAACCCGGAAATCTACTCCTCTGACTTCCTTACGCCCTTGCCCAACGTCGTCGACGGCGTGATCCAGTCCTCCCCCATCGACGTCCGGAGAGGCCTCTACAAGAACATCGTCCTCTCCGGTGGATCCACTCTGTACAAGGACTTCGGCCGCCGTCTACAGCGGGACATCCGGCACTTGGTAGACGCTCGTATCCGCGCCTCGGAGGCCCGCAGCGGTGGCGCGCGGAGCGGTGGTCTGGACGTGGCGGTCGTCACGCACAAGCGACAGCGCCACGGCCCGTGGTTCGGCGGTAGCTTGTTGGGACAAACGCCCGAATTCCGCAGCTACTGCCACACCAAGGCCGAGTACGACGAGATCGGCCCCAGTATCGTCCGTCGGTTTGCTCTCCTGGGTGGGCCCGGCAGTGCTTAGGGTGATGATGTGTCTTTCTCTGTCTCTCTTGTGTGATTGGCGTGTGAGATATCGTGCTCCTGTTCTACTTTGTCCATAGTCTTTTCTCTTCTTCATGATTGTGAAACAAAACAAAAGGCTTCTATAGTAAACCGGCCGGAGAAAGCTGTTCTCGACACACAAAACACCAGAGACACATGATCTTAGACTGCAGGGCTTCCGACCCAGTCATTCACTCCAGCAATCAATGTATATAATATGGATGTAAAATGTAGATGCAATCACTTCCCAAGCAGTTGAATGGATTCTTGGTAAACAAAGAACCCCAGATCGTGAAGTGTAATTCAAATACTCTATTTTCAAACCCCCCGAATCCCGAAAGTAACCCCAAACAACGCCAACACCGAAAAGTAATGTATATAACACAAGAAAAGAAGTTTTGATTGATAACCACTCCCCCACTCCCCACTCGCCCAGCCTGCCACCACCACCACCACCACCACCACCACCGGGGCCTCTTTTCCAGAAACTAGGTCGAACCCTCCGGAATCGGCACACGATTCAAAACAGCCACACCCTCAACATGGCCCGTCTGGGGGAAGAAGTCAAAGCCGCGGATGCTCTCGATCTCGTACCGGATCTTCTTCTCGGCGCTGCCCTGGACCATGACGCCGATGTCGCGGGCCTGGGTGTGGACGTTACAGGAGACGTAGACGACGCGGCGGGGCCCGTAGGCGAGCAGCTGGCGGAGGAAGTCGTCGCTGCAGCCCTTGCGGGGCGGGTCGATGACCAGCAGGGTCTGGTCAGCCGGGTAGGGGACGTCCTTGAAGAGGACGGCGGCGTCGGCGGCGGCGAAGCCGGTGTTGGGGAGGCGGTTAGCGCGGGCGTTCTGGCGGGCGGAGAGGATGGAGTCGCCGGCGACGTCAACGCCCAGGCTGGATTTGAACAGCGGGGAGAGGGTGATGGTGAAGAGGCCGGAGCCGGAGTAGGCGTCGAGGAGGTATTTGATTTGTTGTTGTTGTTGGGGTTCGTCGGTGGTTGAGGGGGAGGAGGAGGAGGAGGAAGGGGAAGGTGCTGGCGGCGCCAGGGCGTGTTGGCGGATGTAGTCAGTGAAGCCGGTGAGGATGGAGTTGTTGTTCTGGAAGAAGGCGCCCGCTTTGTTGGTGAAGACGTAGTCGTCGACGTACTCGACCGTCGTGGCGTTGGGGTTGGTCACGCACCGCTTCTCCTCGGTGAAGGCATCGGTTTCGGTGCGGATCAGGTCCTCGGAGTAGTCGTTGATGTGGTTCAGGTCGTCGGTGCGCGGCCACTCGCTCTTCTCGCGGTCGGCCTCGTTCTTCGGGATGCGCGAGGTGGACTCGCGGAGCAGGAGGGTCGCGCCCTGCGTGTACGTGGAGATCCGCTCGGCCACGCGCTTGCGCTCGCTCTTGAGCCCCTGGCGCACGATGTCCGTGCCCAGCGGGCAGTCTTCGATGTCCAGGTCGGTGCGCCGGTTCTTGTAGGTGAAGCCGATGGGCGGGACCTCGGTGTGGCGCGGGGCCGAGGCGCCCTTGTTGCGGCGGCGGAAGCTGCCCGGGGGCGCGGCGAAATGGGGGGTGAGTTTGGTGCGGTAGCCGTATTGCAGCGGGGAGGGGAAGGTGTCGCCGATGGCGGGGATCAGTTCGGGGATGAGGCCGGAGAAGTTGGCGAAGGCTTTCTCGACGATGCGCTTCTTGTGCGCCAGCTGGTCCTCGTAGGACATCATCTGGAGCTGGCACCCGGAGCACTTCCCGAAGTACTGGCAGCCGATGCCGGCATCGTTGCGCTGGGAGCCAGGTTCAACCACCTTGATGAAGTCCGTGAGACTGTATTTTAGCGAGGGGAAGTGGCGCACGACCTTGACCAGCACTTTATCCCCGGGGACGCTGAAAGGCACCACGTAGACGTGGGTTTGGTCCTCCGACAATGCCAGACCATCTCCCGTCGAAGATATTTCGGCGATCTGGACTTCAAGCTCGGTGAAGGGCTCGGGCAAGGTTGGCTCCGGGGGGGTCAGGTACTCGACCTCGACCTCCGTAGCGGGCTTGTGTTTGCGGATGAGCGCATCGATATCGGCCTGGAGGACCTCGTCGAAGCCTTGGCGCTTCTCATCGCGGAGCTGCTGCTTGCGCTTCTTGGGCGGGTTGGCGGGTTTCTTGGATGGTTCCTGCATTCTTTGAACCACAACGTCCAATCGTCGATTGATATCTGCAGAAAGACCAGTGTGGATCAGACGGGGAGTCTGGAGGGTGAACTGAGACGGGAGTCTGGGTGAGAGCAGGCGCAAGGATCGCAATGCAAACATCTATAGATCCTGAGATTTCCCACGTCGATCAGCAAGCCCACTGTGAAAAGGATGTTCAAAGAAATTCGCGGGAGGGCAGCAGTTGTGGGAAAATGGGAAATTGTAGAAGTTGGGGAAAGGTAAGTATTGGAAGTGGAAAGGGAAAAAAGTGAGTGAGCAGGAAAAGGCGGGCGCGGATTGGTTGGATTCGGCCCGCTGAGAATTTCGCCGGAGTTTCTGTTTCTCTCCAGTCTCTCAATCTTCAATTCCCCTTCAGTCACCGCGGACTTGCCTACCACCTTCTCAACTCCCCCTCCCCCCTCTCCCCACCCACCCACTCTCTCTCTCTCTCTCCCTTCTCTCCAAAGCTCTCAATTGGCCTCTGCTGGCCAGAGAGCTTACTTCTTTTCTCACCGTCCACCATGAGTTTCACTCGTCCCGCCCGATGCATGCTATGCAACTTCACGCGAGCAGCCTCGGCGGCTCCTCGCGTCCCTCGTCGCCAATTCCACCCTTCTCCCTTCCGCCTTAACGACCAGAAGCCGAAAGACCCTGCCGTCCCCGTTACTGCCGAGCCCCCGAAGACGAAAAAGGAGGAGGTCGTCAAGCAGAGGCTGGAGGAGATCACGCGGAATATGAAGCCGGAGAGCCTGCGGCCATACACGGAGGAGGAGCTGGCCCAGCTGCGGAAGGTGTACAGCGCGGCGCAAATGGCGGCGATTGAGGCCGGCGAGGCGACGATCGACCCCAAGGACTTCGCGGAGCAGTTCGCCGTTCGCACGGATCCGATGCGGCTGAAGTACCTGGACGACTTCTCGCACGTCGAGCCGGGAGTCGACAAGCACGTGCGGGCCCCGGAGACCAACGCGGACCCCAACCAGAAGTTGAAGAGCACGGAGGACATCATGCAGGACTTCGCCAAGTACATCCACGAGATGCCGCGCGACATGGACGCGGCCCACTTCGTCCGGTGGGCGGAGACCAACCGGCTGACCAAGGGCAAGGAGGAGGCCGAGCGTAACCCGCACACCTCGCTGGCGCCGGACTTCTTCCAGGCGGGCGACAAGCTGCGCGTGCCGGAGGACGAGGGCAAGGAGGGGTATGTCCGGGATGAAAGCCTCCATCGACCCGCCATTTCGTTGGAGGGCGTTTCGCCGCCGTTGGCGCAACTGATCCAGTCCACGGGCCTTCGTGAAGAGTACATCAAGGGCCTGTACACCAAGGCGCTGGTGTTCCACTCGGTCACCAACCAGACGCGTCTGGGTAAAGTGCAGCGGTTCTACTGCCTGGCGGTCGCCGGCAACCGCGACGGCCTGCTGGGATTAGGCGAAGCCAAGTCCTTCGAAGCCGCCGACTCTATCGAGCAAGCGAAGTACCGTGCGATCCGGAACATGCGGCCCATTCTGCGATACGAGCAGCGCACCATCTACGGCGATGTGACGGCCAAGGTTGGTGCTATGGATCTGAAGTTGATGACTCGTCCTCCGGGTATGTTTTCTCCGCCCCTGTATTTGTGTCATGTGCTGTGCTAACACGCAACTAGGCTTTGGACTTCGCTGCCAGTCCCTCATCTACGAGATGTGTCTTGCCGCCGGTATCTCCGATCTCGCTGCTCGGGTCAACCGGTCCAGAAACAAGATGAACACCGTGAAGGCCGCCTACGAGGCGCTCTTGGCGCAGCGTAACCCGGAGGATGTTGCCCGTGCTCGTGGTAAGAAGATGGTCGATGTGCGCAAGGTGTACTACTCTGGACGGGTGTTTTGATTTGTTTCTCGCTTTTGCCGGTTTCTGGTTGCGCCATGGCGGTGGTGTAAATAATGGTTTTCCCTTATGGTGTACTTTGTATCTCTCTCTCTCTTCAGTCAACCTGTATTTGTATCCAGCCTATGTTCGGTTATGATAGAACTGAAATAACCCTGTTCCTTGTCTTGGAATATTCAGTGAACCTGTATGTGTATTCAGCCCCGGGAAGCGTTATCATCACCAAGGGACTGAGGTAACCTCCTTGACCCTCGTCTCTCCACATAGTACCAAATAAAAACTTCCCCCGCATTCCACTACTGCACCAAGCTCCAACGTAAAATAAAAAAAAAAAAAAAAAGACAGGGGTATATCAAAACAACAAGCCGATAAACAACAAACTCCGAGACATTGCACCACCCAACCCATACTCCACCCCCCAACAGCAAATCCCACAAACACAAACCATGAACAGACTCAACCCTTCCTAAGCTATACTCCCCCCCCCTCTCTTTGAGCAAAAATCAAAACAATCAAAACCGTCCCAAAAGACTAACATCCTGCCCTCCCTGCCCCTGCCCATGTCCCTCATTATAATACCCATACCCCTGCTCCCCAAGCTCCCCATCATCATACCCCATCCCATCCCCGAACCCCTGCCCCTCCTGCCCCTGCCCCTCCTGCCCAAACTGCTGCTGCTGCCCCTCAGACTCATTAATCATCTGCTGCTGCAACACAATACTATACACGCTCGCCTTAAGCAGCGTGCACACGGTGGCAGTCTTCCGTTCGAGATGGCGGAGGCCATCGAGGGTCATTGAAGCGGGGGAGCCGGCGAGGTCGGCGAGTTTGGTGGAGAGCTTTACCCTCTCATCCCATCAGCATTTGGTTCCTCTTAAAACGGGGGTTTGGAGGGTGGGTGTGTATTGAGGGCATGGGCATAGGCTTTGCGCCTCAAGGTAGGGCCGAGGAGGGAGGGAAGGAAAAACCCACCGCATTCACGTTCCCGAGGAGCCGGGCGTACTCGTCGAGGACTTCCTGCTCTAGATCGGTGACGAGGGGGTTGGAGGGGTTGAGGAGGGGGTTGTTGCTGCTGCTAGTGGTGGTGGATGTCTTCGGATTGGTATGGTCTTCTTCGGCGGCGGAGGGGTCGTCCTTGACGCTGACGCTGGTGGGGGTGGTGAGGTCGTCGAGGTGGGACATTCTTTTGTTTTGCGAGGGTTTGCCTGGGCAGTGGTTTATGGAGCGTAGGTTGGTTTTAGCCTGCAGGTGGCAGATTGTGGTTTGCAGGTGGAATTAATGGGTCGAGTAGAAGCAAATGGTTTATAGTCGTGTGGTTGGAATTGAAGGTCCTTCGGGTCTAACAATGGTTTGCTTTGTTTGGGGGGAGGATTGAGCCTGGACGGCGGCGGGAACTAACTGGTTTGGTAGAATTGTATCACCGGCCATGCATGGCAATACCGTAGGTTGACCTTCCACCGCTTTTGGGGCGGGGGTGTAAACACCTCCTTCTAGCTGACTGACTTTGGCATCTAGATGATTTAAGATCCACAGCTCCTCGGTTACATATTGCAGTGCTAGTCAGACTTTAGATCTTTAAACAAAGGAAGGAACAACGAAAGTCCAGGGAAATTAATTCAGAAGAGTTGACCTTAACTAGCCAAACTATACTACCCATCTCCACCCCCACTTATCTGCCGATTCAGCTTAAGGCACCTGAATCCGACTTACAGGGCTTATCTATCCAGCGACCTATATCTATACAGCGGCATACCATTTCTATCAACTATATAGCTAGAAAAGGTAGCACACCAGGTACACGATGTGACTGCCGCCCCGCGGCTCATATGGCTGGCAGAAGCAGAATAAATTCACCACATCCCACACATCTCTACATTAATCAAAATACCAACACTGATACATAGATTCATTCATATACTAGTAGTATGTATCATTTCCCTCAAAGCACCGGGCCTCTTGGGGTACCGCAACAAAAATGCAACGTGGAAAAGGTCGGCCGGGTCTTCCCAAGCAATGCAACACGCCGGCGACCTGCTCAAAGGAAACAAAAGTGTTTTGGTACGATACAACCTAGATCGCAAACGCCGTCTTCTGCAATGGTGACAATATAAACCCACAATTAAAAAAAGCAGGCGGAATCCCATCGCTGCAACATCCAGCAAGAAAGCAAAAAATCCCGAGAATGGCCGTGCATATAATATATGCAAATGCCATCTATTTACCTGATCATCAGCATGAGTCAATTAACACCCCATAGATTAAATCCCGGAAGAAAAGAACCAGTACTCCGGGTAATAACTGTATGAAAGTTGGAAATGGTGAACTCCAATAGGTCTTCGTCTTAATGCGTCATGGTCGTGACAGAGCCCAAGCAGTCCACGGTCTGCCTGAACTCGTTCCTCTGCCGTCCTTAGACGGAGCGGAGAGCATCCGTCCCAGCAACACTGTGGAATCACTCTACATATCCCCATCATGGTGGAGAGTGACGCTGTTGAACTCTTCAAACGGATCCGCGACTTCGGCATTAGGTGTAGCCAGACCCGAATCCATGGGAACCCCCTTCATCCTCATCGGCTGGCTGCCTCCGATGTCGACACTGGCGCTCTCCTTGACGTTGCGGAAGTTAAGGGTGTCTGTGCCTCGGCTTTGGTGTGGGATCATGGGGGGCTTCATATGGCGAATGAGTGCCCATTGCGTCTGTCGGAAGAAAGGATGTGTCTTGACGTCTGAGGCACCAGCCCGAGCTCCGAGACGTTTTGTCTCATCCTTGATCAGTAATTTCCGAATCAGAGACTTGCAAAGACTGTGCATATATTAGCATTAGAATATGACAGCCACGATCAGTGCAATCTTACTTGGAGATCTGCTGGGCCCCAGAGTGTTCAGGAAAAGGCACTTCATCCCGCAGGATATTGCCAAAGGTGGCATTCCTGTTCTTGCCCTTGAAAGGTGTCGTTCCGTACAGCATCTCGTAAATCAGAATGCCCAGAGTCCACCAATCGACCGCACTAGTATGTCCGCAGCCTTTGATGACCTCTGGAGCGATATATTCTTCCGTACCCACAAAAGAGTTCGTCCGAAAATCGGCAATACATGACTTCGTGTCGATGGTTGGTAAAGACGTTGTCGAATTGCCACTCCGGGCCGGAATCATGGTAGGTGCACCGCCCGGTCCGGACTGCTTGGACAAATCGAAGTCAGACAACATGATGTGGCCTGATTGATGGAGGAGAATGTCTAAAATACGTCATTGTGAGACACGTCCATGCAGTAATCCTGAGGGGCGACTTACTTTCAGGTTTCAAATCGCGGTAGATGAATCCCATCAGGTGAAGATACTCCAGAGCAGCAGTCACTTCCGCAGCGTAGAAACGAGCGGCGTCTTCCGAAATGCATTTACCTGGCCGAGTTTGCAGAGCTAGAGCAACTAATTAGCACCTTGCCCTGACGGTCCAACTCTACTCGACATACCTCTAAAGAATTCACCGCCACTGCAATACTCCATGCAGAGATAGAGATAGTCCTCGGACTGGAAAGAGTGATAGAGCGTAACAATGAACGGGTGATTGCTAGTGGCCAAGATTTCCTGCTCCGCCAACGCACGCTTGATCTTGTTACGCTTGATCATTTCCTTCTTGCTCAGCACTAGTCAAGTCAGTCAGCAAATTCTCTGCGATTTCTCGCGTAGGCGCGCACCTTTCATAGCATAGAGTCGGCTGGTCTTCTTCTCCCGGACCAAATACACCTTGCCCACATCACCCTTGCCAATCAGCTTGATCTTGTCGAAGCTGCCTGGGCCGACCTCCACATTCCGCACCTTGATCGAGTTGGAGCTGTATGTTCGGCGAAATGCAACTGAATCTCGGATCTGACCCGGGGTGGGGATCTTGCCGTCAGCACCAAGTGTCGGCACAGCAAGGTTGATTTCTTGCTCTTCAGACACCTCAACTGTCGTCACTTTAGGAACAAGACTACTCGACCCCATCGGCAAGGGCTCCTGGTCCTGCTCGGCGGTCTGCGGCCGTTCATCAGCCTGGCCGCGGGCAAACAGACCCTGCGCATTGGGCGCCGAAGCGACACGGCGGAGTTTGCGAGCCAGCTCTTCCTTGTTGGCGGTGGTCGCTTGTTCGGCCGCGGAGACGCCTTCGACCTGTAACTCGGGGGTATCTGGTGGAGAAGAGGGAATGGATCCATCATTACGATGCTGCAAGGACGGCTGTCCTTGGTGTTGGAAGTATGGGTTCGCGGTTGCCGTGGGCGAGACGCCTTCGTCTAATGGGTTTCCTTCACTGGCGACGGTGGTCGAGCGATTGCGACCAATGGTGGGGAGAAATCGGGACTGTCTGAAGGTGGATTTGGATTCGTGTTTGCCAGGTGACGAGGAGAGGTTGCTGGTTTCATGACTCCGATCGCTGCCGCTGTGGTGGCTAGCATGGGAGACATTACTGCTGGAGCTGTTGATGCGGAAGAAGTTTCGAATCTTGGTAGGAAAGTGACTTGAATCGTTTGAATGTTGTTTCTTGGAGGCCAGCGACAGGCTCGGGAAGTTGCCGCGTTTCTCGTTGGTCACCGAGGACGGACTGGAAGCGAAAAGTTGCGTCATGGCCGAAGACTGGTGCCTGGAAAGGACCCGAGGACTTGTCCGGATGGTCCAGAAGGCCCAGATATAAAGGGGTTGTGCGATATGGAATAAAAACGGAGAAGACGTGGACAAGAACAAGTGAACAGGAACACAAAAGATGGAGAGGAAGAGTTGCGACGGGAGGACGAGGACCCAGCGACGGGCCAGAAGCCGCGGGGGAGAGAGGGAGGGAAGGCGGTGCTAATCACTGGGTGTGGGTGGTGGGTGGGTGGTGAGTGGGTGAACGAACTAAACGGGTTTCGCACCGGAAACTTGGATTGGGGACGCAGTGCCAGTGCCAGTTCCAGCCCGGGAATGATGAGGGGAGGGGGAGCCTTGACCCGACAACACGGTCGACAACAGTCCGACCGCGACGAAGACGAAGAATGTGTGAAATTAGCCACGAATTGGAGCAGGGGTTGTGGCTGTATGGTGCGAACAGTAGGTTGCAACAGAGGTATCACGGAAGGAAGAATTGGATGGGATAACCAGGGCAGGGGGGGAAATGATAGAGAGATAGCATAGAAAGAGGCAAAAGAGGAGACAAGAGAAACGATGGCAGACCAGACAGAGGAAGAACGGTTGGTAGTGATAGTAAAAAAGTGGAGACAGAAAGAAGAGACAGACAGACAGAAGGTGGAGGGAAAGATGGAACAGTCCGTAGCTTACCTAAAGTGAAGTCAGTCAGCCCCGGCTGGAGGCGGCGTTGATACACTCATCCTCATCCTCATACGTAACCATACAGTTTCTGAACCGCCACTATCGGAGCCAAATGGAAACTAAACCAACTTGACATTAGTCAATCAACTCATTTCAAACCATTAGGGAACCATCCATAGCACCTGTCATTAATGCTGAGAAAGAATTATGATATGCACTTTTCTCCTTCGATAGTTAACAAGTTCAAGACACCAGAGTACTACTAGTCCAAATAATGGATTGAAACCAGTCTCACCGTGGCTATGCCACTAGTTTTACCACCGTAAACACTTGCCACTTCTTTCCAATCCCTCTCTCTTTCCCTCTTTGCCTTACTGGTGGTCCTTACAATAATAGACGCCATGATTTCCAACCAGAACTGGAACAGCCCTTCTGGACTTTTCCATACCGTATACTCCGTAAGTAGTCAAGCCATGGAGAACCGCCGTCACCTTCAGGTTCGAGCCAGATGATGTCCGTTCACACCAATCATTCCAACCCATAGAATCGCGCACTGTGCCACCAGCCAGGAACGAACATCCATCAAGGCTCCGTCTTCGCCTCGCTCTCTCTGGGCCCCCTCCCTTCCCCCCCACACATCCAACTCTCCTCCGCCGGTCTTTCTTGGCTGAACATCGCCTACCTGCCTGCCTGCCTGCCGGGTTCGATTTATTTATTTATTATTTTTCTTTTGCCCTTACGAATTAACCACTACCGCCATAAGACTACGCTTCTCTCATCCACATAAGACTTTCCTTTCAGCCCGAATCAACACACACACACAAAAAACAACCGAAAAGAGCATGACACCATGACACCCAGTTACAGGGCGCGTTTCACTCCTCCAGCTCGCCTTGCCCAGGCCCAATCTATCTACCCTATCTGGTCCGTCTCGTCACGTCTCGATGGATGATCGTAAATAACCCTATCGCACCTAGTCTATAAAATCGTAAATTCCGGTTCTGTAATTATGCCCGACCAGTTCTGGTTCCTCCTTTTTTTTTTTTTTTTTGGTTTTGTTGCGGGGTTCGTTTCGTTCATAGTTCCTTGGGATAAGTTCCTTGGGGTGTGGGGGGAAGAAGGAGCGCAAAAAACGCGCCGCCTTACGCAAGGGAGGAACTTCTCGGCCCTCCCAGCCCATAACTTGGGATTATTAGTACTCTGCGGAGTACCGGTAGGATCATTTAAGATTCCGATATTGGAATCCATATTGTCGATCTCGTCATTGGAAAAAATGACATCTCCTACGACTGCCACATTCTGAGCTGGAAATAAATCCACTTTCTGTACGGAGTATTCCGTAAACCACACATGAGCCCTTGAACTTGACATATCATACGGAGTACCACCGGTAAGCATACCTCCAAGCTCCAGTGTCAATCGCTCAATCGCAACCACGTAAAATCGAGCAATCACACATGCATTATGAACTTTCAGCTCATGGCGACAGAATTGCTCGAAGCAGTGGAACAAAATAAACATGCCATACCTAATCGGAGGGCCTTTTGCAGATACCAGTCATACAATGTTAAAATCATACAAGAAGAGCAGACGCCAAACCTCCATCTCCAAGACTGGCTGTGGGCATGAAACAGTTTCAGCTTCAACCTCACCGCTAATCCGCCCCCAGCCACTGTCTTCCACCATGTCTCACTAGGTTGTAACAAAGGAGCAACTTCATCCAAATCAACACCGCAATCTCCAGGAAAGATGAATCAAGTAGAGCGCCTAGCCCAGGCCTCCACTCAAGCAACATTCTTCAGCGCTAGGTTCCCATCCCTCTGTCTGGCTTGTACCACAGATTGTCTTTCTGTTTGTGATCATGGAGTTGATGCGGCTGCCACTCGCTGTTAACTTCATGTCCAGTCATCGGAGCCGCCCTGCTCTTTCTAGGCACATCTTCCATGCGAGCAAAATGAGGCAGGATGCCATGTGCATGAACATTCTGGGGAACTGCCAAGGCCATCGTCTTTGGTCCAGCCAGACCGCGATCTTTTATCAGGCACGGTGCAAGGAGCGGCGAGAAGGAATGCTTCACACTCTCCACATTGCTCCGTTGTCTAGACTGTAGAGGGTCGTCTGCAAGGGCAGGGCCGCTCCGTCTGTGCGCCGTCCTGGGATTGCCTATACCACCAGAGCCGGACATAAGGGCGAGCTGGGTCACGGAGTTGGGAATCTCGAAGAACGGGGTCGTAGGACGCTTCGCAGAACCGGCGCTCCTGTAACATATTCCCATCAGCGTTCTGCCACATTTAATCAGCAACATCATACCTTTCATGTGACAGGCCTCGCCTCTGTGTGCTCGCTTGACGACCAAACTCCGTCTTGTGGGAAATGTAGCTACGCATTGACTTAGACCCCCGAGATAAATCACTGGGGACGGAGACTGAAGCTTACTCTTTTTCATGCACAGTGGCCCACGAGTCTGTGGTCGAGACATAGGAAAGCATGGAGCGGGCATCTTCTTCCTCCACAGCAACAAAATGACTCTTCTCCACGTCTTCATGGCTCCGAGGCCGATTGCGATACTTGCGGGAGTCCCGGCTAGAGCGCTGCCTCAAGTAGTCTGGCCCTGAGAAATCAGCGGACTTGGATTTGAAAGCACCAGCTTTCTCACTCATTTGAGTCGTCACTCTCTGGTCCCCAATGGCATTGGCAGCCGACGAGCTTGGTGGGTAGTACCCACCGGAGGTCTGCTTGATGGACTGCTCGGCAGCTAATTTCAAGTCCTGAAGCAGAACGTCAAGGGTGTCACCTTGCCGGGCGATCTTTCCCGTCTGACGATATACCTGCAGAACCTCTAGAGGCAGATCCTTGGTACATGATGTCCAAGGAGTCTCATTGGCTTTCGCACCTTGTGCTTTGTTGTCGGATGTAGTATCATTCTTAGGGTTCGCGGGCGGTACCTTGATAGAGATTGGCCTCTTCGGTTTCAGTCTCTGTGACTGGGTGTGTGCTTTGTTGCTCGTATTTGTCTCTTGCAGCACCGATCCTGGAAGATGACCAAAATAATCAGTCGACCCTTGCCATGGCATCAATGCCATTGGTGTTGAACTCCCTGTCTCGTGACTGGACAACTGTGGTGGAAATGCTGTTGCCAGGGACGGCATAGCGAACGCTGGGATCGTACTATCTGAGCTGGAAGTGCATATGGCTTGTCCGAATGAAGCTGGTTGAATCGCAGCATTGCCAGCAAGATACATTCCAGTAGGAGGTGCTGATTCGGACATGCCAGCATGGCTGCCCAACGTGTTCATTCTGATCTTTGCAGAGGCATATTCAAGATGTTCTCTGTAAATGCGGACTGTATCCAATTCTTTCACCAGACCGACACGTTGCTCGACCAACAGCTTCTTAGTCTGAGGGTCTAGATCCCAGGTGTGCATCGCCATGTATCTGTCTAAGCGTGCAAGTTGAGCCGATAGGTTGTCGTGCTCTTTGGTGGCATCATCGAGGGACTTCTGGTACAGGGGAGTCGGCATCACGGCAGGTGTAACTTGCTGAGGCTGCATTCCCGCTTGCCCGTTGATGAGCTGATACCAATGAACTGCTGTAGGCGTACAGGACATGCCATATCCTGAGTAAAATGGGCTCATTAAAGGCGTAGCACCTCCACTACTAGCCATGCTGCCCGCCGAAAAGTCTGACGCCGTTGAAATTGTCGGATGCGGCTGGATTGAGGGAGCAAAAGTGGGTAATGGATTGGGGCTGCTCAGAACATCATACAGAGTCGGCTGCCAAATACATGGGTTTGCATAGTTCAACATCGGGAACTCCGGCGCAGCAGGTATATGATACTCCGGGGCCTGTATCTCAGGTTCCAGAAGCTGTTGGGTATCGGTCGGCCATGGCATAGCGAGCGAAGGGAGCAATCCTGAGGGCCCTGCAGCAGAGAGAAGATTTGGCGTTTGTCCCAAAGTCTGCAGGTACGGATCAAAGCTCCCATATGGGGGAAAGATGCAATTCACAGGTACACCAGCAGACTGGGAACCATGTTTGGAAGTTCCGGTGCCATTAGCCGTGTCCCTGGTAGGTAGAGTTTGCTGCTCGAGATTATTTTGATTCTCTGTTGCAGATACAACCGAGCGTTTCCTGTCGTCGCCGACTTTCTGCTGCTGCTGGTACGTAGGCAGCTTCATCTTTGGGGGTGCCTCCATCGGAACGATTCGACCCCCGGCTGTGACGCGTTGATGCTTTGGGGATGTGTGTTCCTTGAGAAACTGCGCGAAACCGGAGTTGTTCTGTACACGATGGCTGCACGGTGGATCACTTGGCTGACGTGAGGTAGATCTCAAAGGAGGCTCGGGGGGTGCAGTTGTTCTTTCACTCTGACGCGAGAAATTCGACACGTTCCTTGACCGGTTGATGGATTGTTCGGACAACACGCTCGTACTATGTTGGCGGAGCAAGTTGCCTACATAAGGTCAGACAGGGTCAGTCCAATTCACGGTTGGCCATGGCTCCTGAGGTATCTCTCTTGCTCCAGCACGCGAGAAGGACGTACTGCCAACCTCACTGAATCTGTTGACATCGATCCGTGCATTGGAGCGCATGCCCATAAGAGCAGAGATATCATATCTAGCCATGGTGGCCAGGATAAAAGAGAATAGGAGAGGAATAGAACAGAAATTAAGGGAGGTAGCAAGGTTGGATCTCGACAATGAATGGGATCTGACGTATTTCAAACCAAGTGTTATGGCTAGAACCAGAGGAAGGGGCAAGACTCAGAGATATTGATCGGGGTAGGTGATCTGGTTAAAATTGGAGGTTGAGGTTGTAAGATACGCACCTGCCAGAACACTGATTCTCTACGAATGGAAAGCGCGTCCGTCAATAACGCGGTTAGAAATAACTCAAGAGCTTTAGGACCGATGTTAGGAAGGTTATAATCAAAGGATTAAGGTCTGGATGTCCCTGTGATAGCAGAGAGCCTGAGACAACGGGTGACCTAGCTCTCGCGTACAAGTGACAGACAGCTATGTTGAGGTCTTCTTTCATCGACAACGACAAGCTTTCGACAAGTCTTTTTTGAGAAAGTGTTGGCTACCGCCCTACAACAAATTGCAAATGTGAATTTGCTATAGCTCACATAATAGAGCTGATACCAAACCTGAGACAACTGGCATGATTGAGTATATGTGTCTTCCCGCTGGCCTTTTCTTACTTCGAAGCTGATGATTAGTAGCACTCAAGTAGTTCTATCATAAAGATAAACATCAAATATATCTTCGTTATGCTGTATAGTATACTAATGATCTATTGCTGCAGTCATGATAATAAACACGAAACTGACATCCTAACATTGACAAGGGCCGGACGGAGAACCTCGATTTTTTAGTAACATAGAGACTAGTATCATGGTTTTTAATTAATCTAGTCATTAGTAATTATTAATTATGCCCCCAGTAAATCAATATCAACGATTGCTTGTATCTTCACTTCTTGTCAGAATCATAACGCCCGACCCAGGAAAACAACCCAAGCTTGAGTACTAGTAAACAAAATCTCAACCAGCTCAAACCATTTTGATCACATATTCTCCCGCAGGGCTAGGTTCGAATCACTGGCCAACTTGATTCCTCCCTTGATGTCGGTGAGGTTCGACTTGTACCGTCGATTCATTCGAATGCCAAAGAACAAGAACCCAGCTGCGGCAACCAGACCAATCACAACAAGGGTAACAATAGCGCCAATGACGCCTGCCACGCCAGGTGTTATACTGGTGTTGTTCCTGCTACCCTTCTGAGCCGATGATGCATCAGCATCGTCGGCCTCCTCCAGAATCCCGGGACAGAACACCGCCGAACTGGCGCCGCACTGGAGACACCACGCTTCGGTGGAGTTTAGGGCGAATTTGGTCAATTCCTCCTTAAACTCCGAGTACAAGACATCCGTGTTGCTGGGGTTGAGTCCGAATAGAGGATAGGGATGGAACTCTGCTTCGTCGTCGGTTCCGTTACGCAAGAGGAACCGCACGTACAGTTGAGATAAATCGGGGTAGGTTGGGTAGGAGTCGCTCTCGAGACTAAAGAGCTCAAAGATGATCGATGCACCGAGCGCAGGTCGCGAGTAAAAGTTTGACTGCTGCGGGGATGGGAGTCGTAGGAGGGATGCGAGAGCCACCGCCGGCTCGGCGTTGCCGAAGAGGAAGGTCAATTTGCTGCTGTCGCCCCGGTTGTAGATGTTGGTGTTGAAGGCATCCAAGATACGAGACGCCATGGATCGGCCCGCTACAGCGCGAATATTGCCGCTCTGGATGGGACTGGAGGCTGTGGTGTTGCCGTTAGTCTCAAAGGTGTACTGGTCTGCGTACCAGTTGGCGAGCTTAATGTCGTCTTCGTTCAGGCTGTGGAGGAGCGATTCATTGTGCAAGTACTGGTACTGGAGGAATTCGGATATGGAAACAGCGTTGAGGTAATTGACTGATGAGCGATCGAATGTGTCTCTCAAGGAGAATTCATACAGACGGTTGTAGAACGCCCCCGATGTTTGGACCAGGTCTTGGGTCTCCGGGCTATTCCGGTACTCCAGGTCGGCAGTTTGATGCAACATGCAGTTCTGGTGGCCTGCAACGGTCACGGACTGGGGATCGTCGAGGCTCGCACTAACGACGCGGGAATACTGATATCCGCCCAAAGGTCCCGTAGTCACGGTGCCATTCGACATGAGGAAAATGGGATCAAAGAATTGTGCATCGTATGTCTCATTCAACGCCGGATAAAGCCCCTGCATGAAGGCCTGGGCGGATGCAATCACAGAGGGGTCTGTGGTGGCCAAGATATCGATGTCTTCGTCTGCAAGTACATAGGAGGAAATCCGTTCGATTCTTGTACTGGGACTAACGTCCGTCGAATGAATCGCAACATATCGATCACGGAAGGCCGATCCAGCAGAGTACAGCTTACTGGCGCCATAGGGCGTCACGACACTCTCACGGGGCAGCGCTGTCGGGACGCTGTCTCCGTGCAATGTATAGGCAAAGACAGCCCAGACCTGTTCTTTCAGGTCTTGTGCCGATACTGGTGTAGTGGCTTGCAGCACTGCAGTAGCCAGAGCCAAGAGGATTTGGCGTGAGGACCGCATCTTTCAGGCTGGGAGTTTGAATGAGTCTAGTGTTATATATTGTTCATAGGATTGATGCTTGGGTCACACCAAGACTCCAACTGACAGAGCCGAAAGAAACGAGACAGGGCCGGGAGAACTCCAAGATATATGCTGGGAATCTGGAATAGTCATCTTGATGGTACAGTATCCTCCAGTGTACTACTTAGCTTTATAAGCCTGCGTGGCCTTCGTCCTGTCTTGACCTTCGGGCCTCATTTCCATGGTTCCGATGTTGATGCAATGAGTTGCTCCTGTCGTTACCTAGTTCTAGATTCATTGGAAAGCCATGTCAACCACCATGGGAGTCTAGCCAGTGGAATCAGTACTGAAAGTGCCGCAGCAGTACTGGAATGGCCATCTTTGGAAATGTGTTTGCTGCCATATCCATTGCTGCCATTTTGACGAGTTTGAAGGACGCGATGTACACTTCGTAGCATGCCAATATAATAGCCACGAATATTTTCATGACCTTCTAGTCTGCTCATGGTGGAAAGGGTCTCCAATTGGCCTGGAGAACTCCGGTCAAACTTCGCAGCAGACTACATGACCGAGTTGATGAGTCGATGACGCCTAGACGGAAGGTAGTATTTAGGTGGACGCAACCATGGGAGTCACCACCCCGCCGTAGCAGAGGACAGGGTACATTTTAGTAGAGCAAGTCTTGCAAGTGAAGAGGGATAGAGTATGATTTGACTCTTCGTCAACAGCCAGCTGTATTGTGGATAAGTAGTCGGAATCAAGTCTAATAAGGTGTTGAAGAAGTATTCAGGCAGCCAGGCAGCCAGGAGGCACGCTAAGTCCTAAAGCGGGATTGGTGATCGCTAGATCTATAAGTTTGGCAACTGGCGGCCTGAAGACCAGCCTGGGAAGTAGCCTGGGTAGTATGCAGGAATACAGTATAACGTTAGTACCTAGTAGCTGGAGAGGGGGATGATAAGAATTATTAACATACGGTAAAGGTAAAACACATAGTAGTGAATAACTCGAACTTAAGTGTACTGTGATTGCCTATTTACTCGTAACACCCAGCTCCCCCTAGTTAAGGTTGGTGACCCAAAAGAGAAGCCGGCCGGATTCCGGCCGGGGGATAGAAAAATCTGACTGAGTAGTCAGCAGCTGGAGAACCTCCGTCTCTCCGCCCGTCTCAACTTAACCTAACCACTTCTAAAGCCCTACGCTTGCGCCCTACCCCTAAGCCCTCATTTCTGCTCTTGGAAAGGACAGGCATCTCCCTCCCATCGGGAATCGTCCCTATCATGGCCGACATAACTGCAACAGGCCCCAAAGTTGAGGATTCTATAACCTCTGAACTTCCCCCGCTCCCGACCGAGACTGACAGCCATGGTGAGTTGTGCTGGGGGCGACCTGAGAAGGAGGCGATTCTTCCCCGTTTGCTGCTTGCTCTGAACCCGACCCAATCCGATCTAAACAATCATTGCATGGCTTTGGACTTTACAAGACTACACAGTGCTACTGCTCAAGTATCTTGCTATGTTGCTAACTTATTGGCTTCTTAAGTGACTCCCAAACTGTCGCATCCCCTCGAGGAAGAGGACGGCTCGGTGTCGCCCCGGGCTTCCAAAAAACGTCGTCTCGAATCCGAGCCGACCGACCTCGTCTTGCCGCCACATCCCAGTGAATTGATAGCAGACCAAGTTCCTGGAAATCAGATCGAACAAGAACTAGCATCTGCATTGGGCCCCAGCATCGTGGACACGGTGGAACATCCAGAAGACACACCGACTCAACTCGATAGCGCTCAACTCGATGGTGCTCAACTCGATGGTGCTCAACTCGATGGTGCTCAACTCGATGGTGCTCAACTCGATGGCACTCAACTTGATGGCGCTCAACTCGACGGCGCCCAACTTCATGGGACGGCAACAGACACCGCAGTTGCGCCCGAGGCGACTGCCGATATCGATTCGGATATGGCCACTGTGATTTCGAGCATTATGAATCACGCCGAACGTGTGGAGGAACAAGTTGTAATCGGTCAGCAACAGCTGGCGGACACCACAAGTCCGGCCCCGAAAGGCATGGTTTTCGTCAAGGCCAACTCACACCTGAAGAGTCAGAGTTTACCTATCTTGGACAACTTGGTATGTGAAACAGTGTTTGAGATGTACTTGAAAATTCAAGAACGAAAGCAGCTGACAAAATACCCTTTTATAGTCTACCCAAATCCTCTCTTTGCTTGCCAAGTCTTCGTACCAAGAAATCACCTCATTCGTTTCCGAGCCGGAGACGGAGAGTGGCCAAGCCTACGCTACCATGCGCTCGCTGTTCGACCACACGAAGAAGGTCTACTCTACCAAGAAGTCTTTTCTGTCTCCGACTGAACTGGAGCTTACCGAGCCGTCGCAAGTTGATATCATTCGAAAGGCGAACCTGGCGTCCTTCGTCTCCAGCATCTTTGGCACACAGGAGATTGGATTTTCTGAGCTCAACGACAACTTCCTGGACGTGTTTGTCCCCGAAGGCGGTCGTCTTCTCAAGGTGCAAGGTGCTTTGTTCCTGGAACTCAAGACTCAGGCATTCATTGCATCCATGAACAATTCAGAGCGAACCCGAACAGAGTTACTCTATGATCTCTTCCCAGATGACCTGGAGCAACAGCTCCTGGACCGCCGCCCAGGAACTCGCCAGCTGGCTCCCAGCGAGGCCGACTTTGTCAAGCGCGCCGGATCGCGCCGTGACATTCTACTTAGCGACGTCAACAACGAGGAAGCCATGAAAGCTTTGCCAGACAAATACCATTGGGAGGACTTCCTCCGGGATCTGAGCTCTTACATCACCAAGAATTTTGACACTATCAGCAACCAACAGGTCTGACTCCCCTCTGCCTACTTTGATTATCCAGTGTGCTAACGGCGAGCCAGACGAAAAAGATCACAAAGGGTCGCCAGCCATCCTCATCGAATGGAGAATCTCAGGAACCTCCCAGCGCCCCCCTTCAAGGCCAGTTCCCGGTCTCGTCGCAGCCACCGGATGTCCCCGTCGACCGTAACATGCACGGCGATCTTGTTGCTCGTGCGGCGCGCGCGGCGCAGATTGCTCTCCAAGGCCACGGGTTAAGGCGCTCCCAACAGCAGCAGCAGTACCAGCAACAGCAATCTCAGCAGAACCAACAACAGCCACATCAGGTGCACCAGCCCCAGCAACCACAGCCCCAGCAGCACCATCAGCAGCACACAATTCACCAGCCCCAGCAGATGCCGCAACAGCAGGTTCCTCAGCACGCACAGCCGCAGGGCGGTCAGATCTTGCATGGGTACTCTGCTGCTCAGCCGACGAGTCAGATGCCACACCAGCAGACTCACCAGCAACCTTACCATCACAGTCCAGCGCCGTCTGGCTACCAGCACCCGCCCAGCCAGCTCACATTCCAGCCAAGCCCTCTCCAGGCCAATTTCCAGCAATACAGCCATGTGACCCCCGCGTCAATTCCGCGACCCAACTCGGCTGCTGCCAATCACGGATACATGCCCGGGATACCACATTATTCTCAATCGCAACCCACCCAGGTCCTCTACGAGCGGGCTCGCATGGCAGCATCTGCCAAGTCATCGCCCAGCAGCCGCAAGTCCGGATTACCTAGCCAGCGTCGTCCCTGGACTACTGAAGAAGAGAATGCGTTGATGGCAGGGTTGGATCGCGTCAAGGGACCTCACTGGAGTCAGATCCTCGCCATGTTTGGCCCTGGAGGAACCATAAGTGAAGCCCTGAAAGATCGTAACCAGGTCCAGCTCAAGGACAAGGCTCGTAACTTGAAGCTGTTCTTCCTTAAGAGTGGCATCGAGGTGCCCTACTACCTGAAGTTCGTCACTGGTGAATTGAAGACTCGCGCCCCAGCCCAAGCTGCCAAGCGGGAAGCCCGCGAGCGGCAGAAGAAGCAGGGGGAGGAAGACAAGGCCCATGTGGAAGGCATCAAGGGTATGATGGCTCTTGCCGGCGCCCATGCTCAGCCAGTTGGTCTGGGTCACGGACACGATGCCATGTCTGCCTCCCCTGGACTGACACATGACCCCAATGCTCATAACACCTTCGACCAGACGGCGGAGCAGAACCTAATGCAGACCCTCGGTCAAGAGGTGCATGGAGAGTCTTTCGGACAACCCCAGCATCATCATCATCACCAGCATCACCCGCACCCGCATCATCAGGATCAAATTGATCCGAATATGCATTTGGGTCAGTGATGAGATTGAGGTTCATGCTCAAACACCAATTAACTTCACTTCTCGATTGTGCTTCTGTCCTCCCTTGATCGAGTTGTATTATTTCTCATGGTTCTTTCTTTTCTCTTCTTCGCCGAGGATTCTGAGCGGTTTCATTGTCTAGGACTGTCTATTTCTGTGATTCTTTGGTGGGTCTGTATGAGGGTTGATGCATATGGTGCGAATGGTGCACGAAGCTGTAGGAGTATCTTGCGGATTGTACAACAATAACTGAATAATCATGTTTTCTTATTTACTTACTTTCTGTCTTTGTGTTTTTTCTTTTCCCTTTTCACTGAACGATACTAAATGACAACAAATAAGTCTTTGTTGATAATGAAAGTGTCTAGCTAATGCTTGCCAGTTGGTGTCCCTGTAGTAAGTAGGTAGTAGTTCGCAGCAGTCGGGCCGAACGCGGCCAAGAGAGACAGGCCATGCTCTGCTCCTCCGCCCCAACCACCGCGGCAGTTGATAATTCAATTCTATCCCAGTTCACTTTCCCATTCATTCACTCCCCCCAGGAAACCCCCGTATCACCTCCCAATCCTAATCGGGCGTTGCGATAACACAATTGCAGGGATTATACTTGAACCTGTATAAATTGCTTCAATACTGCTGGCCTTGCATTCACCGCCGACGCCTTCCCCTCTCACCCATTGGACTCCCTTGCGCTTTCCCATTAGCCACACCCAACCATGGCCGAATCATCGTCATCACAGCCTGCTGTTCCGCCTTCATCGCAACCTCCTCCTCCTCCTCCTCCTCAAACATCATCATCGACTGCAGCTTCCTCCTCTACGCCCGTCCCTCCTCCATCCAGCCAACCCCCTGTCACCTCACCCGCTACGGTAGTGCCCAAACAAGAACCCGACGTCGCCGATAGCAACGCCAAAAAGGTCTTGGATGCTCCAACTGAGCAAGAAGACGTCGATATGACCAACGCGCCAAGCACCAACGCCAACGCCAACGCCAACCCGACTGCGACCAGCGGTGCCGACGATGTGGGCAATCCGGTTCCCGCGCCGACCTCCGTGGACGCACTCGCCGCCGCCGCAGCGCCGTCTAAGAAAGAGACCAGTCTCCGGGAGTTTTTAGGAAAGATGGATGAATATGCACCTATTGTACGTTTTCGTTCCCTACCCGGCTGCTCCCCTCACTTTTTTCCCACTGTCCAACGTTCTCCATTAACCCCCGACTCCCCGGGTCACTAACTGTTCCATACCATCCACCCATTTACAACTGTGTCCCTCTCTAATATTGACCTCAAATTATTAGATCCCCGACGCCGTAACAGCACACTACCTCACGCTGGCGGGCCTCCCACCCCCCGGCAACGGCCCCAACCAGACCCCGCCGCACCTCGCGCGCCTTCTCGCCCTCGCCACCCAGAAGTTCATCGCCGATATCGCGGCGGACTCGTACCAGTACGCTCGCATCCGCGCGTCCAACAGCTCCTCCGCCAACAACCCGATGGGCAGTTTGAACGCCGCCTCGGGATTAGGCATGCCCGGTGGTGCCGGGGGTGTCGGGTCGACAGGCGCGGCGACGGGGCCGTCGGGTGGAGAGGCAGGCAAGGGGAAGGCGGGCACACATCTGGGCATCCAGAGGCCCGGGTTCGGTGGTGGAGGATCTGGGGGCTCGGGACAAGGTCGGACGGTGCTTACCATGGAGGATTTGGGCATGGCTGTTGCGGAGTACGGGGTTAGTGTCAAGAGGGGGGAGTTCTATCGGTGAAGGGGGTGATGATCGTCGGTTGAAGATCGACGTGGAACAGTGGGCTCTTATACTAAAAGCAGGTTTGGTTGGTGAGGAGATCCTCCTACGGGGGCTCCGGTTGATATGAAGTTTTCTTCCTTCTCTTTTGAGGGGCAAGGCTGGCTGGGTTGCTGAGTTGATGCCCTGCTTGTTTTACTCTTCTTGCAGTCCTCCTTGGTCGGGGGAATCTGGGTTGTCCGTTTGATGGCGTAATATTGCGGCGTGAGGGGTGGGTGTGTTTCCTGAACGATAGATATCCTGCATGCTGGGCCTTGGGCCTGCACAAATCGGAGTATGGTTGTTTTTTTTGGGGTGGTTTCATTTCTACATTTATTTGCAATGCCAATAGTACCCTTACGGTCGCTCCTCTTTTAGTAGCAGACTTTGGGGACCTTGAATCCTCATGAGTCATGGATAGATAAATAATACATAATATACAGAGCCATCCCTCTTTCATCTCTATCTCTTTTACCGAGACCCTCCAGCATATCAAGCACAAACTAAGAGAGAAAAAAAACGCCAAACACAAAGTAGAATGCAACTTCAGTTTCAACTTGCACAGAGCCTATCTCCCACTCGCGAAAGACGAGAGATTCCAGCTGCGCAAGTTCGCAAAAAGCCCAACCATAAGAAGAATAAAGGTATCGACAGACAACCCCAGACATGCCCCATGCCCCCATGCCCCCGGAAAGAGACAAGATCTATTTGTTCTTCGACATCTTGTAGGTGAAACGCTTGCGAGTCCTAACCCCAAAACCCAACTGTTAGCACGCATGCACAATCTTCTTTCGTAAACCGTTATCCTTTCAGCACCCTCCCCCTCATCCTCTTCCCCCCTCTCCCCCCTCGAACCCGTCCAAACCAACCCCAACCAAACAGAACACAATAAGAAAAGAGGGAACATACGGCACAAACTCCCCCAACTTCCGGCCCACCATCTCCTCCGTAATCAGCACGTCGTGGTAGGTCTTGCCGTTGTGGATCGAGAACTTCAGCCCCACGAAGTTCGGCAGGATGGTCGCGGCGCGCTTCTGCGTGCGGATCGGCGGTGTTCCGGGGGGAGCGGGCAGTTTGCGCGGGAGGGGGAGACTATATTCATCGATTAGATTTTCCCCGAGGCGTTTGTTGTTTAGTTGTTGGGTCTCCGGGATTTGGGGGGTTTGGGGGTGGGTGGGTGAGAGCGGATGTTCAACGGCGATAGCAATCTGCTTAAACCGTATGCCATGGAGTGTGGGCTTGGGTTTGGACTTGGGTTTGGATTCTGGGCAGGTAAAACGTACGGGACAATGTTCGGGCCTGTTTGATGGGATTGTTAGTGAGCTGGATTCAGTGTTGATTATACTGGATGAAGGGCAAGGGTAGGATTGACTGACCTTTCCAGACGGAGCGGCCGAGGAGGGCTCGCGTGGGGAACATCTTCAAAGAAACCTTCTGTGGTGTAGGTGGTTTGCTCCTGGTTGCGAGAAGGGGAAATTTATTGGAGTAAACGGGCGGGCTGGCTGGGCGGGCTTTGGATAGTTGCAAATCGGCCGGCGGAGGTTTGCGGCGGATGTGATTATGTAAGATCTTGCTTGGGCTTCCGCCCGCCATCTATCTTTGAGTATATGGCGGGACAGGTGAGGTTCGCTATTGTACGATTGGGATCTCAGCACAGAAATGTCTGATACTTGTTTTATTTTTTGGGGGTAGATTGAGTTTGCAATGGGTTCCATCTTGATGATGCTAAATGCTCGGGTGTTGTATGGTGGAAAATGGTGCTATTCCTAAAGCCGCCAGCGACTGTAGTGGTTTTCAAACTGCAACTACTCTTACAATTACTCCAAGGCGAGTTCCTCCAAGATCCGAGTCAAGCTCCTGATTCCGTTCAGGACGTTCTCGTCCGGTCCCTGGCCAGGGGTCCAGCTCGCATGCGCAAAGTCGATCAGCCGCAGGTCATGCACTTTAGGGGGTTCCTCTTCGTCCTCGTCGAGATCCAGCTCCCCCAGCTCTGCGACCTCGGGGCCGAGGTTGATATTGATAGCCTGGTGAGAGACGCTGCCTTGGCCAAGGGGTATATCAACCACTTGGGAAGACCCCTCGGAGATCTCGAACTCGACGTTCTCGTCCTCCTCTTCATCGTCATCTTCCTCTTCTTGCTTTGACTGAGGCTTCTGCTCCTCTTCCAGCGCCTTCTCCATGGCGTCCGGATCACCCTCATAGACAATCAGCACACTCGACGAGTACATGCGACTTTCCTCGGACTCCAGAACCTCCTGCACCTGTTTCAATTCCCCAGCTAACCGTCGCGCGACCAGCTGGGTCCGATCCACAGCCCCGGCTTTGGCCCCAGCGAGGAACGTTCGGAACCCGTCCTTGATGTTGCTCGCCGTGAGCGAGCGGCCGTACCATTTATCGTAGCGCTTGTAGCCGTCCGCCTCGATGACCTGCCCCTTGGCGCCCTCGGCGCCCTCGTACTTCGTCGCATACGGGTCGGTCCGGCTCCCTTCATCGGTCTCCCCACTCACGCCCGTCCAGACCTTCATCCCCGCGATCCGGAACCCCAGCGTGGAGCTCGTCGTTTCGTTAGACACCGCGTCCAGCTTCGCGCGCTTCAAGGGCGGCGCATCGTCCGCCCAGAGCCGCGCACCCAGCTTCACGTCCAACACATTGGGTCGTTTGAAGCCCGCAGCCACGTTCTCCAGCACGATCGAGATCCCCGTCTCGAGTTTCTTTCCGTTGGAAGGAACCCACGACGACTCCGCTGCTGCTGCTGCTGTCGGGCTGCTTGAGCTGGCCGTTTCGGGAGCTGCCGTCACTATGGGGGTTGCTGTCGCTACGGCCGCTTGGGCTTGGGGTGCGACGGTGGCCGTAGGGGTATCCGACGCGGAAGAATACTCCGTGCCGGGCAGCATGATGGCGCCGGCTTGCTGGGCCGCGGCGAGGGCCAGAGGCTGCTGGTCATTCGCGGACGTTAGAGTGCCGATATATGTGGGCAGGAATTCTTGGAATGCCGGGTGTAGGGCGCTGGACTCGTAGAACGCGACTTCTTGAGCGGTGCAGGGCTTTGCGATGAAGGTGCCGGATACGGTACACTGGACGCCTTCGCTACAGCAGGGTTTCTTGTTAGTAAGTTCGCCGAAACTTCGATTCTAAGAACAGCAAGGATTTAGGTTGCAGAGTTGAAGCGATATCGTGTTATGTTGGTTGCGACAAGGGAGAGGGATGCGACAGGGAAATCTGTTGCGGCACACTCACTGTCCGGCGGCGGCATGGTCGAAAGCCACGAAACTGTCGTGGTCCAGCTTTGCGGTCATCGCGCTCTCTGATCGCGAAGATGATTGCATGATGAGGGGTATTCAGAGCACAATAATAGGGAGGTCAATCACTGTCCAACAGAGACCGATGGAGTTTAGACGGCATTCCGCATGAGTCACGGAAAGGGACGGAGATTCAGCAGGCGGGAAGTTGCAGGGTCGGAGGGTTGGGAGAAGATGAGAAGGGGAGGGAAATCCTCCAACAGTGGGCCAAGGAGGGAAAGGAATATATTCCTGTTAGAAGCAAACAAATGCCTAGCAGGGGGTGGGGGAAAGGAAAGGAGAGACAAGCCACAACAGGCGGGTTGGTTGGTTTTTGGTTCGGGTTGGCGCTGTCAATAATAATGAGAGAAGTAAATGGAAAAAATGTCGGGGAAGCCGATCTGAACCCCCAAACAAGGCTGAGGGGCATCGATCATCATTTAATCTTATTAAAAATCCACATCACGAGGTTACTTAACCACGAAAGCAGAAAATCAGCCTGGAATTTCACAGCCTGGCTGATACGAAGCGCTTTAGCATAAGATCGTCTCTTATGCTGACTGGATCTGGTGGCACAAGGCAAGAATAAGTTAATCTCGCCTGCTTTCTATACTTCTGAATGGTCTGCCGTCTGCCGCTCAGCTCTTTCGGGTGTCTACAACTCTCGACTGCCAGATATTGTGTCGATCTTAATGGCCGCATTTGTCTTGGGACTGTTTCTCAAGCACCACATGGGGACTGACTATCTGTATACTTCTGCAATGTGCCGGCGAATGTACTGTACTATAGAGAGTAGAAGGTACTAATTAGCTGTCTGAAGGTATCTTGTATAGCGCACACACTTGTTCTTGTCTTGGATACAATCATCGTATCAAAACTAATCATAATACTTTCATACTACTTTCATCTTACTTTGCTACAAGACAAACAAGTATCTACCGATGTTGTATCTGGTCTCAGCCTATATCCCCATGAGAAACGTCCAACACTGCCAGTCTACAAACAGCCCGAGGCAACCTGCATGGACAACAACCCATTCAGTGACGGTATCATGAGGGAACCACGCTCTGCCCTTTCCTTCACTGCATAATCACTGCCAGCAACTCTTCTCTTCTCTCGTTATTCTCATTCTCTTCAACTCTATCGTTCACCCTCGTTCTTTTCTTCCGCCCTTCTCATATCTTCTCGTCTCTCCATCTCGTAAATTCTAGTTCCCTCTTATCAAACTACCTTTTAACACCTTCCTACTCGAAGATTCGAAATGGAAAATAAGGAAAGAACCTCGTCTTCTACTCATCTTTCTACCTCGGACTCACTGAAACAGGCAGAAGATGCTCAAGCTCAGTTGGCCTCGGACACGGCTAACACCCTGAGCCTCGAATCCACCGCTTCAGTCTCAACGCAGGCGCAGGTCGAGAGCATTGGGGAACAGGAAGCTCCTGGACTCCTTGACAATATCATCAAGCTCAAGAAAAAGAAAAAGAAAAGCAAAAAGTCCAGAAGCAAGCGTGGCCTGGTTTGTCTGTGAGAACTCACGTCCGAGGACCGAGCTGACTACAACAGGGCAAGCCCACTGGCTTTGAGGAATACTACTCCCATGACACCAGCTCAGTATGAGACTGAGCAGGTGATATACAACCCGTATGTGATTATAAAAATGCTTCTCCGTTCACTTTCAGCTAATTATACGTCACAGGGCTCGACCCATCATTCAGTAAGCCTTTCATGCTGACGGAACACTCGTGATGCTGATCTGTGATAGTCGGATTGAGGATGCCTTGCAACGCTACCAAAATAATCGCCGCCTCGAGAATTTCCGCAGGGATATATTTCTGAAATACTTGGCCTATGGGGGTGTGGACGTCTCTCCGAGAATGTTTGCAGGCTCCGATCAAAAAGACCTCCAGGACCTCGACAGCGAGCAGATCCTTCAGGCTAGAACGCAGACCAGCATCCCAAGGGACACAGCAAACCTCACCATCGACTTTGATACGGTGGCTCGGGGCTATCTGTAAGCACTAGCCTAACTCAGAGTAAATTGTCGCTGACAGCGAACAGGACTTCCTACTTCCCATCCTACTTCAACCCCGAGACCGAAGACATGGTCAACCTGGGTACGGTCACCATTCGCAACTTTCTGTCCTACCTACTTTATCATGAGGTCTGCCCAGAATACAAGGACAACATTGAACAGGCCAGGAAGTCGTGTGACGTCGCCGCTACGGAGCTTTGGAAGAACCAGCAGTTCATGGTCAAAGGGCCCGGCCATTTCAATAAAGCCTGTTCTACGCTCTTCGGAGGCCACCTCTATGAATGTTACACTGAGGAAGACGACGAAGAGCGCTCGTGGGCGGACGGTCCTCCCATGACTAGAGATGTGGCGCGCAAGGTCGTGAAATTCGCCCTCGCCGGTGCGGGAACAGATCAACTGGCTGTTGACTTCCGAGATTTAGCTCATACAGATGAATTAATATCCAAACGTGTAGATGATATCCACGGCTTTGAGATTATGGTTATTCATCCTCCGAACGATACTGTCCTTGACTTCTACAAAATGTACGCCCCCGACCTCGTTCCTGTTGGCCGCATCACCGCGATATCCTACTGGGACCCAGCAAGGCCGTCATGTGATATGACCCCGGAACAGCGGCAGCAAGCCATGATGCCGGTCATTTTCATTTTCTATGTGGAGCAACCTCTCTTGCAACTCTGTTATCCGGGTATGAAGGTGATTACACCGGTGTGGAGGATGAACTGTGGGCTTGACTATTTTGAAGAGACCTTCAACGTCTACGGCACCATCTACACGGTTCTTGCAAATGACCTTATGCTGGGGTGGAAGAAACCACGGCCGGTGAAGAACACTGCGGACGAAGACGAAACGGAGGCCGATGAGGATGATGCTTCTGAGCAGAGTGATGAGATCGCGGATGTGCAGGATGTACTCTAAGCACGTTTCAAGCGAGTGTCAAGCTTGGATTTGACAGCAGCAGATAGGTTTAGCCACGCATGGAATTTACGTAACCGACTAGCTCAGAGAATAAGACGACATGAAGATTGTTCAAATCTCTTATATAGAAGCCTAGTATTACCATCTTCAACGAACATACACTCATTATGATCAACAGCATCAAGCCTAAGACGACTTCAGAAGCAATTTTCCGGTGGTCTTACGGCCTTCCAGATCACGGTGTGCCTCGGCGACATCCTCCAAAGGATAGACCTTATGGACTCTAGCCTTGAGCTTGTTTGACTGGAGCAACGAGAAGAGCTCGTTGACGTAGAACTCAAACTCCTCGCGAGTCTCAATGTAGCCGAACAGCTGAGGTCGAGCAACCTTGACACACTTGGGGGAGAGCTTCCTGTAGATGGACATATATTAGCCTTGACGGACATTGCAACCGGGAGATCTCATCAATCCTTACTGTAGAGGCAACGGTGGCACCGGACCACTGGCATTACCGAACCAGACGATGGTACCCTTGCGCTTCACGGCCTCCAAGCTTCCCTCCCAGGTGTCCTTGCCGACGGAGTCGAAGACCACATCCACACCCTGACCCCCCGTGATCTCCTTGACCTTCTGGGGCCAGTCCTTGCCGGCCTCACTGCGGTAGTCGATCACCACATCCGCGCCGAGGCTCTTGGCCAGCTCGCACTTCTCCGGACCCCCGGCCGTGCCGATGACCTTGGCGCCGATCGACTTGAGCACCTGCGTCATGAGGGTGCCCGCCCCGCCCGCGGCAGCATGCAGCAGCACCCACTCGCCCTGCTTGACCGGGTAGGTCTCCTTGGCCAGGGTGATGACGGTTAGGCCGCTCAGGAACGCGGCCATCACGTCCTCGTCGGAGAGTCCCTCGGGGATCTTGACCGTCTTGGCCATGGGCACGGCAGTGTACTCGGCGTAGCCGCCCGTGCTGAGCCAGGCGACCCGATCCCCAACCTGCAGGTTGTACGGGTTGGGCCCCGGGCCCAGCGCCACGATGGTGCCGGCGCCCTCCCGCCCGAGGATCTCGGGCTTCGCGGACGGGTACAGTCCGGTCCGGAAGTAGGTGTCGATGTAGTTCACGCCCGAGATGTGGTTCTTGACCAGCACTTGGCCCTCCTGGGCACTGGGCACGGGCTGGTCGGCTTTGAACTCGAGGACCTCGGGACCGCCCAGCTTTTCGACCTGGACGGCCTTCATAGTCTGAGGGACGGACATGGTGGTGTTGGTGCGGGTGGGGAAGCTGATGGGGGAGAAAGGCGAGGGTCGAAAGTGAGCGTTTAGAGCTGCGAGGCGGAGCGCCGGGGAGGAGACGGACGCAGTTGGCGTGGCGGTGCGGAGTAGACGAGGGACGATGCGATTGAGGGGCATTGGAGGGGGAAGGATTGAGAGTGGAGGGCCGGGGTGATCGGTGGGTTATATTCAACGTACTCACTACGTACTTGTCAAAAAGATGGATAGTTAACACGAACACTATTACTAAACTTCAGGCGGCTCAATTCCGAGATGCTTGTTTTCTGTCATGATCTTGAATGCTCGTATTTACTATCATTAATAATTCTGGTTCCTTTACCCCACACCTTTCAACCTATCGTTACGTCTACGCTTTGCGACGAGGTGATTTCACCCCTATCAGTTACATTCAATATTCATCTAGTAAATGCTAGGAGCAGGAGATCTCTACGCCGCATTTCTTTGACTCTTCTCTATCTCATCCTGCATCTCGCATTCCGCAAATGTGTTCATCGTCCACCGTTCTTAAATCTTCATCCGACGGAGTGACGCCATCGGCATCATTGCCGAACCGTCGGATATCCGCGGCCTCAGCCCGATGATCGCTCCGAACTGCCGACGGCATGACTATTTAGGCATAGATGAGTCATGTGTGGCATAATAAAAGCACAACTCCCCGCATGGCGGTCTTACCCTTTTGGGAGTACCCCGTTGTCGTGCCCGCCCGCAGTGGAACTGAACTACTCGATGCATCGATCGATGATGCTTTGCTTTCCTCCTTCCACAATCCCATGATGGAGTCATCGCACTCCTTCTGACAGCGGCCCTGCATCACCGTCAGACGTATATCCCAACTTTTCAACTCATCCCGCCAGCACACCCCTCCCAAAGCCTTCGCCTGCTTTTCAATGCAGCTTGCCACCCATTACCTCTTCTCACCGTCTTTCCAGCTGATATCATCGCATCGCTTGCCGCAGATGAGATGGCCATTGGACGATGCGCACCATACGACCAGCATCTACAGGTCAAGAATGCTGCAGCTCATCCCAATGGTGGCATATGTAGCCAGAGGCGCCCAATACAGACCGTGATCGTGTGTGGCTTTGCTTAAGCCCTGCTCTACTAGTTGCCTGTCATGCCTGTCAGGCCAATAACCATCCCTCTAGTTCGCCGCCTGTGCCTTGGGGATGACGCCTTTCCCGCAGGTTAGAACTTCTCCGGTTTACCTGCCCCTGGTCGAACAATTGGCACCTAAACCGACGACAAAGGAGGGGTGGGACAAATCAACGGCCAGCTTCGCCTCTACGCATGCACGATCAAGCCATTCTCCTGTCCGGGGATCAGAATGGTTTCATCTTCAACGACTCCTGTTGACATGGCTCAGGCAGGACCATTCATTCCCAACGCTTGACATATGGCCACGATCGTCGTGTTTCAGCGTCGGGGGGGATTGATTCGCTCGCTGTTAACGCCCAATCTCTGGGGCTGGATTCTGATAGGGCCAGTACCCCGGCCAGAGGCGCTGCCCAACCGGGTTCCCATTGGGGTCGATTTACTTTATATAGTCTCTCCATATTCTCTGTGCTTGTTTTTCACGTCCCTGGAAGTGTAAATCAGGACTACTAACCATACTTTCGCCTAATACTTAATTCCAACCGCCCCTGGAAGGTTTTCAGAGACTGCCCCAGTCTTGCTCACTAGTTACTCCAATTTTTCCTGCGCCGTTCGGCCCCATTCCAACTCAATTGCTGATTCCCTGACTCCACCCGGGGCTTGTGTGCTTTTTGTTTACTTTTGATTGTTTGCGTCCGCTGGATCCCTTGCTCTTTCCTCGAGAACGTTTCTCTCGTGAGTCCGACGTTCGACGGATTTATAATGCCAACAGCCAGGAACGTGATTCTGATCCGACGTGCCACCGCAGGATAAATCCCCAGGAGTGCCCCCCTCACACCGATTGGAGCCTTGTATTCGACTGGATAAAAGTTTTCTTCTGTTCTGATTCTTGCTTTTTTCCTCGTCGCCATGTATCTCAGGACCAAGGTACACTTGCGCTGGCGCAAGCAGACCCAATGGCCACCTGCGCCTTCCGTGGAAGACGAGACGGTATCCCTCTCTCGTGAACTACACGGGATGACCAAGCTAGGAGAAAAGCCCGGAGTTGAGGGTGTCTGCTCTCGGGGAACTATTGACCAACATCCAGTGATCGTGGATGTGCTATCCTTCTCCTCAGTTGTTCACACGACGATCTATGACGACTCAGTCCGCGAGAGCGGCTCTGATGACAACGCAGGGCCGCCAACGCCGTCAGCGGAAATTGAACATGACCCGATGCTCTACATTGTCGAGGATGATCAGGCTGTGCCTCTGTCGACCTCGTGGACTTCTTCAGATAAGATTCGCGGGCATCCAAATTCGCTAGCACGCCCGCAGCAAGTCCGAACCCCGAGCAAGACCGTCGATGGCCGGCCTAGCGGAGCAAAATCCAGTACCCAGAGGGACAATATTCCCAAGAGAGATTTGGCCCAGGGATCCCGGACTAGCCCTGTGACATCCAACACGCCCGCCAAAGCGATCGAAACCACGACCACGGCATCCCCGCCTAGTTTGAAGCGAGCGGGCAGTGCGAAGCCCAGTTCATCTGCCAAGCAGGGGACCAGGCCTCCCATGCCGAAGCTGGGCCATCAATCTGATTCGGCTGCCGTTGGAGTGAAAGGTTCCTCGAGCACTCCTCCGGCCTCACCTACAGAAAAGTCCTCCACTGGGCCTACTTTGGCTGAGAGGATAGAGGAGAAATTGCGCCAGAGGCAAGAACTTCGCGCATCGCAAGAGGCTTCACAGAACCACGATCAGAACAGTCCGCCACCTGCAGCTGCAGCTGCCCAACCGATCGCCACCGTTGAGCAAGCAGGTTTCAAGCCATCCATTACGTGCCCCAATGGGTGCGGCGCGCCACAGGCTAACCAGGCGATCTCTTCTAAGACTACATCGACGGCCAAGGAGTCTACTGAACACGAGAAGAGTGAAGAGGATCCTTTCTCGGCCTCATTTACTGCAGCGCTGGCCTCTGAGGCCCCAGCGCGGCCCTCGATTGGCAACAAGCCGCATGGACGATCCCAGTCTTCAGACAGGGCACAGTCGGTGTCCACGCACACCCCCAGTAGACGTGCTGTGTCTTTCCTGGATGACACGTTGCAGCGGCCTGTGTCACCCGATGAAGACCCCGAAGATGCTTACCAGACTGGAAAACAAGTTGGTCGACGAAGCTCTTCGCAGGGTGCCGTGCGCAGAAGTTCTCCTAAGCCCCAGTACTTTCTGTCGCCTTGCCCTCGGTCAGTTCCTGTGGCAGGATATCAGGACTGGCACACCGTGAAGGGAATTCCTCACTTGGATATCTGTCCATCCTGCATGAAACAGATGCGCAAGTCCCGGTTCCGAGATCTCTTTGTCCTAGCGAGCCCCCGACCTCGCGAAGAGAAGGTTCGCTGTTGCATGAGTGAGCCATGGACGCGCTTGGCATGGATGCAGACACTCAAGAAGCACCTGGACCACCTGGATCTGCTCCTGCAGATCACGCGGCCACCGTCAGGCAGCAAGCCTTGCCCGGGACGCACTATCAGTGACCAGTACTGGTACCGTGTCGTTGACCCGGACACCGACATGTATCTCCCACAGTTCAACGTATGCCACTCCTGCGTTCGCAACCTGAGGACTCTGATGCCGCGACACCGGGAGACATTCAAACGCAGCGCCACCAAGCAGGAGAGGGCGTGTGATTTTGTGACTGACAGTGCTCGGTTCGTCCGCTATATCGACTGCCTGGATATGGCCGCCAACCGAGCCGAGCTGGAGCATGCGGTGCGGCCGGACATCCGCGAGTTCCTGTCCTATGCACGGCGCAAGGTAGTGCTTCGAGATTGCCGGCGGGACCGGCAGGTTCTCAGCACCTGGCACTACATGCCGCAGCTGCCTGAGCTCACGGTGTGTGAGGACTGCTACGACGATGTGGTGTGGCCGCTGGTCAAGGCCAAGCTCCCGATTGCGCGCAAGTTCTCGACCACGATGCGGCTTCTTCCCGGGGAAGGCCCGTCGCGCTGTCGCGAGGCGAGCTGCCAGCTGTACTCGCCGCGGATGCGCATGAAGTTCCAGGAGGCGGTGCAGCTGGACGACCTGACGTATCTGAAGCTGGTGGCGCTGCGACGTCGGGAAGCCGAGCAGCGGTACCGAGACCGCCAAGCCGAGCTGCTGGAGGATGCCAGTCGGGGGTTTGAAGTTGAGAGTGAGATGCGGAAGAACGTGGAGGAGTGGAAGCGATGGGAGTAGCCGGGTGACGGGGAGGGGTGTGTGTATCTTTACTGTTTGATTGTTTGTGCTTCAGGACCAGCCTGTACGGTAGACTTAGACTATATACATGTATCACCTCTGTGCAACAGCAACAAAAAGCAGTCTCGTAGTGTGCCACCCTCCTAGGTACTAGGCACTAATTTGCTTCGGCAGTTGACTCTGCTCGCCCAACTCCACCAACTCACTCAGCGTGACCACGCGAAACCCCCTCCTCTTCAGCTCCGGCACCACCAGCTTCAGCATCGGCACCGTCCACCCCCTCCGATCATGACAGACAATCACACTGCCCGACCGCACCATACTGAGAATATGCCACGCATTGACCCGCGGCCAATTGATCTGCGCATCATGCGGATACACACTACCCAGGGCAATCCGCAGCCCCAGCTTCTGGATGAGCACGCGCATCCGATCCGAGAAGAACCCAGACCCCGGTCTAAACCACTTGTACTTCGCTTTCGCCCCACTGCCGTGGGCACCCGCTCCCCGTCCCTCCCCCTCCCCCTCCCCTACCGGAAAGACCAAATCCTCCACCCGTTCCAACCACCCCTGCACCCCCCTCACCTCCGCCTCGAGCACCGCATCGCTCAGTTCTCGAGAAGGCCGATCGGACATCGCATGATTCCCCAGCTCCATGCCCCCCTTCACCAACTCGCGCAACATCGCCTCCCCATTGCCTCCGTGAGGCCCGATCCCCGGAGCGGGTATCTGCGCCCCGATGACGAAGAACGTCGCGCGGGCGTCGTTCGCTTTCAGAATCTCGAGGATCTGCGAGGTGAACGTGGACGGAGAATCGTCGATCGTCAGCGCGATCGTCGGCGGGGTGGAGGCCGGTAAAGGCACGTGGAAGAGGGTGTCGGGCCAGCGGTGTTGGAAGTAGCGGATCAATAGGTTGGGCGGGCGGTAGATTGTGTATGCCGGGAGGAGGACGACGGCGCAGATGAGGAGGCAGAGGGTCAGGAGGGCCATTTTGAGGGTGCGGCGGCTGAGGAGGTGGGTTTTGTGCGGGGTTGAGGGGTGGAAGTCTGTCGGGGGTTTGTCTTTGTAGTTGGATGAGGTGTCGGGGAAGGGGTAGATTGGGGGTCGGGAGAGGGCGCGCGAGCGGGCGCGGGCGCGGGTGCGGGTGCGGAGGTGCAGTGGGAGGAGGGTTGTCAGGGGGCGCGGCAGGGTGGTCAGGAGTCGGGTTAGAAGGCGATTCAGGTGGTTTGTTAGGTGGAGGCGGGGCATCTCTTCGTTTCTTTGGTGGTGGTGGTGGTGGTGGTGGTTGATCTGGGGGTTAAGGAGTGGTTATTCGGTTGTTGGTTGGGCTTGGTGGTGGTTGAGGTGGTGGTGGTTGTTGTTGTTGTTGATGTTGACGAAATGAGAGGCGTCTGGCTGGTGCAGCTTTCAGGAGAAAATCTAGGCCATTGTCTATGTGGTGGGATGGATCTAGCAAGTAGAAAGTAAAGAGTGTTTGGGTTGAGAGGGTTGTTGGTTGTTGATGGAGAGGAGGGAGAGTCTAGGCTGAAGCTAAGGTGAAGGTGGTTTATCATATCAATCAACACTAACCGCTTTTACTGACTGTACTACTTACTAACCCACCAATCCGACCACCTCGCCCGGCCATTTCTTCCCCCACACCAACGCCCGCGGAGGCACTCGCCCCCCCACCGGCGCCAACACCTGGATCTTCCCCCTCTCGTTGTTCACATCCGCCACATACAAGAACCCCATGATACTCGCATCCCGCACGTCCGCCGCACTGGCCGTCGTCGACGCATGCGTGATCGCCAGCAGCGAATTGGCCAGGCCCGTGGGCGCCGGCGGGAGCAGCTTCTTCAACGGCACATTTGCGCCGCTGCCCGTCTCCGCCGTGGCACCCGACGGAGCACTACCGAACCCGGGCAGAACCGACGTTGCACTACTTTCCTCCTCCTGCTTCTGCTGATTGTGGCTCGAGTCCGCCTCGTTGCCTCCGCCAGGGAGGAACGAATCGGTCCCAAAAGACGCCGGGTCATATTCATCCTCATCCTCCTCCGGGGTAGCGATGGTGTAATTGTATATCGACAGGGTGCTGAGATCCAGCTGCTGCGCGTGCGGCGACAGCGTCACATTCTTGGAAGAGGCGGCCAACAGCGGCAGCGCCCCCGACGCGGCGGAAGGGATCTGGTCGCCGAAGAAGTAGGTGCGGATCTGCGACTCGCGGACGGCCTTCATGAACGCTGCGTCCCGATCCACGCATCCCCCGGACTTGGACAGCTTGATCACGGAGATGCGCTCATCCGACGCCACGGCAGATGCGCTGGCCGTAGGTTTGTTATCAAACTCCTTCATCATCGAACTGTAGAGTCGTTCGGAGCCGATCACCAAAATCGTCGTAACTGTATCACCCCCAAATCACGTCAGTAAATGTCCCTAAGATCTCCTGACAACAACTCAATCAAAACTCACTGGCAAATTCTGTCACAATATGCTTGATCAAGTCCACATTCCCCGCCTTACTCTGACTGAGAATCCCCGGTGTGTCGACAATGATCCCCGTCTCCCGGACATCCTCATCCTCGGCCATGCGGCCCATGACCGAGACGGCCAGCCGCGACACGATCGCCTTGTACACGGACCCCTCGGCCTCGAGCGGGTTGGCCATCGGGTAGAAGTAGACCAGGGGCACCTTGACGGGCACCGCACTGGGGCCGGACATGGGGCTGGACCCCCAGCCTTCCTCGACGTCAAGCATCGTGCGGAACGCGGTGGCCGTCAGCGTCCCGGGTACACTCAGCATCCCCTCCGTGGGGTCGAGGTTGACGACCACCGGCTGCCGCCCGACCTTGGTGGCGTACGCCGTCAGAATCTTGGCCAGACTCGTCTTGCCCGCGTCCTCCGAGCCCAGGATCAGCACCCGCGGCCCGTCCCTGCCCTGCGCCTTGGCCTGCCGCCGCATCGTCTCCAGCGCAAAGTGCACGTTCGCGTATTCCACCATCGGCGTCTCCTCCGCCGTGTACTCGCTCTGGCAGCCTCCGGCGCCCAGGCCGCGACCGCCGCCGCCACCCGTCGTGGGTGTTTCGTTACTGTTGCTGGTGCTGTTGCTGCTGTTGCCGCCGCCAGGCGCAAGGCTGTCCGGTGTCGCGTAGGACTCGCCGGCGCTGACCTCGAGCATGCATCCGTGCCATGTGTAGATCGCGGCTTTCGTGCCGGTGAAGGTGTACGTCTGGGAGGGGGCGAGTTCCGTACCGAAGAGTTCAGCGGTGCCGGTGAGGAGCTAGTTCTCGGGGTCAGTCAGTCAGTCGGTCAGTTACTGGAGGTCAATTGAGGATCAAACAGAAATCCATCGAGCATGAGAGCTGTAGAACCTCTTAAGAAGGCTGCGCTCACCTTGACGCGCACGACGGTGCCGAACGCTACCTCAAACCGCCATTCTGAACCTTTGCCGACAGTGATTTGCGTCGGCGGTGCGGGGACAAACTCCTTCTCCCCGGAGGGTTGTGTAAGGTCTAATCCCGGAAGAGACATGGCATTACGGTGCTGAGGAGATCGATGAGCGTAGAGATGGGTGTGGGAAATGCGTAGATTTTACAACACAGTAAGAAAGAGGACTGAAAGGAAGAACAAAGGATGGAAGAAAGAAAGTAACCTTCGGAGACGTCAGGCGGAGAGAACCACCCGCCGATAACGATGTTTTGCTGGTTTGCAGCGGAGTCGAGCTTTCAATGCCAATCTCACTTTGTATTACCCCACTATACCCACAAAACAGGACCGAACGGCCAATCTACAATCTGCAGAAAAACATCGCTACTTATCAACATTCAAATTCTTGCATGTAGCGTCGTCTGTCAAATCTACCCTAACAATAGCACAACGCCCGAGTACAGTCCAGTCAAAGCCATCCGATTGCATCACGACACCAGGGGTCACTCCCGGCGCAAATGGTGTAGAAACGAAAAAGAAAAACCACATTATAGGGGCATATATCAGGTATCCAGGAAGAAGGGGGATAATGAAAAGGTGCAGGTAAAGAACGAAACGAACCCAAGGCTTTCTCTCTGATCTCCAGGACCTCTGCAGGCCAATCTTTCCCGCCTCGACGCACATCACTCGCAACCAAAAGGCACAGCATTGGTAAGGAAATAAACTGGTTCAGATACGGTACACATCAAAATGACCATGGTTGGGGGAAGAATCGTGATTGGCAAGGGGATAATCGACCAAAGCCCGAACTCGGATTTGAGCGAGGGTAGCAAAAGTGCACGGAAAGAGGCTTCTCGCGGTCATTGCATGGCAAAAGTCGTCAGGGACCATGGCAGTTGTGAACATACGGTCAAGGAGGCTGTGGAACCTATGATGATGGCGGAGACAGGTGTCGGTTACTACGATTGCGGGCGCAGGTTGACATCACGAAGGACCTCGTGCGTCTTTGGCTCCACTCGTGATTGAGAAATGTATTAAATTCTTTAGATGAAGAAGTAAGGAATCGAGGCGCTGCATAGTCCAGTTAGTATTGTGCGATGAAAGACTGGGTATTGTAGAGGGGTACTAACGCAAGAGCAAAGGCAGCTGTAACACCAACAAGAGCACGATTCCGGACGCGCTCCTGCTTGAGCTTCTCTTCCAGGACCTTGGCGCGCTTCGTCCGGAGAGTGCGGGCTTCCTCATCTTCCTCATCCTCATCCTCGCTGAGAGCGTCAGTCTTGCGTTTCACGGCCGCCTTAGCTGACGATGGCTCGGCGGTCTCTGCCTGGAGCTTGACAGCTTCTTCCACCATTTCCTTGGCCTTGGCGATCATCTGCTCGGTATCAGCTGCAGAGGGTGCTTCGGGAAGAGTAACCGGCAGCTCCACGGAGACGGTCGTCTGGGTGGTCTTGACATCGTCGACGGTGCTGGCGGTGGTCTCAACGTCGACCTTCACCTTCTGTTCCTTCTCCTCCTCTTTTTGCTCCTCCTTTTGCTCCTCCTTTTGCTCTTCTTCGACATTGTCCTCAGGAATGACCCGACGCGCAATCTTGGACGGTCTGGGCGTCTTCAACTTTCTAGGAGTGGGGGCCGGCTTCTGGTCGCTATCAACTTCCACGCTAGGCTGGATGGCTCTGATCACCGACTCGCTTTCCACGGTCGAAGCGGTCAAGTCGAGAGAAGACTGTAGGGTAGCATTTGCAGCGCTGGTGGCGGCAGCGTTCGCTTCCTTCATGGCTCGGGTTTGTCTAGGCTTCCGGGGCGAACTAGGTCTCTTGCTGGGGGAAGCCGAGCGTCCTCGTCTGAGACGGGTCGTAGAAGTGAGGAGGGTGGGGGCCTCGATAGGAGGCAGATCGAACCTGGGGGGAGGCGTGATTTGCTTCTTTGCAGAGGAAGGGCTCTGGATAATTTCGGTGGGGTCAAGCAAGGCTCGGACCCAGTCGTACATCTGATACTCCTTGGCGAGCTCAAGAGCTGAGGAACGGTATCAGAGGGGTAGGCCAGGGAATGTAAGGTGGTTCAAAGAACTTACCAAGTACAGGAGAGATCCAAACGTTGCCGGCAATCTCGTCTTCGCTCGTTTCAGACCGTGCTTTCAAGTACTCCCGCTCAGATCGTTCTTCGTCAAGCTTGGCCCAAGGGAAAGCGATCTTGAACATGCCAGTGGCGCTAACGTATCCGTCTCTGCTACGACGCTGGAAGAGACAAAGGAATCCACCCCGTTAACCATGGTTCCGTGACGTTCCGATTCCGAAAGGCTAAGGGCCTGCAAGGACGCGACTTACCATCAAGAAGTACGTCTCCGGGTGTTGTTGAGGAGCATGTGAAGGGAAGATTTCAGATCCTTTGAGATCACTGGGCAAGGGAGCGCGCAAGTGGGCATATTCAAAAGGGCCGAGGTTCTCTGGTTTGGTCGCATTGGAGGTGCCGATCTGGGTGGGCTTCACGGCAAGATTTGTCTTTCCCAGGCGACGGCGGGCAAGAAGTTCTTCGTCTGTCAACACAGAAGCACGAAGCAAGGCGCGTGTTAGTCTGGCGCGACCTCAGATCGGAGTGGAGTGGATATAGCAATGGTCGAGATCGGAATCGACGCTGCCGATGCAGAGGCACAACTTACAAGCAGGCGCTTCATCGCTAAGGATGAGCGGGTTGTTCTTTCTCGGCAAGGTGCGCACCATGATGAACGAATTGGATGGGGCGGGAGATATCAATTTAAAGACTCGAAAAGACTCGGGCGATGGACGGTGGTGAGTGGGATGATGGATGGGAGATGCGACACCAAAGCGGCGGCCACGTTGCAGGCGCGTTTGTCGCCGCTCTCTTGTCTACAAATCGCGAGAAGAGAAGACGTCACCAAGACGAAAGCGCACAGGTGACAAACACGACGGTTTGAAAACCGGGCGGACAGTAGATGAGGTGTGAAGCTTGAAAGGAGTACGCGACAACCAGCCAGATGATAAAGGCAGGAATGGGGGTGTGGGAGGAGTCCAGGCGGCGCTCGGTCGATAAGCAGTAGCAGCAGCAGCAACAACAGCAGCAGCAGCAGTCGCTAAAAGGTTAGGTTTCTCTAGACTCGGGAGTAGGGGAGGGAAAATAATCAAAGAATGAAAGTCGAGCGAAACAGGACGGGCGAATCGCTTCCCACCATTGCATGTTCTGCTGGTTACGTGACGGTTCCGCCCGGCTAATGTTACGGCGCTACTGCAGCGTCACCGTTGAATCAACCAGTCATCCATACCAATTGGCCCATCCTCTAACCCGAAAAGTAAGTACCAGCGCCGCCGGCTCATCCCCCGGTATCAATAATTACAGAAAAACGCTCACTGCGTATTGATGCCTTGGCGCCTGAGCTAGCGCGGTTGTCCCCGTGACGCGCTTCTCTTGTTTTGGTTTGTTGGGCCTCACCTTAGTTTGTCGCGGGGGTTTTCGACTCGTCATCGAGCTACGGGATACATGGTGGATGATTTTTTTTGCCCAGGATTATAACACATTTAAATTCATGAAGTTCTCACGTTGAAAAGAAGAAGGGAGGGGAAACCAAAGAAAGACTTTAGATAGCAAAATTCCCTTGCCAGAAGTCCGGACATGGGGGTATGCATAAAGACATGCACCGAGCCAGGGCTGACACTTTGCTAACTTCCCTACCGTCTGGGGGAACTGACAGTACTCCATATATCCTACTGGCATCGGGCGAGATTCGTTCTTATCAGTCAAGCAGACCAGACTTAGGACAGTCCACGAGCCATGCGCACCATGAATAATAGCACTGTAAAAGACTCTTTTAACGGCCTAGAATGGCTGATCTACTTGTTTCCCTTCGGGAACTTAGGACTCTTTTAGCAGCAGGCAATGTCTTTCTTGCCCTTGCAATGCTCACCGCTTCATCCTCGATACAGACCTTGGTCCACTCTTCCAGAACAATGCCGCATTCGGACATAGAACTTGCAGACTTCTCGGGAAACATGGAACCTCGGCAACGGGGACTGTCAAAATACTGAAACTTGGATTGGTATATCCTCAGGGTAGAAAGCTCGACTGTCTCTGAGTTGACTAATGACCCTCGGATGTTGGACCAACTGTACAAAGAGCGATTGGGGCGAGTGTATGAAGTTCTTTAGGCTTCAAGTGTTATCTCCGATGTGATGTCGAATTCTCCATAGGTCGACTGCTGCATATCTTTTCAACTGTAGGTGAGATTTGGGTTCCTCCGTATATCAGGGTGAGCATGGAATCTGAAGTTTCATAGTGTCATCTGCCTCTTGCAAAATAGCCTGCGCAGTGTGTAGCGTCTGTTAGGAGCACCTTTGCTTCTGGCGATCACGATCTTGAAACGGTCCTTCTGGCCCCTACCAAAGTGTAAAGCTATGACCTTAGTGACATGGACTCATGATACCGAGTAGAGAAGTTGACACCCAGAGATAATATATGCGATTCTTTGGCTCGGTATGAGAAGTCAAGTGGTATACTTAGTCTCAAACTCAGGCTGTGCCAATGTTGATCAACTCGAACAGGAGCCATGTACTAAGTACTCGCACTGTTACTGTATACCAACCCCACACTGTAGAGCTGTTCAGTGAGCAAAAACACAATAAGCGCTCGCACCATGAAGCGGATAAGTTATAACAGCACCCCCTTGTCCAAGCTTGGTTGCTGAATTTGCCAGGGGTTCCATAGTGCAAGTAATGTATGGCTGGGAATGTCTCATCTGGACTCCTGGAACCTCGACTAAGACCGGGCAATCCTCATGTTGATGGCCTGGCAAGAAAAAGGGCTGATCACCTTCGAGGTACAATTTAGTAAACAGCCATCTTGTCAAGCAGTCGTCTTCTCTCGTGTGAGGTCGACTACTGCGTGACCAGCAATTTCATGACTCGGATTCGATCAATCAGGTACAGTACACACTGCCAGTGCTAGTGATGAGTCTATGAGTCTGGCCCATCCGAGATACACATAATCCTCCCCCTCCTGTAAGGCCATCCATTAATAGCCATGATTGTCCACCGCCTTTTCCTCCCCCCACTTGGCCTTTAGTAGTTCAATTGGCCTTCCACTCCAAAACAATCCAAAACAATTCTCTCCTCCAGCAATTCCTGGCCTCATTTCAATCTCGGTGAGTGACCCTACTTTAAATCTCTTCGATTCCTGGTCTTGAATTGGCCCTGGGCTAATCAAGAAAACCGCCATCTGTGAAGCGAGCATCTTCCCCAGCAATTTACCTCTGGACACATTCTCCCATCCGCTATCCAAATACCCCACCAGAGCCACCAAAACAACCATATTAACAACACCATCACCACCACCACCATGCCTGAACACGAAGACGATCTCACTGCCACCAAGACCGAGGGCTTCAAGGTCGGCGAGAAGAAGACCATCAACGAGTATGCTGAGCTTGGTATGTGTGATCATTTGTTCTTGATGTGTCCCTCTTCCTCCCCCCCCTTTTGTTGTCACGAGCATTCCGCCCCCTCCTCTTCTTGTTACCTCTGCCTCGTGGCCATTGACACCGGCCCCCCCTCCCCCTTGCTTAATTACCCCATGCCAAAGACAAACCTTGGCCGCATCGCGACTACGACAGGCTTCTCCACAACATCAACGCCATCAATGGTCTCTATTCCCTACTAACCACCCTCTCTCTTTACTATAGATAAGGATGACGAGGCCTTGAATCGGTGGAAGGCCTCGCTCGGCCTCAACTCCGGCACCCCGATTGGCGACCCCAGCGATCCCCGCAAGTGCATCATCAAGTCCCTGGCCCTGGAGGTCGAGGGCCGCTCCGACGTGGTGATCGACCTTTCCGCCCCCGGCGCGCTGGAGGGGCTCAAGGACCAGCCTTTCAAGATCAAGGAGGGCTCCACCTTCCACATCAAGGTCGTCTTCCAAGTGCACCACGAGGTGCTCAGCGGTCTCAAGTACCTGCAGGTCGTCAAGCGCAAGGGTGTCCGGGTCAGCAAGGATGAGGAGATGCTGGTAAGTTTCCCTCCTTCCCCTCCTCGCCTTAATTTCCTAATAACTCGTCACAGGGAAGCTACGCCCCCAACACCACCGACAAGCAGGTCTACGAGAAGAAGTGTAAGTTGAGCCAGCTAAACCCCCTCCCCATTATACTCCTACCACCAACTAATCATCTTTTTTTTAAAACAGTCGCCGCCGAAGAAGCCCCCTCGGGAATGCTGTACCGTGGCCACTACAACGCCATCTCCAAGTTCATCGACGACGACGACCACACTCACCTCCAGTTCGAGTGGTCATTTGACATTGCCAAGGACTGGTAGATCATCTTCGTTCTTGTTTTCTTCTCCCTTGTCTGTGTTCTCTTTTCCTATGAACCTACGATCAAAGATCCACCCCCATCTTTTTTTTTGTCCCATGGGGCCAGCATAACTATTTCTTGCCAGTATTTACAAGCGTTGGGACGCATTTGTTCACACACATCATCTGAGTGAAATCTATTCGATTTTCCATATATATATTCTACTTTTCTTCTAGACCCTCTTTTGTTTTTTTTTGTTTTTTTTGCTGGGAGGTTGGGACTTAGTGGACTATACTATAGTACTACTATATATACATCTGCATATATGAGTTGCATGCGAGCCTTCTGTTGGTAATAGTGTGGAGATCCTATGGCTTTCCCCCCCCTCCCGGTCTCCGTCTCGCTCCATTTGCTTTATTGGACACACGCACACTTGACTTGGAAATCAACATAGTGGAAAGAAGGTTGAAGTTGGTGAGTAGTCTTCGATTGGTTTTTGAACTAGTTGAGAACTTATTCTCAAAATATCTAACAGTTTCTGTAACACTGGAACCAGCAACCTCACCAAGAGGTTTATGTAGATCCATAAGCTATCTTTAGCCCATATATAACTACTTGTAAAAGGTTGTGTGAGGTTGCAGGTAATGACCCACGTCATTTGTAGTATGTAGCAGTATCTGTCGGTTTTGGAGACTGGCTTCCCAACTGTTGATAGAACTGTTCGCAACCCTCACCTCTGAAGCCCCTCTTCTTTCCAGTATCAACTCATTTAATATCTCTTCAAATTCCTCTCTTACATGACAACACCTAACAGCGGTCTATAAATGCTTGAATATTTACCCAACTTCCCACTCCTAAGAAATCATAAATGCACAGAAAGGAAAAAAAGGGAGTGGGCGACAACCCAGAATAGATATATGTTAGAATAAGAAAGTAAGAAAAAAAAAAAAGTAAAGCAAAATGTTCTTAAACTAGACAAAACCAGGAACACTCCATCACAAAAACACACGACAAAACAAAGGGGGGTATCATCACAGAAAGTAATCAATCACGGGGCTCTGGCCGTCCTTATTCTGCTGCGCCTGCTGCTCGCCGCGATGGATATCGTTCTCGGGCGCGGCGTCGAAGATGTTGAAGTAGCGCTCGCCGGTATCACTGACCTCGAGCACGCTGGCCAGGTTGCCGCAGCGGTAGCAGTAGTTGGGGGCGCTCCAAACGGTGCTGAGGCGGTCATCGTAGAGCACTTGGTACCCCTCCTGGCAGAGCTGGTGGGCGCGCAGGATGTGGGACATGCTGTTGACCTCCAGGAACTTGCGCACGACCTGGGCGCCGAAGGTGTAGCCGGCGCCGCGCGGGGAGAGGGAGAACTCGTCGCGCTCGGTGTCCGGGTCGGACCAGACGAGGTCGGCCATGGGCCCCTCGTGGGGGATCTCGCGGAAGCGGTCGATGATCTTGATCTGGTCGATGGAGTGGATCGAGGGCGACAGCCCGCCGTGCACGCAGAAGATCTGATCGTTGATCACCACGCTCAGCGTCAGGAAGTCGAACATGTCCGTGAAGTAGTGCCACACGTTCGCGTTGCCGTACTTGCGCGCGCACTCCGTGTAGAACCCGTACGACTGCGTCACCCCCCGCGACTCGTGGTTGCCCCGGATCAGGTGCACGCGCTGCGGGTACCGCAGCTTCAGGCACACCAGCAGCGAGATCGTTTCCACGCTGAAGAGGCCCCGGTCGACGTAGTCGCCTAGAGTGAAAGGGGGGTGAAGTCAGCTTGTTATTCAAGTTGTTCCAAACGTTTACCGCCACACTGCAGCGAATCCCTCTCTTTGCACCAGGCCTTCATCATCCCCTAACCCCTGTGTCTTTTCTTCCCCCACGAACTCCCCCGCGGAGAAAAGGGAAAAAGGAAAACCCACCTAGAAACAAATAATTCGTATTCGGACAGAACCCGCCGATCTTGAAAATCTCAATCATATCAAAAAACTGTCCGTGGATGTCTCCAACGACCGTCACCGGAGCCGCGATGTGCACGACATTGCTCTCCTTCATCAACAACTCCTTCGCTTTGGCGCATATTGCCTCGATCACGGAGTCTGCCAGCAACTCTTTGCGATAGAGTCTCTCGATGCACTCATCCAGATCGATGCTCGCTACAAACACATAAATAAAGAAAAAGATGAGTATGAAATTCAGTTTAGAGGGAACAAAGGCGAAAAGTTGCCTCGGCACGGGAGGGTTTTTGGTGTGGCGGCGTAGCGCAAGAAGCGCAGCAGCGGGGAAGACTTACCCGGTAAACCAGGCATTTTTGGGAGCAGGAGGTGACCCGTGGAGGTGGGTTCCCGTTTGTGATAGTGAAAGCTTTTCTCTTTTGTCTATCTGATTATACAGCCAAGGTGAGGTGAGGCCGGGGTCTTTTGTTTTGAGAAAGTAAAGTGGTTAAGGAGGGAGGGCTGAGACGGATGTGGTCGTTTCGCGTCCGTCTCTCGAAGATTAGGTGTAAATGGATGGTCGGTGCGGGCGATCGGTTCTCAGTATTGGCCACAGAAAGAAAGACGCATAGACTGTGATATAGGTAGGTCGTTCGAAGAAGAGATTTGTTGATTTTGGAGGGAGGTTCCTGCAGTAGCTCGCATCGTGGCCGACAGCTGAGTCCACTGGAAGAGCAGCAGGGGGACGGAGCGCGCGCGGGTCACAGCCTGGCGAGCGACTCGGAGTCTTGGACGCGGGTAGGCGGGAAAAATTGGCAGGGATGTGCGATCAGCTCACTCGCAGCTGGCTTCAGCCATAGCCAGACAGATCCCAGGAAGTTGAAAGCGAATGGTCCGATGTTTGAGGCGTGATCTCTTGAGACCGTCTCAGCCTCGCTGTGAGGGAGAGGATTCGCACCTTCCGCCGTTCTGCCGCAGGGCACCGCCTGGTTTGTTGTCGTTGTATTTCCCGCCAGTTGACTAACATCAGCGTGTAAGATTGTGGTTTGTTTGGCTATCGCAATTGTGTTGTGCTTCGTGGGACAAGAGGGAAAACAAATGTCAGAATGGAAAGCAAGGTTTGAATGGTATCTACATGTTCACAAAAGTAAGCTCTATCACTACACGAGAAAGTAAACCGGCCATCACCGTTTCAAGAGTCCTGTCGTCTGCGCCCGGTCTTCAGAATCGGTCTCGTCCTCTTCCTCTTCCGATTCATCCTCTTCAGTCTCCTCTTCTTCCGTCTCCTCCTCATCGGTCTCATACTCAGAGTCAGTTACCTCCTCTTCTTCTTCCGTTTCTTCCTCACTCTCAGATTCCGGCTCCTCTAGCCACTCGTCCAACGTCTTGCCCTTCGAAGATGCCCCTCCTGGACGATCGAGCTGTGCCTTCTTGGAAGATGAGGCACTCTGCTCATGCTCCTTGAGAGCCTGATCAAGCCGCTCGCCTGCCGTCATCGATGCCCGTCCGGTGGGATCTGGCTTGACCTCTGATTCTCGAAGGCGCGGGTCGGGCTCTTGCCCGGCTCCGACCCAGTCAGGAAGGTTCTCATAACCCTTGAGTCCGAGCATGCCCGCGTCTGGCCCGATCACAAGGGTCGAGGAGCCTATCAAGAAATCCTTGCGCGTCTCGGACGGGCTGGGGGCATGGGGAACAGGTTTGGGTGCGAGAAGAAGTAGATTGGCCAACTGCGTCATCGAAGGAGACGCAAGGAGAGCCTTGTAAAGTCGTGCTCGGTCGCGAAGATCGTAGGAGGAGTCGTATCGGGCCAGAAGAAGGATATACCGCCAAAGCAAGGCTATCTGGTCCTCCTCGGGTTCACTCTTGTGCTCTTCCTGGCCATTGGTTTCAGGCTCTTGCTCATTCGGAGTGTCGGCCCATTCATTGACGATTGCCTCCTCCGTTTTAGCTGGTGGTGGCGTTTGTGCCTCTGGCTCCTCCTTAGGCGGGTTCCGTAGCAAATGATGGAGATAGACCTTTGCGCCGAGAAGGACAATCTGCTGCTTCACGGCCTCGGCCTCGTTAGCGAAGTCCTGAACCAGGATTCGCAGGACATCGGGAGCAATATTTCTTTCGGGCTCGGCACCGGCAAATTCCCCGACAAGCCACACAATCGTAGCTCTTGCATCGGGATTGCTTGTCAGTCCCAGATGCTTTACTAGCTGAATGACCGTCTTTTCGTGCGAAGGAGGGTCTTGCTGGATGAGATGACGAATGACGGTCAATGACTCCGCTACCAGATTATCGTCCTGGCTCGTGATCTGGCTGAGCAAGACTCGCAGGCAGTAATTTGCAGCGCTGGTATCAGCTTGCGCACAACGTCCTATCGCGCGTACACTTTCTCGGACCATCTCCGGGTTCGTGCTTTGCGAGAAATGCTGGAGCTCACTCAAGATCACATTCTTTAGATGTTGTCCACAGTGGGGGAATATTATCGTTAGCACTTCGAGCTTCAGACGCCATATGTGAGGCGGGTCGATGGCATGAACCAAGAAATGCGTGGCATACTTCGTGAATGGCTTGGGATGTCTCAAAGCCACGACCACGATATTGTAGAGCGCAACATGCTGCACATCTTGAGGGCTTCTGAGCAGAGCGATGAGCGGACCAACAGCAGCTTGAAGGTACTCGGGCGTGCCGAGATGAAGGAAACAGCGGACAATACTAACGATCACCGCTGAGTTACGATTCTGCAACAGCAACAGACAAGCGCGCAGGAAAAGTTCCAAGTCCGGATCCAAGACCGGTACCTCATCCAAATCGGCCTCGTTCTCGTCCGTCACCTCGTTGCCATTGTCGTCATCTTCGTAGAATCCTTTGGTTTCTGTCGCGCGCTTGACTTGCTTGGTTTTGCGAGGAAAGCACTGCCGGGCGTAGAAAGTTAGAAGGCGCAGCGTTGCAAGCTGGCTCCACTCATCCATATCAACCAGCTTCTTGACAAGGGTTCGGTAGTGCTTGTGGATCAGGTCAATCCGGTCGGGGCAAACCTCCAGGAACGCGGCCACAGCGGGCCCTAGGACAAAGTACTGGGAGTCACCGAGCAACGTTGTGATATAACCAACCAACTGCGGCAGGGAGTTTGGATCCAGGCGATAACACTTCGGAATGGCCAGTGCTGCGGCCTTGCGCACATGCGGGCTCATATCCCCGCATCCCCTCTTAATAGCAAGGGATACAATCTGACTGATGACCGGGACTCTGATCCCAGCCATTGTACGAAGCGCCATGGCGCGCGCATGCGGATTCTGGTCTGTAAGCGACTTCTGGATGGCGTTGATGGACAGCAGCGCAAGGTCCGGTTCCGTCTCCGCATGGTGGACCAGGTAGATGTAGACCAGTTTCTTAACCTCGAAGTTGGCGCTTGCTACATTTTTGACAACCGCGGAGAAGAAAGGCAGTGATGGCTCGGCTCGGTACATCAACTTGAGTGCTCACAAAGGACAGGGTTAGTCATTTATTTCTGTGATTGCGGCTGGTGGGGAGGGTCTGGTCCGTACTGTGATGACCCGTCGCATGCCATCGAGGACTTCGCGGTCACTCCGACTATCCAATAGTTTCTTGATATGCGAGGCCGTCAGGTTGCGGGGAGATACCCCCGTGCCGGAGCCTCTATTCAAGGCTGCGGACTGCGCTGCTTCGAGGGTGAGCTCGCGGGCTGTTGACACAACATTCGTCAGTCAGTCTACTTAGGCAGCGAGGACAATTGGCGGAAAGACACTCGGGCGGACAGTACCTGTTTCCAGCATGGACGAGATCCGTGAAATGGTCTCCATTTTTGCCTCCAAAGCCCGTCACTGAAAGGCAATAATAGACGAGGCTTTTTGGAAGGGGACACGCTCCTTGACGCAGAGCTAGAGAGAAGTTGGGTGCTCGGTGATTCTCTGGCGGGCAAGCCGAAATGACGATTTGAGGTAACGTGCTTGGGTTAAGTAACTTAGTTATCGATTGGGTGGATCCACCCTTCAAGCTTTCCCGCGCACGTACAGTAAGTCAGTAACTACTCCGTACCTCATTCCGGTCTTTATCATTATCTCTACTCCGTACATTAACGTCCCAGCTCGACGTCTATCGGTGTCTGACTCACCAATTGCAAAAGTGATATGACAGTAAAAACAGCCTCTTCAGCTCTTATGTGCTAGCAAAGCAGAACAAAGCCCTCGTCTAAGTGGCTGCACTTACAGAGCAGTCAGCCCAGCCATGGGCTCAACCAGACAAATATATTCTACCGGCTCTACTCCCGAATTCCTGCAATCAGTTCTACAACATGACTCTATCTCCACAACCCTCATTGTATGCTCAACCAGGGATCAATTTCTGACCCGGTTGCTCGCTGCTACTCATCCAACCAGGGGAGAAGTCGCTGGGCGCCATCACATCTACGGCAAAACCATCGGACTATTGTCTAGATCCAGCCGGGTTAGAGTATTATTCTGCCCAACTCTGGAGAATCTACGCGCTTGCTTGTCGGTAGTAGGGTCCCAACGTATCCCTCAGGTTGAAAAGGAATCACACGAGCAGACCGAAGCACGGCCTCTATTGGCGGTCCTTGATTCCCTATCTCTCCATGCCCCAACCACGGAATTCTCCGCGCAAGGTCTGTCCAAAACCTTTGCAGCACTGGCAGAAACCTCCTTCAAAGCAGACATGGACCTTGTGCTCTGCGAAGGCCAAGACTCAACGAACCATGAAGGCTCACCGTGGAATGCACAGGTGCCCATGCTGAATAGTACTGTGCGTGTCTCAGAGGAAACCGCCCTCTTTCGACGAACTGTACCCGTGAAACGAGTCGCAGAACGTTGGTTCGAGTTCATTGAGAAAAACTATGCCACTGCAGGCACCGTGGATGATGCAACGGGTAATGCTCAAACGCACACTGAGATAGAAGAGGACAGAGATTTTCAATAATACCCAGTAATGAAAGACTCCCACAATGCAATATTTGAATCATACGGGTATCCTAGAACCAATCCATAAACTCCCGAAATCGCGCCCCTGACAGAATTACCTCAGATCATAAACACTTCTCCATATCAGTAATGTAAAGTTTGATATGCGACTCCAGCTTCAGGTATTCGTCATGAGCGCCTTGGATCTCGCTTTCAATGTTCTCTTTGAGATCGGCCATCTAGATAACGGTCAGTTAAGCACGGTGATGGTTAGATAGAGGTGATGACTGACCTTCTTCTCGGTTTGTTCGATGCGGATTCTCCGGCGCTCCATGTCGCGTTGCTTGTCTGCTCGCTCCTCACGAAGTTGTTTCTGGATTTCCCGCAGCTCTTCCATGCGGGCCTGGGCTGCCTCGGCCTTCTCTTGCGCGTTCTTCCGCAGAGCCTCGATTCTCTCGTTCCACCGCGTCAACTGTCGCTGCAGTAGTTTCTCTGTCTGCTCCACTTCCCTTACATTGTTACCTCTTTCAGAAATAGCTTCTTTGTTTCTAGAAGCTCTGGACTCTTCCTCCTCCTCTTTCTGAAGCTCAACGGAGATATCCTCCAGGAGCTTCACGCAGGCCTGTACATCATTGCTGACAACAGTGAACGTATCCGATGAGGTTTGCAAAGCTCTTGCCCGCTTCTCCATGGCGTCAATCTGAGCTTTCTCACGATACAAATTCTCAGACAGTTCAGCCAGGGACGACTGAAGCGAGGCGGGACTGTCCATCACGTAAGGTCGTAGTTTCTCGACCTCCTGCCGAGTGCGCACCACCCTTTCTGTCTTCTCTTCGAGCTGTGCCTGTCGTCTGGCCTTGTCCGCCTTGACACGCTCAAGTGTCTCCGCAACTCGCTCCTGGTTCCGTCTCAATTCGAGGAGTCGTGCTTTCAATTCATCGTTCCTCCGGACTTTCTCCTTGACCTGGGCCTCGTTGGCTTTCAGAGTCCGGCGCATCTCTTCAAGGCGCTGTTCCATCTCCTGATTCTCACCGTAGAGGGTATCAATGCGCGCTTTCGTCTTCTCCGCCTTGTTGAAATGCTCATCGATCACGGGAGTTTGCGACTCGCGGAAGCGCACGAAATTGATGAGATAGGAAAAGATCTTGACGAGACGGTCGTGCGTCGGCTTGGTCAGGTCGGTAAAAGTAAAATCGTTGACACCGCACTGGTTGGCAGTCACAACAGTCAGTCAGAAGTCACAACCGGGGAGGGGGTAAGATCGGTACCTCCATCATCAACCGCCGCAGACCGGTGAAAAATCCCATCAAGTTGCGTGTATCCGTGGGCACGATATCCGGATAGTCGCCACAAACATCATCTGCCGCCGCGCGCATTGCTGGTTCCACCGTTTCGCGGGTGTTGTTCATCAGGAGTTCCGCAAACCACTCGAAGACCATCTGAATCTGCTGCGGGTTCGGTTTGATCAGGTCGGCGGCGGTGAAGGGTATGCCGATGTCGTTGATACATCCTGCAATCTCTTTATCTGGCTACTGAGAGTGTCAGGGCACGAAGTCACAGACGGGGTGCGGGGATTTGTGATATGCACTTACCAGTCGCATCAGAGCATCGTTTTCATCTTCTTTCTTGCGGCCGCCTCTGTTGTGGTGCTGCTGGGAGCCGTGGAACTGTTGACTCATTCGATGACCGTACGACATGATGCAGAAGAACCCTCTCCACGAGGCGACGCCCTAAGTTGTTCGTCGGAGAAGATGTGATGCAAACGTGGTTGTCGTGTTTCGGCTAGATGTTATGATTGATTGTTTACAGTGAAGGGCCTCGCATGGCAACCGGAAGCGGACTAGCGCACCAGAAGAGGGGCACTGTATACAAACGATGCAAACTTACTCCACGCTTCCCTTTTTCGATGACTCTGCGGCGAAGCGACCATGGAACAATAATTGTTACGGATAATTGCTGCACGACAGCTTCATACGGACTTTTCGATCCACATTCCTCCAGAGCTGCTCAGCGTATCATCAGTCATCATGGCAGCCGCCACTTCCACCTCGGCGAAGCCGTTCGAGTAAGTAGTCAAATTTGACGAAGCCATGGAAAGCCCATGCGGCCTTGGAAGCTGCTAACAGTCGCCAGCATCGTCGCGACGTACAATGAGCTGCTCCGCTCCGATCCAGATTTGACCATGCCAATCGCCGCTATCGAGGCCTTGGTGCTACTCCTCACACACTCCCCCTCCTCGACGATATCAGAGACGCTCGATCTCCTGGAGAAATCCACCGCACACTTAAAACAGTCGATCCCGAACCCCATCGGCCTCTCCGCTGGAACCGATCTTTTCCAGCGATACCTGATCACTACGCTACAGAGACCCGGCCAGCTCGGACCCGCCGGAGACTTCAATGCCATCAGGGCGCACCTGCTGTCCAACGGCCGGCTGTTCATCAGACGTGCGAAGGAAAGCCGAGACAAGATTGCGGCGTTCGGAAGAGGCTTCGTGCGGGACGGAAGCACGGTCTTGACGAACGGTGGCTCCAGAGTCGTGGCCTCGCTGCTACAGCAGGCTGCCGGTGAGAAGGGCGGCCCGTCCGCCGTTCGATTTCGGGTGATCTACGTGCTGTCCCCGGCCAAGGGCGATGTCGAGGGCTCGTCGGCGGAGCCCGAGGGTATGGAGACAGTCCGCGCGCTGCGTGAGAAGGGTGTCCCCGTGGCCACGATCCCGGAGTCCGCCGTCGCGTACTCGCTTGGCAAGGCCGACGTGGTCATTGTCGGTGCGGAGGGTGTCGTGGAAAACGGCGGAATCGTGTCGAGAATGGGCACCTACCAGATCGGTCTGCTGGCCAAGGCCATGGGCAAGCCTTTCTACGTCGTGGCAGAGAGCCACAAGTTCGTCCGTCTCTACCCGCTTGGACAGTACGACCTGCCCATTGAGCAGCGCGTGATCGACTTCAAGACCGAGGAAGATGTCGCCGACGAAGCCACGCAGCAGCAGCAACAAGCACAGCCCACACCTAACGTCAAGTCGCCGGACAGCTCGGACGTGGTTGATTACACGCCTCCCCATCTTATATCCGCACTGATCACAGACAGCGGTGTCTTGACGCCAAGTGCGGTGAGTGAGGAGTTGATTAAGATCTGGTTCTAGTTTATGCTTCCCGTGCCCGATCAAGAGAGTTGCGGCTTGTGGTATCAGTTGAATGAAGCGGATTTTGGCGTTCTAAGGTCATGATATATCCCAACGCTCAAGGCGTTTGTCGGCTTGGAAAGATGGTGTGTCTCGTTGTTTCTAATCAGACAAAAAGTACAATAGATTTGTGACTACATTGTATTGCCTTGTCTTTCTTCTGTAACGTGATCTGGCCGTGCGAAGGTCTTATCACCCAGTCAGCCGCTCGCCTAGTATCAGTAGCTGCCGTCGTACCACCCCTCATCCCATGGTGACTCTTAGACTGAGTTGATCATATTGTTCGAGAAATGACACCCCACGAGCTTGCAAGACAACAATATGACGAGCACTCGGCTCGATGCTAAGGACCAAGAGCAAAGAAACCCACTGTGGATACTGCTACATCCCAATCAGAACTATCATCACCAATTAGCATATCATACATACTAAGGCACGTGTATCTGAATCTCGTCTTGTTCACTATACTAGCACGGATAGTCCTCTATGCATAGTAATAGTGGTAACTAGAGGGGTCTTCCATAGTCTCGCTTGCCATACTACTATTTAGTCTTACAACCCACAAATCAAACCCCATATCAAACCATCTTCATCATCCTCGCTTAATCCCCTTGGGAAACCTCTATCCCATCATCAACCTACAACAGTACAGAACACACCAACCCTCTCTCGAGTCCCCAGAATCCACTGAATTTACCCAGCCCTTCATCCATCTAATTCAAACCAGCCCCAAAGTGCGAAAAGCAAAACACCCACAGACCCAGAGCACTACGAACAACACAACCACCAACCAACACCCACCAAAGCCCAAATTCAAGCCTATACTGTAGCCATCCTGCACCTCCACTCACAATCAGGTATTTACTGCCCAACTTTCTACCCTCCGCACACAACCCTCCAAACAACAATCCCATTGTTCATAATCCCGTAGACAAATTCCAAACCAGACCATCGATATTCCCGTATCCGCAGCCCGAGACCCAGATTGACATAGAAGGAAGAACGAAGGAGGGGGGGAGGGGGGCAGAGATAAGACTTCTTCCACCTTCCCCGCCTTCAAGGCAACAGTACATCAAGGCAAAAATGTTGAGTAAACCGAAGCCCTGCCCCTCATCCCAGGCCGGAATTCACCTCCTCCCTCCCCCCTCCCTCTTTCGCGCCCGGTTGTTGATACAGATGTTTATGGCTGCCTGCATGTGTGTGTTGCGGAGCATGGTAGATATAACCGGTACAAAGTGATAATTAGTCGCAATGCCTTGTCGCTCAATTAGAAAATCTGAATAGCGTTGCGTGGGTGAGTTTGGGAAAGGGGTCTGGTAAACGGGAGTTATTGGGTAGTTACATCGGTTGTGGCGGGAGTTTGGTATTTGAGTATAGCCTGGAGGTGGGTGCAGTGGGGTTTGGTATCCGTTGCTGATGGGTGGTAATTTGGGTTTGACTTTTGATAGTAGCGAAACAGTTACAATAGTAGAATGGCTCTTTTGCAGATGATGTGATGTGGGTTATGGTGTTGTGGGTTATGGGAAATGGGGTTTCTGGCACTGTACGGTACCATATACTTTTAGTGGTGGTTATCGGGGATTCTGGTGTTGACGGTTTTATGGTATTTGTCTCCGTACATGAAATAAGTTTCGAGATGAAGACCTGATACTCGAATGTGCTCTTTGGGGGCGGTAATCTGGTTTTGATATGGATGGGAACTACGCTGTAAGAGAAGGAGGTAGTTGACCTATTGACCAGCAGGCAGTGTGTTCGTAAAGCATATCGTCGAGATGGACATACGAGAGACCTCATTTCCTGGTTGGCCTGATCCAGCAAGCCACCTCCATCTTCCAACC